CTGGGTGGCTGGGTGACTGGGTGACTGGGTGGCTGGGTGGCTGGGTGGCTGGGTGACTGGGTGGCTGGCCCCTAGTGTCCTCCTCTCCTTGTTCTCTTGCTCTTCCTTCTTTTCTCCCATATTTCTCCTTTTATTTGTTCTTTCTGCCTACAAGCTCCGCCTTCCTTTCTCCTGCCTTGCTATTGGCCATTCAGCTCTTTCGTAGACCATGAGGTGTTTTAGACAGGCAAAGAATCACAGCTGCACAGAGTTAAACAAGTGCAGCATAAACAAAAGCAACACACCTTAAAATAATATTCTACAACATCTTCCTTACATTAGACCTACAAAACGGATGAATCTTGAATAAAGGTAGACATTTGATTCATAAAATGTTTTCATATGCATACAAGTGTGTCCATTCCATTTTTCCAAATCTTTACAACTAGTGACTCTGGAGATGCACTGTACCTTCTTTAGATTCCTGTTGACAAAGATGGTGGTGGCAGCACACAGAGTGTTGAAGAGGGCTGCGGGAATTCATGCCCACCTTTGGTTGATGGTGTTTTAGGCTCTGCCATTCTCCGTGAGGTTTCACTTGTTCCTTTTCCACTGCAGGCGATTGGCATCCGGTTGAACGAGCTGTGCCACGGAGAGAGTGAGAGCCCCGCTAACCTGCTCGGCCTGATCTATGACGAGGAGACTAAGAGGAGGCTGCGGAAGGAGGATGAGGAGGAAGACTTTTTAGATGACAGTAAGGAGACCCCCTTTACTACGAGAGCCCCTGCTTGTAAGGAACTGCTTTAGGAGCACTGAATACCTCGTTCCTCTCTCATACTCCCTCCACCTTCCTACATCTCCACAAACCATCCCTCGCCTCCGCATGTGATCGTGAATGCATGTGCATAAATCCAGAGTGGGGGAGGGGGAGAAAAAGAGAAAATGCGCAAAAGTCAGGGGAGGAGGGCGGAGCGCTGCAGGCATGTGGAAGAAACATTACCTTTTTAGCCTCTGGTTCTTGCTGTCACCCACAGATTCAAACTAAACTTCGGAGTGAGAAAACGTAGTGGAAAAATTGCTTTCCCAAAAAGATTTTATTTCTTTAATTTTTGAGGGGTAGGGGATTATGTTGTTACATACAACTTTGGTAAAGAAAAACATCCTTGCAAAATAGAATGGAACAAGAAATGCTTTCCAGCGGCTGGGGAGGTAGTTCCAGAGGTCAATAACTTGCTGCACAAAGCATGAGGACTTGAATTTAGGTCCTCAAAGGCCCTATTAAAAAGCTAGACACGGTTGTGGGAGCACTGGGAGACAGAGGGAGGGACGGCCACAGGACGCACGGCCAGTGTGGTCAGTCGGGCTAGCGGGATGGATGGGCTGCTTCGCTGAAAGAACCATCCTAGAGCAAAGTCTTACATGTGGAAAGCTGTTAGAGAAAGACACGTGACATCAATCCCAGGCCTCCACATTCATGCACATACATTTGTATGCACATACACATGTGCACAAACCTGTACTAGCAAGTATGTACACCACCCCACACACACAAGAAATGCATTCCGAAAAACTAAAACATTGACCTGTTTAATCAGAGCATGTTGCAGGATTAGTAAGAAATTTAAAATTTGTTAAGCTGTGACTGTCCCATGATGCAGCTATGAGAGTTGCCATAGAAATAGAGACAAGAACATTTCTGCTGCATCCTGCTACAGCATCATTTTGTACATATGCATGCTCTGTACCACACAAGCCTAAGTGAAGGTACAATGAGAGGCATTTGCTGGGTGTGAATTCAAGTTTGACCTGTGGAATCAGTATCTTCCCACAATGGGAGTAGCAGTATCTTCCATTAACCTTTCTTCTTCATCTGCAATTCAAGTTCTTTAGGTATATTTTAAGGGTCATTCTTGTTTAATTCGTACCAAATCTGCAGCTTCCTTGTGTCGTGGCACATAAAATAATGGCTAAATGATAACAGTGGAGAATATTAAATATTAAGTAAAGAAAACTTACTGTGTTTTTCTCCCCATTTGCACCAAGAATTTTGTATTTTTCTCCATTATTTAGCTCCCTTTTCATACCTTATGAAGTCCAAGAAAATTTTGACATTCTACTGATAAAATTCTGAATTTCCACATGGAAATGATAAAAGTTAACTCTGAAGATAATCTAGCCTATTTTTGAATAATTCTGGGTGTTGAATTTTACTCCTAGGTTAAACAGAACTAGTGAGGTTGCCATGAATGACAGACAAATGGACACTGAGAAGTCTCCCAGAAAGACAGACAGACAGATGCACACTGAGAAGTCACCCAGACAAACAGACAGATGCGCACTGAGAAGTCGCTCAGACAGACAGACAGAAGTGCACTGAGAAGTCGCTCAGACAGACAGACAGAAGTGCACTGAGAAGTCGCTCAGACAGATGCACAATTAGGAGCCACTCAGAGCTCCTTCAGAATGGAGGGAGCTGAAACAGTATTAAATGAGCACACTCTCCTAGAGGACAACGTGCAATCTACACTAAACCGCAAAAGCTCCATCAGTTTCCTATGTGATGTCTGGTACATCAGTATTTAGTTTGGGTGTATAGGGCTCCATCTTTTCTCATGGCAACAGAGTATTTCAGATAATAATTAGGAGAGAGACTAGACCACAGCCAAGTTCGCTGCCTGCAGAATGTTTAAGAAGTGTCTGAATGGTAATCTCGTGAGTGGAAAGACAAATCCAGAAGTTTTCAGAGTATTCACTCTTTAATTATTTTTACAATAATTATTATTTTTAATTCTAAATATTAATAATATTTAATATAATGTTATAAATTATTATAATTATACAATTATTCCATTTATTTTATTATGTCTTTTCCAGACATAATCTTCCAATATAGCTCAGGGTGGTCTTGATCTTGAGATCCTCCTGCCTCAAATAACTGAGTAGCTGATAACACAGGCCTCTACTACCATGCTCTCTATAAACTTGTTTTTTATGTACACCTAAGTAACTTTTAAAGTCCTGTATCCTCCATGGAGTATAAGACTAATATGTATGATTCTCCAGAGATTATGGGGTTGTTATGTGTGATTTAGCTAATTTTGCACACCAAAATTAAATAAAATATAAGCACCTGCCTTTTTGGAAATACCACACAAGCAGAATTTGTCTCTTCCATTCTTAATGAGGGGCAGATTTTCCAGCCATGTTTTAACTCTTAAAAAAAAATCAGTAGTTCTCAGGAGGGAAAAAAAGGCTTTATACCCTCAGAAGACCAACTTCTACATTCTGTGTCAAAAAGTAAAGTCATGTATACTATTCAGTTAAGAAATCTCACTATACCTCTTTCTTTCTTTTGTAAGAGGCAGAATAGTACATGGCCTTGTTCTTTGATGAAGATGTTTCTTCATGGTTTATGGTAATAAAAGTCTCACCACTGATCCTGACAGTTTTCATGTCCTATTCTTCCCTTGGCCACTATCTGTCTTCTGACCAAAATCAATCAGTTGTTTGACAGAGTAAAAGGCCAGTATTCTTCACAGTAAAAGAGTCTATCAGTCACTTCTGGCATGATTATATGTTGTAATAAGGTTGCTTGTTCATCCCGGCTGCCCAGAACTGAAATAATCACACATAAACCGTATTAATTGAATCACTGCTTGACCCATTAGCTCTAGCTTCTTATTGGCTAACTCTTATATTAATTTAATCCATTTCTACTAGTCTGTGTATCACCATTTGGCTGTGGCTTACCAGCTAAAGTTCTGACATCTGTCTCCAGTGGAGCTACATGGCTTCTCCCTCGTTCTCCTCCTTCTTTCTTCCAGCATTCAGTTTAGTTTTCCTCGCCTACCTCTATTCTCTGTGCAGGCCCAGGACAGTTTCTTTATTAAACAATAGTATTCACAGCACACAGAAAGGAATCCCACATCAGCTGCGTATTAACTGTGACAGGACAGCTTTATTAAAATGTGTAGTATAAACTGGACATGGTGGCACATGCCTTTAATCCTGGCACTTGGGAGGCAGAAGCAGGAGGATCTCTGTGAGTTTGAGGCCGACCTGGCGTACATAGTGAGTTCTAAAACAATAAGAGCTATGTTTAGAAAAGCTATCATTAAAAAAAAACAAACAAACAAAAACATGTAGTATAGGTGACATTTTCTTATATCTGTGTTGCACCAACACTAATTTAACTAGAGCTGAAAGAGCTTCATAGCTCTCAGAAGACAAACATCCCCCAGACAAATGCCCCTTCCGGAAATGAGCCGGAAGGACTTTAGGTCTCCAGGAACAGTGGGTTGTCACAGATACAGTTAAGAGCTGACTAACCACAGCATGACTTTCAGTTCTGTTGTCACAAACTGTCTTCTTGTGACGTTGTAGCTGTGTTGTATTGCTGTATGTACTCTCAACAGACAGTGACTTTTGCTTGTCTGACACTTTAATAGCGAAGCACCTGTTAATACAACTGCCGAGTGGAAGAAGAGAGGTGGGTGAGCGTGGCTGGGTCATGCTAACAGGAGTAGGTAAATTGAGGTTGTGTAGGAAGTATCTCATGAGTAGATTAGTATTACATGATGTCATGTAGGTCCATCACACCATGACCCTCTATTTGTTATTGGTTTGTCTTCTCATGAAGAATTCTTTCTTTTCTTAGGTACTGTGAACCCTTCTAAATGTGGTTGTCCCTTTGCCTTGAAGATGGCAGCTTGCCAGCTTCTCCTGGAGATAACCACCTTCCTGAGGGAGACTTTTTCTTGCCTGCCCAGACCTCGCGCTGAGCCTCTAGCGGTATGTTAAAGCCACATGTGTAGATAGCCAGGCTACTTGGAGAAAATTAACTACAGCTGGGTTTCAGTACTCCCCAAGTCTTTAAATGCTTGAGGTCAAGTGCATTCTGTGATTTACCATTTTTTCCAAGGGCTTTCGGAAATCACTAGAGACAGCACTTTCAGGAACAGCATCTGCCCAATGATCACCACTAATTTTGATGGGAATATCTAGGAGCCTATCTTCCTTTACCTTACAAACAATGAGGAACTTTATGGTCAACATTATTCAGGAATCAATAGCTGATTTTTTTGTATGAATAGCTTCTAGGTTCATATAAGTGTGCTTGCTTCCAGAGTTTTCTGACTCATAGTATGGTATAAACGACCTCGGCGTTTAGATTTTCAGCATTTCCAATCCTGTACTTAATTTCATAGCATTTCTTGTGGGTTATGAATAGAGACAGAGAGCATGACACTGCATACATACACATCTGCACACACACACACTAAACATATAGGCACATAAAATAGAGTCATGTGCCAGGAATTACTTATTTCTCTGTAGATAGAAATACTATGCAGGGCCATACATCTTCAGGGTGTGTGGTAACAATGAACACCTTGGGCTTCTGAGTCCCTGATGGAAACCAATAGTGCTTTCATCAGTCAGCCTGCAGCTTTACCTGAAGAGCCAGACAAAACCTTCTCTTTTATACAAGGCTTGTTCCACAAACTGTCACACCAACTTCCATTTTTTAGAACCCATTCTCCTGTTTTAAAGCCAAACAGCATGAATAAGTCAGTACCCCCATCCTAGGGTGGGGCTAGAGGTTGGATTAAAGAGCCAGTGTTCCCCTACCGTGGAGCACAGTCTCTGGTTTTAGTTTTCCAACGTTGTAGAAAACTCATTTCCTCACATCCTAAAAGGAATGGATATTTTCAAATTAGAAACATTTATGAATGAAATGCTTGTTTTGAAGAGAAAACTACCCTCTCCGGAACTGTAAAACTGGACCATTTGACTGCTGCAAGAGGAAATTCCAGCTACTGCCCACTATGACATCATGTTGACTTGGCCTTTACTTTTCTGAATTGTCGTTTTCATCGTGCTGTTGAGAATACTCTCTATAAAGTCAAATCAGGGCACCACGATGCATGTGCTTAAAGTCAAGCAAAACAAGGCATCAAACCTGCCAACACTCACCAGTACCATTCCTTTTAGCCTCCTTATTAATGCAATCTTCAGAAAAGCATTGCATACATCTGATTTCACGTTTTCAGATCAGCTGCAATTCTGGTAGAAATAAGCAAGGATCTCTGTTTCACTCATTCGTTTGTTCTACCTTTTAATTCTTAAAATTCTACCACAAATTCTATTTCATGGAGTCTATCATATATGTTGAGGAAAATTTAATAATCACATCCCCTTGAAGATCAGTGCTGGACTGAGACCTATCAGTGAAAAGTGAAACTTTTCATGTTTTCTACATCAGTCAAGTCTGATTAGCCAGAGAACATAGCACTCTCAGGACAACAGACCGCAGGAAGCTCGGCATTCAGAGGATCACAAGCCAGGCTACATAGCATGGCCCTGTGACAAGCAGAGACTGTACAAACAACTAGAAGAATTACAGGGAGTGCAAAGAAGGGAACCTAAAAAGCCTAAGACAAGAATTGCAGCCTCCAGTCATATAATGGCAGGTGAAAGCATGTCCTCTTCACCCTGAACTAGATTTCTGAGAACTTCTGTACACTACACCAGCATTGTCACTGATAAATGTAGGCTTACATATTTTTTTATTGTTTCTTTTGTGAGATGATAAAATATTTACATCATTACTCCCTTCCTTTTTCTTCCTCCAATTTCTCCCATAAACCCTCAGTACAAAATCCCCCATAGAGGCTCTGACCCCATACAAGCATTTTCCTAAACTGGAACTGACTTCCCACACTTATGTACTAAGAAACTTCAATCAAGGTTTACCTTGAATAGCAGCCCCTCCCGCTACTCCAAATATTATCTTTCATTTCTTCAGCTCCAAAGTCCAAGACAGGCCTTCCTAAGCTAAGATCAAGGTACTGGTCTGGGTGAGTTCTTGTGTCTGCCTTCTTGCTCTTTTACTACCGTCTAGAAACCTGCCTCACTCCCCTTCTTCCATCTCCAGAGGCAGAATAGCTTATTGAAGCTCCCTCTGTCCATAGCTGGAGAAAGATCCTCCATTTCTGCGAATACATGTAATTAATTAAATTTGGTCCACTTAGCTAACACAGTATCTCTCCATCATAAAGTCATTAGCTTTAACTCTATCCCCAAGGTTCACCTTGCAGTGTAAAGCAACATCTTCTCAGGCCCTGAGGATTTAAGGTTTAGATATCTTAGGGACTGTTCTATTACTGTTGTCTCCAAGTCTGATATCTAACTCCTACACTCGGGGTTTATTATGTATGATTTCCCATCTTCCATCTTAGAATTCTGAGTTTCTCAGAGAAGGGATCATTTCTTCCCTATGCCATTGTACCTATCATATTCAAATTGAAAGTGTGACACACAATTAACATATTAAGTGGCAATGACATCCCTCAGACATTAGACAAAGAGTTAGAAGGTAAAGGAGCTAGCTCAAAGTCATGTTTTGTGGAAGATAAAACACTTAAGAAGTTACCAGTTAGGCAACACTTGTTTTCCAAATCAAAAATATTTTTTCAAGACCACAATTTAAAATGAGCAATAAGGAAATTTAAAGTGTAATCAAATGTGATTCAGAGTGAATAGAAGTTTGCCACCGTATCAGTGCAGTTGGAGGAGCAGCGAAGCACCTGCCTATGTTTGCAGCACTTGGGAAGCTTAGGTGGAGACAGAAGGGCCATGAGACCAGTTTTCTGGTTTCAGAGCAAGGCCTGTCAAAGGGGTGGGGGCAGTGCTTTGTCTCAGGACAGCCCAGCATGAACATGCTCTCTACGCCTTTTCAGGACTTGGAGAGCTGCAGGCTCCGTCTGGATCCCGAGCTGGACCGGCACAGATATGAGAGGAAGATCAGCTTCGCAGGAGTTCTGGATGAAAATGAAGACTCCAAAGATTCTCTCCACAGCAGCAGCCACACCCTCAAATCGGATGCGGGTGCTGAGGAGAAGAAAGGTAGGGAAACGCAAGGGTTGCTTCGTGTTTCTGCCTTTCCTACAGGAAATATTTGGCCTGGGTCTAAAGTACAAAGCTGTGTGCCCAAATTCTTGACTCCACACAGTGTGACCCTGGAGACTCTTCACAGCTGGTGAGGTAGGAAGCACCACTAATTAGAGGTTGAACTTGGCATCCAGACTGCCTTGGCCTCAATGCCTAGTTCAGCAATTCTCCTTTGACCACAATGAATGTGATGCCATCAACCTTAAGATGACCTGTTATTTTATCAGCCAATACAAAAGGAAAAACACCCAAATTCAATTATTTTACAGTTGATAAATCTCTTATCACTTAAGTTTTTCTTGACACAGGACTTTGAGATAATAAAATATATGTATATAGTCACTGTGATTATTGCATATAATTCTTGTGTAGTGAAAAAGAACATAGCTTAAATATGCTGGTTGAAACTTAAATTTACAGTCCAAATTTCTTAATTACTTTTAAGTTCAAATTTGTCGGTGTCCATGGTTTTCTACAGGATGAGGTCCTCTGTAGATCAGATTGTTAATGACACATCAGTTCAGAAGTGCATCAAAGATTCATGTATATATAGTGTATAGAGTAAGAGATAATTAATAAATAAAAAAGCCACAAGGTCAACAACTGCAAGTAGAAATGCCTTCCTTAGTTATGGAAACCAGCTAGAACAGTATGAAGTATGAGTTCCTCTTCAGGACTGTCCAGCTTATACCCTGACCTCCTTCCTCATCCCTCATTACGGCCTGACTTTGATGCTAGGAGACAGTCTGCATGTTTTGCTGCTGATGCTTACATAGTCACAGACAGAGCAAGAGCCATTATATTTCAGCTGTCAATTGGCGTGATGAATCCTAAGTTCAATTTCACATATGTCAAAATGTGAACCTGAGCCTAGTAAGATGAATGATTTATGACCCTTCTCTGTATGGCCGTGTATACATGACCTGCCTTTAAATCCACAGTCCTCTCTTCTAGTTAGTCAGATGACTAGCTTCTGTGCTCTTTAGAGCTTTAATTAAGGCAGTGCAGGTAAAACATAGAATGAATACATAGAGCAAATGAACGAGCATGTTAAGTTACCATTGCCATCCTTATCGTACTACTTTATGAGCAGCTAAATCAGATATCAACACAGAAAACTCCAGCTAGGGCTGAACAGTGTCAGTTTTAAGAAAGTCATTTAAGGCTCCCCTAAAAGGTCACCTTCACTATCCAAAGTTTTTGGTTTTTAAATTTCATTGTCCTTCAATGCTTTTTGTAAAGAGTTTTATATCTTAAAAAATCTGTATATCTTGGTAGAAAGTTGATTGTGTACATTGAAATAATTTCCAGTGTCCTGTAGACAATGAATGAATACATATTTGATTACTTTAATCAATGGGTGGCATGGTTCTATATAGACAAAACACAAAATATTTTAAGTCTTATAAGAAAAGGGGGTTCAATGGGGAAACTTTGAATATTTCAATAGCAGAATGTTTCCACCTTTTAAATATAATATCATTCTGTAATATCCTATTGAATTTTTATGATAGAGGTTGTGTGCTAAGAAAAATAAATAGTCTTTTGGAATTTATAGACATGAAGAAGTATTAAGCCAATGTGATTTAAAATATTTACTATATATGTATCCAATGAATGTAACTTCCATTTTTAAACATATACCAACAATACTTTAATTTGGAAAGCAGTCTTTAACTATTTGAAGTTATTATCACAATTATCATTTAAATTGAATAGAAGTTCCAAATATCCAGTTAAGCTTAAACAAATTCTACATCATCTTAAAAAGAAAAATTACAAAGCCATGTTAACTTCATTATTATTTATATAGCTGTCTTTACTGATAAAAACTCTCACATGCTTAGTGATTTTTGTTATCCAATATGCCTATGTTAATATATAAATTTTGTCTTATAAATAGATAACACAAATCTAAAACTGTGAATAAAATGAGAATATAACCCTAAAGTGTTCTAAGTTAGTTGGCAAAAGTCTCCCTAAAGATTTGTAAATATTCCATAAGCCATTTGACAAACATATGAGCTACTTTAGCCAATACAAAATTATGACAATGGGACACTGATAAGTGTAATTACTATTTTTTCAAAAAAAACCATACCGTCCATTTTCATAAAAGCAAAAAAGTCACAGTAACTTGAGAACAAGTAGATTCTACCAAAGAAAATAATCATGAACTTATTCTTTAAAACTGAAAATATCTACCCAAGATCGCTAAGCAGAATCTACAAAATACTTTTATTCCTGCCCCAAAGACAAATTAAAACTAGTATTTCAAAATACAGAAGCATCTCCTCGTTTTGCATGCAGCTCCTGTGCACCTGCTGTATACCAGGAGTTATTACAAGTTCTCGGAAGGCAGCCACCAACAAGAGCATGTACCCGCATCTGTTTCCATTCATACTAATCCATACCCAAAAGCATCTCACTATTAGCAAAGCAATTAGTAACACTAAATGCCAGACTTTCTAAAGATATAATGGAAAGTAAAACAAATTAGGGTATAGGAGGAGCTATGGTCTAATGATGGACATTAAACGGAGAGACTTTCATGAGATGTTTCAGTAATGGGAGGATTTGAAGACTGAGTGTGACAAACAGAGGCAACTGTGAGGCCAAGGATGTCATGAGGAGTGAACTTTGAGCATTTGAAGAAGGACAAAAAGATCGGCAAACTTATTTCAGAATGAATTGGGGAGGAGTGGCAGGAGATAGGTCAGAAAGGTAAGAGGCAGTCAGAGTCTAATAGATATGCTTGAAATTCTAATTCTATTTTAAATATGTTAGAGGTTGTGGGTCAGTGTATGTGGCTAGATGTGTAGAAGCTAGGGAGGAAGGAACAGTTAGAGGTTTTCTCTGGCACTGGACCAGAGAAAAGGTAGTAGGAATTTGAACACTTGTGATATTTTGAAGCATACAGGCAGCAGGACTTGCTAATGATACAGTGTGGGAAGGGAGGTGTGTTATTCACATCAGATGTATCTGTTTCACTTAGATTTTAGTTCTTATTGTTAGGAGACATATAGCATACGGCCTCTGTGTCTCAGTAGCATACAGTCTCAGATGGCATATTTCATGAGCGACATTAAGCCTGAATTCTCTTCACTTGTCCCTTGTAAGTAATCGAAGTTGTAATTCTGAACCCTAATTTTTCAGGCTGCAGGAGGTCTCCAATTATCTTTTATGTTAGAACAATTTCTCAAAATTAAGTCTTTTTCAGATCCCACTAATTTGAGGTTATTTAGTTTCATTTGTAGCCTTAAAAGTATCATAAACTCAGGCAAAAGGCATTAGGGTGCACCTCTACAAAAATAAAACCTAAGAATTATCACTGTAATCTACTCTTTATTTCTCAATCTATTTACACATGAAATTGCAGTAGTGGTCATTAAAAATAATTAGCTATGAAGTCCAAATTAAGCCTAGAAACAATATTGAAAAATACAGTTGGGTGAATCAAAATACAACATTGTACACTATACCTTTTGTGGCATTTATCCAGCTGTGCTGCCAGAAATTCTTCCAGATGTGCAATTCTATTCAGGTGTATTCAGGAAGCCCAAGAAGCTGGTATAAGCAGAACAGTGGTAATCCTAGACTCTTTCAGCCACAAGAGTAATCCAGAGACTAAACATTCACTTTTCTATGAATTCTTCAGACCTCCTTACATAGCATCAAAAGTTAACATTTAACTAACATTTTAAAAGATACGAGTTTTATTATTGGCTCTGTAAGCATTTTGTTAAAGGGAGAAACCTGAAACTAAAATTTGAACTTCCTGATTTCAAAATACATTCACAAGTTTGATTTAAATATTGAATAGGAAATTTTGTTCGTATCTTTAAGACAAGTGTGTAAGGCTAATGGTTTTGAGCCTTGAAATTGTTGCTTTATCCTGCAATTATAAAAGTGATATTGATAACATGAAAAATTAAAAAGAAAAGAAAAATGTATACATTACCTAAAAATAATTGTGCTTTTGATTTTTATAAAGTGAGTTTGAGGCTTAAACATGTTTCTTTCACCATTTTATTTCCACCCTGGTGACTGTTTCTTCCAGAATACTAAGCATGAATAATGCATCCTATTCTTGTTACATGTAAACTGTAAGATAGCTCAGGGCATGCAACATTTATACTCACGTCTCATTAGATCTTTGATTAAGAGGAGGATGATATGAAATCCCTAAATGATTGGAAATAGAGCTACCTCAAACACACATATGTGCATGCACACACAGCATTCTCCTGAGAAACAATCACTCAAAGACTTTGCCACGGAACAGAGTACACACAGCTCTGTCAGAGAGAGGCCACTTTTGTGCTTATTTTTTAATAGATTACTCTAAAGATAAGTGTTCCAATGATAGTTCTCAGGAAAAACAAAAGCAGTAAAGTCTGATTCTATCGAACCAAATAAGAATGTGATGAAAATTTGGTAGCGGATCATGGTGATGGTGCTGTGTAAAAACACACTCATGCTTATGAACCTTGGGCCAGAATGAGAGCAGATTGTTCCCAGCCATTATGTGCATTTTGCCCAAGAAAGATACTGCACCAGCCCTTCCTGGTCATCCTGGTCTCCTGCCTGGCCAAACGTGGTGACTGAGGACTGGCAGCAAGGCCAGAAATGCTGCTCAATCAAACCAGCAAAGAGTTGGCTGGTCAGGGACAAATTGGGAAGAGTGTGGATATAAACTGGGGAAACTAAGCGGGGAAAGCCCTATTTTATTCTTTCAATACAGTTCCCAGCAGGAAGATCAGGATAGGAGGTTCTCGCCTGCTCCAGATTAAAGGAACCCGCAGTTTCCAGGTGAAGAAGGGGGGTTCCTTGTCCAGCATCCGCCGAGTCGGCAGCTTAAAGAGCAGCAAGTTATCACGGCAGGACTCAGAGTCTGAGGCTGAGGAGCTGCAGCTGTCCCAGAGCAGGGACACTGTCACTGACCTAGGTAACATAGAAGAGTGGGGTGTGCAGGGACGTGGGGGGTAAGAAGACAGGACTCAAGTCCTGGATCAGTCAAGTCCATTTCATCCCATGTACACAGAGCAAGACCAGAGCCTAAGGTTAGACAACTCATTCTGTAGAGAAGCACACTGACTCTTGAGCGGGTGCGTGTGGCATGTGTGAGTCTGTCCAGTGTAAACACCGAGTCAGCAGATGATAAAGGGATCCGAGACTCTATATTTGAAATAAGCTTCCTCATGATGCCGATGCTGCTGACTCACGACCACACTTTGAACTTTGAGCATGGAAAGTGTTCTTTAGGGAACAGAAACTGCTTTGGCAACAAGGACAATTTTAGAACTTTAGAACTATACTGCTCATTAGGACCTTGAAAGTCAAATGTTTGGATTTATTATTGTAGCCTTCATTTGACAGTAAAAAGCAAACAAACAAACAAAAATCACCAAGAATGGGTGGTTGTTTGGACCTGAAACCTAGGGAATTCTTAGTGGGTCACCCGCTTTCGCAAGGGTGTGTTTTCACCAACCATCTGGTGGGAATAGTTGTTTATTCATGATCTTCATAGTCTGTCTTTAAGGATGCTTTTGTAAAATGTGTCAAGTGTTCATTCAGTCAAAGCACTAAAAGTCATGGATTACCTCTGTAGGATATGAAGAGTCTCCAAATCTCCTAATGTGGTTGTCCAGTATTTGGGCATTTTACCAGACAAGGAAAGACTAAGAAGGATACGTGTCGAGCTCAGCAGATGCCTGGAATTAAGTCTTTAGTACATGTTCAAGAACATTCTCCCTACTAGTCAGTCTCCGCTTCTAAGGCAGTCGTAAGTGTGGATAAATGATCGATAAAGTCTGTCAGCCAGAAGCAGAGTGTCTAATCAAAGGAAGTTTAAAATAGAAAATGCTTCTACATCCACCCACCCTCGCCTTTAAAAATAGCTAATTTATGCATTAGTTAAGATTCAGCTTATTTTTTCTCAAGAAGATAATAAGGCAGAGTAATTTTTGTTGTTGCAGGGTGAATATAACTTTATCATCAGTTAGTATTTAGAATTATCTGAACGGATCAACCCTCATCAGTCACGTCAAAGTAACCAGACTAGAGATGCAGCTTTGTTGTCAAAGAGGATCTGTGAAGCTTTTGGATTTGAGGGCAAGGCTTTGTGGGTAGTATATGAGATGGTGAGATCTCCTTTATATTTCCCATAGACAAGACACAGGCTTCCTTACAATTGGCTGTCATTGCTGTCAAATCACCATAATCCTTCCAAGGACCCCTTGCAGCACTGGATAGCTCCCCTAGGAAAGCCAGATGTCTATAATAGTAGTGCAGATGCAACCACAACCCCAGGGAGGCATCATGGCCCTGTGATGTAAGTGCAGGTTAGCTTGTGTCCCTGGTTAGCTTCAACTGTGAAGTCTGAGCAGCCTGGAATGGATTTGGGCACACTCAATATGTAACTGGCTCATCTCAAGGACTTGACTTTTTTTTTTACTCTGCTCTCAGGTCTAAACATGGAAGCCACCATAGCAGAGATCCCCAATGTCTTTGTACTTGCCAGTCCAGCTTGTGGTTAGGGAACAGCTCTTTTTAATAATCTTATATCAAAGTCCTATGCCCTGTAACCTGTTGGGCCATGGTAGAGTCTGCCCTTGGTTCAAAAGCATGGACAATGACACCATACCTGCGTGTTCTCCAGGGAGACTGAACATTGAACTCTTTCTTGGTGTTCTTTTTTGAAGAAGGGAGCCCGTGGAGTGCCAGCGAGCCCAGCATTGAGCCTGAGGGAGTGAGCACTGCCGGCACAGAGGAGAATTACCACAGAAACATGTCGTGGCTTCATGTGAGTATCCACCTTGGGAGAGCTCTAGAACAGAGCCCTTCCTAGACTGTCAGCATAAGTGTGCTTCCGACAGAAAGTGTAGCCTCATTCTTTATTTGAAACTCTCAATTCAAAGTGGGAATATTATGCCACTGGATTGTGTCGAGGGTTATCTAAGACTAAGGTCTTTTGTTATATGGCTAGTTTGCAGGTCACTAGATCTCAGGAAAAACTCTGAGGGACTGAGCTAAGTCAATGTTCCAAATATCCTGAATGACACAGGCCAGGCACCGTGATCAATTTTAAACATATTGCTATGACCTTGCAAGCAAGGTCAGTGTCATTCTTGATTCTGTGTTAGAGATGGGCAAGAATAGCGAATTGGTATAAGTATGTTGTACCCATCTACAAAACTGTCAAAATATAAATAATTTAATTTTAAAACATTAGCTGTATCAAGGAAATTCTAGATGAGAAGATCAAGCCTGAGATAGACAGCCAGGGTGCAAAGGCGTGAAGGCCTCCCTTAAAACCTTTGGGCAAAGATGAAGCAAAGATTTGAACTGGGCATGAAGAAGTAAGGTGCTCTCCCATATTCTTTTTTATTGATTTTTATTGAGCTCTACATTTTTCTCTGCTCTTTTTTTTTTACTGATTTTATTTAGTGTTTTTGCATCAATATTCATGAGTGAAATTGATCTGTAATTCTCTTTCTTAGCAATGTCTTTATGCGGTTTAAGTATTTGTAGCCTCAAAAAGAGTGGCAATGTTCCTTCTGCTTCTATTGTGTGGAACAATTTGAGGAGTGTTGACATTAGTTCTTCTTTGAAAATCTTGTAAAATTCTGAGCTGAAACCATCTAGTCCTGGGTTTTTTTTGGTTGGGAGACTTTTGATGACTGTTTCTATTTCTTCAGCAGTTATAGGTTGTTTAATTTGCTTATCTGGTCCTGATTTAATTTTGATAAGTGACATTTATCCAGAAAGTTGTCCATTTCATTTAAGTTTTTCAATTTTTGTGGAGTAAAGGTTTTTGAAATATGACCTGATGATTCTCTGGATTTCCTCTGTGTCTGCTGTTATGTACCCCTTTTCATTTCTGATTTTGTTAATTTGAATATTCTCTCTCTGCCTTTTGGTAAGTTTGGATAAAGCTTTGTCTATTTTGTTGATTTTTCTCAAAGAACCAACTCTTTGTCTCATTGATTCTTTGTATTGTTTTCTTTGTTTCTATTATGTTGATTTCAGCTCTCAATTTGATTATTTTCTTGCTGTCTAGTTCTCTTGGGTGAGTTTGCTTCTTTTTGTTGTAAAGTTTTCAAATGCTCTGTTAATTCACTAGTGTGGGATTTTCCCAGCTTCTTTATGTAGGCATTTAGTGCTATGAACTTTCCTCTTAACACTGCTTTCATTGTCTCATAAATTTGGGTATGTTTTGTGGTCATTTTCCTTGAATTTTAGGAAGATTTAATTTCTCCCTTTATTTTTTCTTTGACCCATTGATGAGGGTGAGCACTGTTTAATTTCCATGTGTTTGTGGGCTTATGGAATTAGTATTGCAGTTGGCTTCTAGTTTTAAACCATGGTGATCTGATAAGGTACATGGGGTTATTCCAATTGTTTGTATCTGTTGAGGTTTGTTTTCTTACTGAGTATGTGATCAATTTTTGAGAAGGTTCCATGAGGTGCTGAGAAGAAGATATATTATTTTATGTTTGGATGGAACATTCTATAGATATCTGTTAAGTCCATTTGAAACATAACATCTGTTAGTTCCCTTATTTCTCTGTTAATTTTTCTGTCTGACTGACCTGCCCAGTGGGGAGAGTGGAGTGTTGAAGTCTCCCACTATTAGTGTGTGGGGTTTAATGTATTATTTAAGCTTTAGAAGTGTTTCTTTTACGTATGAGTATGTCCTTGCATTTGGTACATAGATGTTCAGTATTGAAATTTCCTCTTGATGGATTTTTCCTGTGACTAATGTGAAATGTCCTTTTTTGTCTCTTTTGATTGATTTTAGTTTGAAGTCTATTTTGTTAGATAATAGGATAGCTACACCAGCTTGTCTCTTAGATCCATTTGAGTGGAAGTTCTTTCCCCCAACCCTTTACTCTGAGGTGATATCTATCTTTGAGCTTGAGGTGTGTTTCTTGTATGTAGCAGAAGGATGGATTCTGGTTTTGTATCCAATCTGTTAGTCTGTGTCTTTTTGTAGGTGAGTTGACTCCATTTATATTAAGGGTTATTAATGACCAGTGATTGTTATCTCCTGTTGATTTAGTTTTAGTTGTTGGTAATGTTAATTTGGGGGTTTTTCCCTTCTTTGGAATTTGTTGCTGTGTGATCATCAGTTGTCTGTGTTTTTGTTGATGTAGCCAATTCCTTGTGTTGGAGTTTTCCTTCTAGTACTTTGTGTAGGGCTGGGTCTGTGGCTATGTATTGGTTAAATCTGGTTTTGTCATGGAATATTTTGTTTTGTCCTTCTATAGTGATTGAAAGTTTTGCTGGGTATCATAGTCTGGGCTGACATCCATAGTCTCTTAATGTCTGCATAGCACTTGACAAAGACCTTCTGGCTTTCATTGTCTCCAGTGAGAAATCAGGTGTAATTCTGATAGGTCTGTCTTTATATGGTATTTGGCCTTTTTCTTTACAGTTCTTAATATTCTTTCTTTATTCTGTATGTTTAGTGTTTGATTATTATGTGTGTGTGTGAACTTTTTTTTTTGGTCCAGCCTATTTGGTATTCTATAAGCTTCTTGTATCTTCATAGGCATATCTTTCTTTATGTTGGAAAAGTTTTCTTCTATGATTTGGTTAGATATATTTTCTGTGCTTTTGAGTTGAATTTCTTCTTCTATACCTATTATTCTTAGGTTTGGTCTTTTCATGATGTCCCATATTTCCTGGATATTTTGGGTTAAGCTTTTGTTAGATTTAATGTTTTCTTTGACTGATGAGTCTGTTTCTACTATTGTATTTTCAATGCTTGAGATTCTTTCTTCCATCTCTTGTATTCTGCTGTTCATGCTTGCATTTGTGGTTTCTGATCATTTTCTCATGATTTCTGTTTCTATAATTCCCTCAGTTTGTGTTTTCTTTATTGTCTCTATTTCAGTTTTCAAGTCTTGAATGGTTTCTTTCATATGTTTGATTGCTTTTTCTTATTTTTCTTTAAGAAATTTACTGATGTCTTCTAATTTTTTTGTTTGCTTATTCCTCCACTTCTTTGAGGGAATTTCTCATTTCCTCTTTAAGAGTCTCAAACATTCTCCTAAAGTTATTTTTTAGGTCATTTTCTTCTGTTTCATCTATATTTGGTTGTTCAAGTCTTGCTGTTGTAGGGTCTCTAGATTTTACTGGTGTCATGTTGCTCTTTATGGTGTTGTGTGTGTTCTTACCTTTCCTACTCATCTTTTCCTCTAATTGGTGTGGTTGGGGTTATCTGTGACTGGTGATTAACCGTCTAGGGGGCAGTGGATCCAAGGCTCAGATGGTTGTTCCTCATGGCACAATGAGTGCCATGGTTCTAGTTACTCCACTGGTCACTCCATGTTCCTGGGGATTACTCAGAGCTCTTGGGGTTTGCTGGGCTCCTGTGGAGTTTGCTGTCTCAGGCCTGCTCTGTTCTAGATTGCTGGCTCAGACCTGTTTCTGTAAATGTCCTTGGTCTGGATCTGCTTCTGTGGAGGTCCCTGATTGGAATTGATCCTGCAAAGGTCTCTAGCTGTGATCAACTCCTTCAGAGATCCCAGATCCCAGACTTGGGTGCACCCAAACCCTCAGAGGACCTGGCTCAGGTCTACTCCCTCAGAGGTCCCAGACTCATGCCCAGGCTCTGCAGAGGTTTCTGGTTCCTGCCTACTCCCTCCAGACCAATGCCTGGACCCATAGAGGTCCTGGGTCAGGCCTACTCCCTTGGAGGTTCCAGTCTCATGCCTGGCCCCATAGAGATCTCTGGTTCCTGCCTACTCCCTCGGATGTCCCAGATTCATGCCCAAACTGTCAGAGGTCCTGGCTCAGGCCTAGTTCCTGGGAGGTCCTAGACTGACACCTAGACCAGCAGGGGTCCTGGCTCAGGTCTACTCCCTGGAAGGTCCCAGATTCATGCCCAGACCTGCATCAGTCTCTGGCTCTGGTCCAATCGTTCAACAGTTGCTCCCCTGTACCTGCTCCTGTGGAGTTTGCTATCTCAGATCTATTCCAGCCCAGCTCACTGGCTCAGTCAGTCCTGCCTCTGCAAATGTCCCTGGTCTGGATCCACTCTTGTGGAGCTTGCCATCTCAAGCCCACTCTGACCTAGGTCACTGGCCCAGTCCTGATTCCACAAATGTCCCTGGTCTGGATCTGCTCCTGCTCCAGTGGAGTTCATCGTCTCATGCCCGTTCCTGCCCAGGTCACTGGCTCAGGTCTGCTCCTGTGGACTTTCCTGCCTCAGGCCTGCTCTGGCCTAGGTCACTGGCTCTAAACCAAATTGTCTTAATTTAGAAATGTTTAAAGGCTTCATAGGATGCTACTCTACAGCAAGGACTCACTCTGTCCTCTGACAGATAACAACGAATTCCAGTATTTCTTTCTGCAGTACAGTGGAATTGTCAGAATTTCTGTTCTCTTTGTCAGATGATTTCCAGGTGGCTTCTTTGCTCTTTAGTCAGCAAGCACCTAGAAAGGAAAGGCATCTCTCAATGCCTCCCTTCCTCTCTACCCTGTCTTTTTTGTTTTCCTGCAGAGGTATGGATCCTGTTCAGATGGGAGCTAATGTATAGCAGAATTGGGATCGCAGTTTCTTTTGTTTGTCTGATATTTGGGCTACAGCTCTACCTCAGGTCTTCTGTTTATGCACTGCAGTCTGATCCCTCAAGGGGCTTGGTCAATGAACTTGGAACATACCATGCCTGTGCATGTAGAGGTCAGAGAGGATGCTGGCTGTCTTCCTTTTTCATTCTTCATTTTAGTTGTTTAAACAAAGGTATCTCACTAAACCCGAAGCTTATCCATTTCAGCTAAGCTGGAAGGCAAGCCAGCCAACCAGTCAGCAAACTCTCAGGATCTACTTTTCTCTGCCTTCCCAGTGCTGGGGTACAGGCACATACAATCACACACAGATTTTATGTGTATGCTGAGGATTCAAACTAAGTTCTTTGTGACTGTACAAGTACTCTACACACTGAGCCATCCTGCTAAGCCAGAAGCTGCTCTTAGTTCTCTACTTTGTGGGGCCCTGAGTCATGACAAATTGTTTCATTAAAAACAGCAGGAGACAACTAAGAAGAGAGAAATCACAGTCATATGCAATTTAGTCAGAAAGGGGTATTCCAACACCTTTGTCATATGCTATCAGTGAAAAACAAGATGTTGGACTAACTCACACTCAGTGGGAGGAGAATTCACAGAGCATAGATAGCAGATTGTATAAATCACTAGCCATCCTCTCAGAAATAAGCCTAGTAAAGGAATATCAGTGCAGAATTCTAAAGTTACAGATTATAGATCGCTAAACCAGTTGTCTCTAACCTCAGAACTTCTATATCAGAATTCTCTGAAGCAAAGTCTAGTGAAATGCTCTGTGTGTGTGTGTGTGTGTGTGTGTGTGTGTGTGTGTTTGTGTGTGTATACTTGAAAGGCATTCTTGGTGTTTCTCTTGATCACCAGGTTCAGAGTAACATGAGAACCTTTTGAGGTCTTTCCTATGTTCTCCCCATACTACAGCATGAAGCAGCATATCAGAAGATACACAGTAAATTTGGAAATGAGCTGGATATTCTACCAAGACACCATTTATATTTGTTGAAAATGTTGGAAGCTTAGATATGGTTCATTTGATAGAAGTATGGAGTATGGAGATGACTGTGGCTTTCATCTTTGCCTCAGAATAAGCAAGACATGTTAGTCTTAAGGCAGCCTGGGCCTGCTCTGCCAAGTAGGTTCAGTTGGCCTCCTCTATTTGCTCGGGCTTTTTGTTCTCATTCATTACAGCACACAGTCCTTCACAGGTTAGTCCCCAAGGTGAGAGCTGATTTCTGGGTTACAGAAGCATTTAGAGTGTTGCTTTATACAAACTATCTTTTAAGAAAGGTTACTTTAAACATTATATACCTGGGTTCAGAATCTAGCACCCACAACCAGGTCACAACCGTCCATAACTCAAGTTCCCAGGGATTCGACACTCCCTTTTGACTGCCATAGGCATGTGTGGTGTAGATACAGATGTGCAGATGAAAAACTCACATGCGTAAAATAAAATAAATCCTACAACATTTTGAAGTTGTAAACTTGGGGTCTGGGGGCTTCAGAGATAGAGCACTTGCCTAAGATTACAGAGTTCCAGGAGCTTGATCCCTAGCACCACAAAAAAACAAAAGCCACAAATTTGGGATGAAGAGTTGTTTTTCTGTGATAGATACTTGTTTTGCGTGTGCGAGATCCTGAATCTGAGCACCAGAATTGCAATTTCAATTTGTATATTTCCGTTGCAAATTCGTTTCTCTCTTAAAATAACTGTATCTTTTAAATCAGCTGAGTGCATATCTAGAATCCTAATGGGAAATGTTAGGAGATGTGTTAGAACCAGTTAAACTATTTCAGACAGGGAGCTAGAGTGGCTTAAGAGTCAGAGAAGGAAGTGTGTGTAAGGTGGCAGGGAATCAGCGGGAGAGTTGAAATGAGGCTCTCTGATGGGGTTCAAGTTTCAGTTCATGATGACTATCCAGACTGAAGGTGCACCACACAGTCCAGGTGGGTGTTAAGGGTGCACCCAGGTGTTCAGGGTCAGTTAGAGAACCCTGATACTGGGCTCAGCATTGTAGACTCTTCCTTCTGGTTCCTATCACAGTGGAAGAGTTGGAGTGGATAGGTTTTGAAACTATTTGGAAGCCATATACTTCACAACCAGTGCTTACGTGTTTCTAAAAGTCACTCTTATTAACTAAGTATGGAGGGAGAACAAAGGCCAAATAATCAGAGCCCCGTAGCTGGCTGTTTACCTGTGGGATACTGAGTTACTGGTTTTTACTCACTGATGAAGAGGTCTTGCTCTGATTCTCCATCTTCCGTGCCTGTGTGCCCTTGTGGCCTGGTTGAATATGTGGGTGTTTATTTCTTTTCCAGGTCATGATCTTACTATGCAACCAACAAAGTTTCATTTGTACACACGTGGACTACTGCCACCCACACTGCTACCTGCACCACAGCCGCTCCTGTGCCCGGCTCGTCAGGGCCATTAAACTGCTGTATGGGGACAGTGTGGACTCCCTGCGTGAGAGCAACAACATCAGCAATGTGGCTTTGAGGGGCAAGAAACAGAAAGAGGTGAGTGAGCAGTCACTGGGCAGTCTAGCAGGGCAGGAGAAAAGACGTATTTATAGTGAAGTTTTTATCTGCCCTGGATCTTAAATTTCGAGCAAAAGCAATTATACAAAGCACACTACACAGATCTATGCAGCGCTAAAAACAGCAGGAGATGTGTGAGACAGACGGATGCTTTGTTTGTGTTTGTGAGTCAACATGGAGCATTACCCAGACTTTGTTTTATAGACAAAAATTCAGGGAGTTTGTGGTGGTGAGTGAGTAAAGGTAGGGAGAAGAACTTCTCCCTGGGATCTGTGAACAGGACACCTCACGTGACAAGTAAGACTTTGCAGGGATGGTTATGGATCTTACAATGAGAGAGAGTCCTGGATTATCCATGTGGACTCAGTGTTGTCATGTGTGTCTTCATAGAGGAAGAAAGGACTTCTGGGAGTCAGGGGCAGAGCAGGTGACAACAGCAGACAACAAAGCTGAGAGGAGGCCATGAGCCCAGAGGAATTATTTGTAAGTAACCATGAAAAGGGTGCAGTGTCTAGGCAGAGGACGCAGGGATACACTCCTAAAAGTCTACAATCATACTCCCCAGAAAATACGTGCACAAAAATCAGTGAAATGGTTGTTTAGAGGTGTGTGCTGCATACAGAAAACTATCACAGTTTTGCTAAGATGCGTCAAGGGAGGAAGACTAAATGGAACTAAGTAATTACTGTAAAGATTTTCTGCTTTTTTCATAGTTTTTGTCTTTTTTAACAACTCTGATATGCACATGTATTATTTTTGAGTAGAAAGATACAGCACACAGATAGGGATTTTAAATACCACACGGCTTTTCAGAAGGCTGTAAAACATACCTCTCCATCCCTGTGGGAAGCTGTAGCTATAAAATGACTGTGAGGGTTTTTATGCTATATATTTATTTATATACATATGTATACTTTATATACAGCATATTTCCTATTTATTACTTGTTTTAGATTTCTAGGTATGCATTTCTGTGGTTTCTTTCAGAAACACAGCTAGAGGTCTGACGTCCTCTTTCCTACGTAGTTCACTTGAAAAGACGGTCCCAGACCAGTCTTGTAACAGATTCATGGTCTTGGTTTTGTTTTGTTTTGTTTTTTTTTTGGTCAGATTTTCAGGTGACTTTCTCAGGGCATGTGCATGCTTGTGGATTTACTGTTTCTTTCAAAATATCTCCATTTATCACACTGTGAAGCTTTGCCAAAAATGCTTGAGTTTAGGGGTTTTTTTGTTTTTTTGTTTTTGTTTTGTTTTGTTTTGTTTTTTTGGCATAGAGGGAAGAAATGTTTCATTGGCCTGACCCTGGCAAAATAAATAAATGAGCTCTATTCTGTGAGGGCCTGTACAGTCTGGAATGAGAAGGAAAAAAAAATCAGGAAGGAATCCAAAGACAGGATTAACAAACAAGGAAAGACCAATTCTTCTCCAAACTGCTCTGACCCTCCCAGGCTTGGCACCTTGGGAGTCAGAGGCAGGCGTTGTCTCATCTTTGTGTAGAGGAAACAGCCTGTTCTGGAACCAGGTTAACAGCACAGTTTGCAAAGAAGAGCTGTTGTTTTCTATAGGTTTTTTCCCCCCAGGAATCCACTTTAGCTTTCCAATTTATGTTGAGATGATGGGAAGTATTGATGTATTCTTCCCCAGCCGCCCTGTCTGCCCTTCTGTATCTTAACACTTGAAATACTTCCTTTCTCCCCTGACCACATACTTGAGCGTGTACCTTAGAATAGAGTGTATTTTATCTAGATTAACTTTTATTTTAAATTTCTTTTAGCCACTTGAAAGAACATAATCAAACCTAAATGAAAATCAGGAAACTTTTGTTGTTCACAAGTCTGGCAAATAACTAGCTTTGCGACTTAGTCAGATCAGCCGCTGCTTGTATCCTTGTTCCTTTGAATGTAGAAGAGAAACTTCATAAGAATCATATTGACTCCCCTTTTCTCAGCAAAACCCATGCTTTTCAGAAAGTGTTAAAAAAATATATACTGTTCAAAAAAATGATACCATCGTTTAGAAGATATACTGTGGAGAAAAGCGCTCTGGGTTTTGTGAACGCACGCACCTTCAATGCATACCTCTCCTTCCTTTAGTGTTCAGATAAGTCCTGCCTGAGGACCCCTTCACTGAAGAAGAGGGTTTCAGATGTCAACCTGGAAGGGAAAAAGGACTCCGGAATGCTGAAGTACATCAGGCTTCAGGTATTCACATGTGGATCAGAAACATGCGTGGGGCATTAGCAGGAAAGAGCCCCCTGACGTCCTACCAATGAGTGTTTGGGACACACAATGAAAGCTGGCACTGTGTTGCCATGAATACTTTCTTGACTGGCCAGCAAAATACCACCAAGTGCGCAAGGGGTGAAAAAATCCTTTTTGCTAAGACAGCCGATTACACAGAGCAAGGCCTAGAATTTGGGTGAAATGCATCTTTCACACTTTGCAGTCTCAGATGGAGCTAATCTCCCACTAGCATGGCTCTCCACAGGCTTCCAAATGAGACCATCTATATTCATACTTCCAGTCTGCTTCTCTGTCTCTGAGACTTGGGCAAGGAATTTCATTTCCCTAGTGCTTTGTTGTCTCATCTATGAAAATAGGATCATATGAATATACCTATCTCAAAGGATTATTTCATAGATTAAATAAAATAATACATTGGCCTACTTATCCAGTTATTGACACACTATTCTCTTGCTCTTACAAGCCAAGCTTGAAATCATCTCTTTTCATTATGGAAATAAAGGACTTTTCATGTTTTTCTAGAATGGTTAACATGATTGCTTATCTATATATACATATGTATGTATGTATATATGTAGATTATAGGTAAGCATATATGCATACATATGTATGTGTTTCCATGTATGTTGGATATATATACATATATGCATACATAAATTATGAGAAATAATGGATTAAGTAGGACTTTATGAGTAGATGTGGGGCCATAGCCACAATGTATAATCATGCCGTTTCAAAGGGAAATATCATCCAATTTCAGGCTGCCTTCGGAAATTAAATTTCTAAATGGACTCCCTTATGGGTTCCAGATCTCATGTGGTTTTCAATGGAAATCTGCTAACATGGAGAAAATAGAAGAAAGAAAGCTTTAAAAAATCTACCAGAATTTTGAAGACAAATCATGGTTGTTGCTTTCTTTCTTTTCTGTAGAGATGCCCGTAGTTCGTGGTTAATTTTTTTCAGTAATTGTAAACCAGTGTGTGTGATGAAAATATTACAGATCAATATTTCTTTCTGACTCACCTCAACTAATAAAGTACAAGGTTATATGCCACATCACCTAAATCCTCTCCCATTTAGGAAATATCTTAAGGTCATCCAAGGGTACCAGAGAAGGGAGGTGGTTCTTAAGTTTCTTAAGTGATTGTTGTCTTAAAACATTTTGAATCGTGATTTGCATCTCTTTCCCAGGTGATGAGCTTGTCACCGGCTCCCTTGTCTCTGCTAATCAAGGCAGCTCCAATCCTGACAGAGGAGATGTATGGAGACATCCAGCCCGCTGCCTGGGAACTGCTGCTCAGCATGGATGAGCACATGGCAGGGGCAGCAGGTAAGGAAACACTGCCCGAGATCTGGCTCCTGTGGCCACGAATGACCACAGCTTTGAAACAGAAAAAGAGGCACCTTCGATTCCCTTGTCAGGGTGTTGGACGTTTCTAGACCTCCAGAGAGTGGTGTATTTCTGAGGAAAGTAGACCCATGTTTTCAGGGTTTTCCTTAAATTGTGGTTGTATGGTTTGAGATCCTCGGACCACTCTCAGCATAGTGTTCTGTGACTATGATGGAATACTTTGGGGCTGGAAGTGCACTTCAGTTGGTAGAATGCTTGATCATTCTGCACAAATACCCAGGCTGGGTCCTCAGTGCCACATAAAGCCAAGCAAGGTAGCACATGCTTGTACTGCCTCCACTGGGGGTGAGAGAGGAGGAACAGAAGTTCAGCATCTTCCTTGGATGCCTAGTGAGTTCAGTGTCTTGTCGGGCTACGTGAGACCGTGCTCCAAAGTAAGCAAAGAGCTAACACACACACACATGTGAGAGAGAGAGAGAGAGAGAGAGAGAGAGAGAGAGAGAGAGAGAGAGATACACACAGCTAACTCAGAGGAAAGTTTGGGCAAAATGATACAGATGTAAAAATATATTCTGTTCCTTTAGGAATCTTGAGGATATGGGTTGGACAACTCAGGCGGTTTCATAGGGACTCAGGTTGCTATAGACCATTTTATCACAGGTGTAGGCTTTCTAAAGTTTCTGTAGACAATTGCTCATGGACTCTGAGCCAACAAGCTATATAATAATAATAACTGTTGTCTAACTGAACAGGCATATATCAGTTTGGTTTTCGAAGTCATGACTTATGTGGTGATGTATGCCTACAGTTCCATCACCCAGGAGATAGAAGCAGGAGGATCCTGAGATGAGATCAGTCTGGGTTAGATAATTGAGTTCCAGTCCAGCCTGAGGTAGATGGTAAGACCCTGGCAAAAACAAACCTTAAGGATTAAAGATGCAGCTCACTGACGGAGCACTTGCTTAGTGTGGACAAGGTTCCAGACTCATCTCTAGCCTGAAAATAAAGACATTAAAGTAGTGGTTGATTTTAAGTGGCCAGTAACTGGTGACATTTACAGTGAGTCATAAGACACTGCGTCCTAGTGCATGTGGCAGCTGAAGCAACGGGTGCCTGGTGTCTCTTCAGGAGAAGGGTCTGGACTAGGAAGGAGTACAGAGATGGCCTTGAAGCACTAGCCCTCTCTAGCTTTTGAGGTCTAGAAAAATAAATTCAGCAGAAAAAAAGGCCCCCTAAAAAGTGATGGAAAAAAAAAGAGTTTTCACCTTCCCAAGCCACGAAAGCAAAGGAGACTAATTTTTATGGGATTTTTTTATGGAGGTGTTAAGAGGAAAGAATTATTCTTAACACATACACACAATATTTGGTTTGCAGGCAGCTTAGGACTATTTTGGTAAGAAGAAAAAAGTTGAACTATTCAACAATGTAAATATAAGCATGATGCTTTAAATTTGAGGCAGGGTGGAATACATTTGAAAATGAAGAGTGGGGCTGGAGAGATGGCTCAGAGGTTAAGAGCACTGACTACTCTTCCTGAGGTCCTGAGTTCAATTCCCAGTAACCACATGGTGGCTCACAACCATCTGTAATGAGATCTGGTGCCCTCTTCTGGTGAGTAGGCATATATGCAGACAGAACACTGTATACATAATAAATAAAAACCTTTTAAAAAAATAATAAAAAGTTAAAAAAATGAAGAGTGGAAATTTATATAGTTAGCGGGCTAAAATTGTTTATCCAAAGTTAATGATCACAGTAACTGGAATTTATTGTCGAATTATGTCTCATTTTGTTAATAAAATTTAATTCGTTTTTGTTTTGTTGGGGGGTTTTATCCATTGCTGTTGTTTTTGAGACAGGTTCTCACTGTGCAGCCCAGACTGTCCTTCAACCTCAGCCTCATTTTTTTAAGAACTACTGGGGCACAATATTGCCTGGCATAAGTAGTTCATTTTAGAGATGAAAAAAACTCGAGTCAGAGTGGAAGGAGCTTGTGGAATTTGTCCCACTCAGAATCCGAGAGCCATAAAATCCAACCCAGACCTTCAGACAGCACGCTACAGACAATCGTGCTTTATGTCACTTTGTTAGAGAAAAATAAAATGCACTTCAGAACTTCAGCGAACTTCTCAGCTCACAAAGCGCTTTCCAGGCTGGGAAGATGGCTTAGGCAGCTGTGTGATCTCAGATGCCCAGCAGAAGCGTGAAGCGCTTTCCAGCGCAGCGTTTTCCACAAACTTGGAGTGGGTGGTGTCGAGCACTCGTCATTCCTCCTGGCCATTTTCCAGGGAAGAAATAGAAGCTATGAGGCTTAGAGTCTCGTCCAAGGTCATGCAGCAGAGGAGTGTCAGGAGTAGGACCCAACCTCAGCGATGCTGGCACAACTGAGCGTGATGTGGGGCTCTAGAGAGAGCATGTGTATAGCTTATGTCTTTATCCTGCCACCAGCCCTTTTTTCTGTGCTATGAGGGTGTTGCTCTTTATTCACAAGCCCTGTAACTTACCACCACACCCATATTTCTCTTATTAAGGCTTAGCTTTTGCCAAAATCTAAGATTTTAAGTCTTCAAAGTCATGAAATCACTTTTTGCTTCTCAGTCTCTGGGAAGGGCAAATGTTCAGAGTAGAATCTCCATCATGCTTTTCAGATGGCCGAGAGAGCTGAGGTTGTTGGAAAGACGTCTTCTGTGTCGTCCTCGGCTCACTACTGAAGAGTCTATCCAGTTCCCAAACAGCACATTCACAGTATAACTTTTTTTCATTGTTTTCTCTGGTTCTGCCTTTTCACCATGAGCCAAAAGCTTTGATTGGATGAGTACTCTACCAAGATGTCATGCTGTTCCTGCTTTGCCAGCAGCTATTAGATGTCCCAGTCACACAAAGTTTGCTATTTAGCTTCTCTTGGCTAGAACATTGTTAGCACTGGGCACTGCCGGTGCTCAAACTTTTTCATCTCAGGAGTGGTTGTGAGGAGATAGGAGCAGTTCCCATATCACCTCAAACCCTAGAAACAATGCAGTGTCTTAAGATGTGCAGCTGATGAATTAATTGTTGGCTGTCTTTAGCTGCCATGTTCCTGCTGTGTGCGGTGAAGGTACCAGAAGCTGTGTCAGACATGTTGATGTCTGAGTTCCACCATGCAGAGACTGTACAGAGACTGAATGCTGTCCTCAAGTTCCACACGCTCTGGAGGTTTCGCTATCAGGTCTGGCCAAGGATGGAGGAGGGAGCCCAGCAGATTTTTAAGGTGAGAGGTGCTCCGTCCATGGATCAGCACAACCAACCTAGGGCTTGTCTAAATGCATGAAACCCAGACCCACAGGACACAGCAAAAGAATTCTTCTTCCCTCTTAATGTATCCGTAAGCTTAACTCATAAATAAATAAATGCTATTTGATTAAACAAATTGGAATATGCAAGAGTTTACAAGAAGAAAATCAAGTCAGTAGTAGCCTGAATATCTCATTGCCACCCTCGGGGTAAGAACCTAAGTGTGGATTGTAACTGTCCAGGCTTTTGTTGTCTACACACATACAGATGCTTGGGGCAGCACAGAGTAATCAACTTGTGATGATTTTCTTAAAACACTTCATTTTGCTGATGAGTAAACTGAGGCCCAAAGAGGATCATCCTGTGCCTTATGACAAAAAAAAAAACTTAGAAAACATCCCTTTTCTTATGCCTCTAAGGAGCCGCTCAGACCCTTGACACCTACTAAGGCTGACGGCGTTGAACTCTACCTCCAATTTCTACTCCATCTTACTCATCTCACTCTTCTGTGTCAACTAACAGATCCCGCCTCCCAGTATAAACTTCACCTTGCCCTCGCCAGTACTTGGAATGCCATCTGTCCCAATGTTTGACCCTCCATGGGTCCCTCAGTGCAGCGGGAGTGTCCAGGACCCCATTAATGAAGACCAGTCTGTGAGTACCAGGCCCTTTCTTTCCCTTATCTCCATATTGCAAGGGATGCATGAAACCATTTGGTTTCTTGTTATGAGAATGCAGTAACACAGAAAGCCACAGTGACCCACAGTATCAGGAATAGTAGACACCAGCTTCTGTCAAGCTAAGTTTTGATTTATTGTCAAAGCATGAAACAGGCACTTATTTACTGTCAAACAAAACGTTTTTGCTACTATTTGTTATTATATTAATTTAACTGCAATGTGTGAGCTACCTGGTGTTTGAAGGTATGGGTCCACAAGGAGAAGAAACAAAGTCAGCAACTTCAGACTCTTGTTTCCTCCTCGCTTCATTGCCATCCCCACCATCACCATTGCCGCCACCACTAAACCTTTAGTGTGACAGTCTTCATATGTACCACGGCCACATGTGACAGATACAGCTAAGGTTATTTACAGAAAAAAAAGAACAAAGCAAATATGTGCCTTTTGGAATAAACGTATCTTCAAAACACACCTTAATCATATATCGAGTAGCATGCCTCTACATTAACAATAGTGTCTTTTATAAACTCAAAAATGAAGCAAATACAGAAAGGGAACATATCTCAGTGAAAACCCACCATTATGTCCATGAATAAATTCCCATGAAATTTCCATAATTTGGTGTGTATATGTTAAGTAAATTCCATATATCTCCCAAAGGCCTTCAGAAAGATTATACCATTACCTTACACTTTATACAAAAATACATTTTCTGTTGTCAATGCAAAACTCATCTCTTGCTCCAATGGGAATAAGAGATAGCTAATTCTGAACCAAATATTAGTGACATGGCTTACAAATATAGATTTGTAGTATTCTGAATTGCTGCAACCAGCGCAGCCTGGATAGCCAAGACTGGCGGGGGGTGCCGGGATTGAGACATGGAGGCTTTTTTTTTCAGGTGGAAGAACAGCAACCTTTATCTTGCCCAGCAACCTTTTATACCTCTACTCCTTCTGTGGAGACCCACCGGCCAGAAAGAACACAAACATCCTTGTCAATTACAGACCAGAAGGAAGTTCCGCTGTCAGTCAGGGGGAGTGAGGGCAGCTGGATCACAATACAGAATGATACCTTGCAAGAAGTTTTATGAGCATCCATAGTGTCAGGACAAAAGAAAGCCATTAATCAATGTGATTACTAAATAAACGGGTGGGAAGATTAGGAGTTCTAGAAGAAAGATGAGGTGTTCTCTGCTTCAGATACTACCCTTTAACATCTTTAGCTCTGGCATTGGTAGAGCCTTGTGGTTTATGAGTCGAAGACATCCCAAAGATTACTTGTTAAAAGGGGTTTTAGGTCAGTTGTAGAGGTTTGTAGTTAGTGACGATTAAGGGAACTAAATATAGACCAAGATACTTTTGGCTTTCAGTCTGCGCATCCCTACTTTCCACAAACAAGAAACTCTGTCTAGATCTACGAAATTTTGAACAGCAGTGTGATTTGTTTCTGCGGTGTGTGTATATGGGGGCGGGGACTTCAGCTCACATGGTTTGCATATCAGATACTTTGAATGATAAAATAAATTGTAGGTATTTTAATTTGCACATCTTTGAAAATATTAGTTGAATATGTGAAGTTGAACATCTCTGCAGGCCATGCATAGATTTTTCTAGGCATTTGCAGTGTTCTCTGTAGAACAGTTCACCTGAGCCCTTACATTCCTCACATATGCTATTGTCTCCATGCCTGATGGCCCTGCAGTGACAAAGAAAGCACACCTGTTTCTTCTTTCACGTGTGCATCTGACACAAGTGTCTTTGGCTCTCTCCCATGTGATAGGAGGAGATGGGTTCCTTTGATACCAATAACTCTCTTCCAACAATGGATGAGAACCGTTTTCGGATTTTATATCCAGCATTCATTCTCTCTGTCTCCAGCTGCTGCAGTCTGCCTTATAACAGACTAGCTTAGCTACCTGGCTCTGGAAACTAACCATGCGAGCTGATGCTGCACCATTCACCTGGTTGTAGCATGCATCACGGTAAACTGTTCGTCTCCAGATATCTCTAGAACCATCTGTGACTGTAGGGCAGCAGAGAGATGCAAACTTGCTGTCGTACTTCAACTCCAGTGGCCACTGCCTTGCTCTGATCCCTGACTCTGTCCCTACAGCTCTCAGCGGCTATCTCAGCAAATGCCTCATTACTAAGGAAAACATAAATGGTGCAGGCACTGCATGGGATAAATCTTCTGTTCTTAGTCTTTTTCATGTATGGGACAGTAGGTTGGTTTTAATGTTTTTACTTCTTATTTTACACTCAACTTTACAGTGTCCTGCTTTACATTCATTAACATGCTCCTACAGAGTATTTCCAGTGTGCCGCTGTACTTATTGAGGAATGGTATTTACATTGTGCAAATACTTGAGTGATAAAATGAAGTAAATCATATTACTAAGTAGTTTATTTGGGAGCCATAACTCTTTCTTTCTCTTTTGCATGTTCTATTTGATTAACCTTATATGATAAATGTGTCTCATTTAACCCAGTTTAATAAAAGTTGTTCTTCATGTTTAAATCGTAAATTGATACCACCTGAACATATGAAATACAATTGTTTCCAGAAGTCATAGACATTCTTAAGGAATAACGATGAGTAGGGGGAAAAAATCACCAACTGCAGAATTTTAATATGTGTGTTTTGTGTGTGTGTAGATAGATAGATAGATAGATAGATAGATAGATAGATAGATAGATAGTTGGATATGAATTAGGTCGTGGATGACCTAATATTTCCTGAGTGATTGTTGGATCACTCTTGGTGCCTATGCTCCTGTAAGAAAAGTGGCGATGCACTTGCTTTTGTGTCTCCACAGAAATCTTTCTCTGCCCGGGCTGTGTCCCGCTCGCATCAGAGGGCAGAGCATATCTTAAAGAACTTGCAACAGGAAGAAGAGAAGAAACGCCTTGGTCGTGAAGCCAGCCTCATTACCGCCATCCCCATCACCCAAGAGGCTTGCTATGAGCCCACCTGCACACCCAACTCAGAGCCTGAGGAAGAAGGTGCCTTCCTAGCTGGGACTTCATAGTGGTGGGGGGCATACCACAGGGAAAGAACCAGCTTTCACATAAACAAGGATGAGACCACATGACATGCTCTCCCGTCTCTCCTTCACAAAGAGAGAAAAAAGATGCTATTTTCTGAAGTTTAGAATTATGGTGTACCTAAAGAGTAGTAGTAACCTTGAACAAACCAGTCTGATAGCAGGTCAAGAATTGGTTGTCATTCAGGAAAGATGAATCTCCCATGCAAAACCAGCAAATTTGTTGAGTCTTCCTTACTAAAAACAAGTTTGCCCATTAGCCATTTTTAATGTCCCAAAGTATAAATAGCTTTCGGTGGTTATCCAAAAAAATGATCCGTGAATCATTCTAAATTCATTGATTTAGCATTTGTGGGGAATTTTACAAGGAATTTTCTGCTTCTGTAAAAGTTCTCTGGTTTTCTAAGTATGTGGTAAAGTTACCTAGCGTTCTGGTCTGAGAGTGGCAGTATTGTTGTAAGTACAACTTTACTTGTGGTGATGATAAATTTGTGTTATAAAATCAAAATTCACATTCCTCATTCTGCTTGCCAGTAGAAGAAGTCGCCAATCTGACGTCCCGACGGCTGTCTGTGAGTCCATCCTGCACCTCCAGCACATCCCACAGGAATTATTCGTTCCGCAGAGGGTCAGTCTGGTCTGTACGTTCAGCAGTCAGTGCTGAAGGTGTGTCCTCTGGCCAACGTGCTGTTCTTGATGACTATTTTGTTCTGAGACACATTCTAATATTAGAAGTGCTTTATGACTTAGAGTTTATATTTAGATAGGTGAGCAAATTTGAGTTCAAGGTTTTTGTGATATTAGCATCCAGCCTTTATTCTTTTGCTGAGATCTATCTAGTTGTCTTGTTTATTAATTATTAAGTATACTCTCCCTTAAATTTTCTTGGCACTATTTTCAAAAGACTGTGAGTGAAGTGGCCTATCTCATGATTCTATTATACTGATCTGTTTCAGTCTCTGTCTTGATTCAACTCCTGGCAGTCTTGGTTATAGCTTTCTAATTAAGTTTTTAAATTGGAAAGTGAAAGCCCTCTCTCACTTTGTTTTTCATTTCTAAGATTGTTTTAGCTATTCTTGATCTTTTAGCATTCTTGTGTGAATTTTAAGATGGGTTCATTCATTAGGCAGATGTATCTTAATCACTGTATCCATGAACATGGATTATCTGTCCATCCATACTATTTTAATATGTGTGATTTTTTTGGTTTACAAATCTTACACTTCTTTTGTTGAATTTATTCCTATTTAATCTGTTGTTGTTTCCAGTTTATAGAAACTTGTTCTTCAAATTTCACTTACAAGGTTTTTTATTATTAATGTGCGGAAGTAAAAGTTAATTTTTCCACATATATTTTATGACCTGAAAAATTGAGATTGATGAGATTGTTTATTTCTTTTGGTTTTTTCTCTTTCTTTCTTTTCTTTCTTTCTTTCTTTCTTTTTTTTTTGAGACAGGTTTTCTCTGTGTAACAGCTCTGGCTGTCCTGGAACTCCCTCTGTAGACCAGGTTGGCCTTGAACTCAGAGATCTGCCTGCCTCTGCCTCCCAAGTGTTGGGATTAAAGGCGGGCGCCACCACTGCCTTGCAAGATGGTTTATTATTTTCAGTGATATTTTGTGTACGTTCCTTAGGATTATATAAAAATTATATATACTGTTATATATAATCTTGAAATTACAGTCGCATTATTTTCAAACAGAAACTATTCACTTCTTTCTAGTGAAGTTTCCTTATATTTTTTGTTATTGACTACTAGCCCTGCTAGTTCAAGGACAATGTTACTAGCAATCCTAAGTGGAAAGCATTTAGTCTCTCACCATCAATTTATTGTATTAACTATGAATTTTTAGTCAGTAGTCTTTGTAATGTAAAGAAACCTCCTTTTGATTCTCAGGGTTTTAGTGTTTTAATCATGAAATAATCTCATATTTGTCAAATGGTTTTTATGCACTAATTAAAGTTCTCTTGTGCTTTTTTCCTTTAATTTACATGGCATGTTGCATTACTTGTTTTATGTTATACCATGCTTACATGCCATTGCAATGGAAAACCATCTTGGTCATAGTATGCAGCCTTTCTTTTATATGGGTCTAGATACTTTGAAAATACTTTGTTGAGGATTTTCAGCCATGTGTGCACAAGGGATATCGATCCACATTTTTCGCTTCTTGTACTGTCATCAGCTAGCTTCAGTATCAGAGTATACACATAGCTGAGTGTTCACAAAGGTATAAACTGCCCTCAAAACACTGTTCTTGATGAATTCCACAAATAGAGATATATTGTTTTTATTTTCATAAATATCAAAGTCCTTTTAATCTCCTCTGTGAATTGTTAACTGACTGGTGTTTTGAGTCAAGGTTATTCTTACATATTTGTAAATTCTCCAAATTCCCTACTGTTACTGACGTCTGATTTCATCATAATAGAATGAGAAAGCACAGATTGTGTGAGTGACTGTGGCTCCCTTACTGAGTCCATCCTGCTCTATACTGGTCGCAGTGTTTCCTATTGACACTTGACGTGTGCCTGGCTGCAGTGCTGCTTAAGTCTTTGATTTTCTTGTGAATTCTGTCTAAATGCCCTCTTAACAAAGGATTATATAGTCTCCAGTAATTATTGTCAAATTGTTTCTTTATCCTTTTAATTCTGCCATTATTTACTTTGTATGCTTTAGTGTTCGACTATTATATGCATATAATTAATCTTCCTAGTAAGAGTTTATCAAAACATGTCCATTCTTGCCTGTAGTAAGAGCTTTTCTCTTAAAATATACATCATCTAGCATGATGTTTACCTTTCCAATTTCTTTTTCGTTTTTATTCACAAGACTTATGTTTGTATAGAATGATTTTGAATCAAGTTTGTATGTTTTTTTTTTATCCATTCCACTAATTCTGCTTTTTGTTTGGAGAATTTAGTCCATTTTCACTTATGGCAATTTATGGATAAACTAAGATTTATGTCTTCCATATTAAAAGACAAAATATGCCACATGAAATACGATTTTGTAACATTTGTTTTCTGTTATAACCACTTTTACGTTTATAGGACGCTTATAACAAAATACAGTATATTCATAATGGCAACCTTAAAACTACTGCCCAATAAGTACCATCGCATCTAAGCATCCCCAGGACAGGTTCTATTGTCGCGTTTGTTCCCGAATATGAACAGTGTTTTCTTGTTTCTCTGAGTACCTCATACATTTTTTTATTGAAAGTAAATCAAGTCAAAAAAAAAAAAAAAAAAGCTGGGCAGTGACAGTACACGCCTTTGACTTTGATCCCAGCACTGGAGTGGAATCTCTGTGAGTTAAAGGCCAGCCTGGTCTACAGAGTGAGTTCCAGGACAGCCTGGGCAAGATGGAGAAACTCAATCTCAAAAAATCCAAAAAAAAAAAGTGAATAAAGTTCATAATGTGGAAGATATCTATATTGTATCTACCTCCATCTGTCACTTTAACACCCCATATGCATTTAACGAGCAGGTAGGATTGAAACCAACAGAGTAAAGCTTATATCTTCCAGCCCCTCACATGCCCCCTAAAATCTCGATAGGCACATAAGAGAACTCTTATAGAACACGCAAAGACTCAACGTTCGTTATATGTTATAAAAATGTTTATTTTGTATTGATAATAAGTGGCTTTATTTTCATATCAATATACTGTTAAATAACTTTGCTACCTTGCTTGACGTCTACTACCTTCATTGCCCTTTCCTTTATTCTAAGAGAAACAATTACCAATTTTAATATTTATTGTATTTATCAGATGAGGACGTTAACATGGCTGGGTTTCACTATTCCCGTCTGAAATGTACATGATTTCTGCTGCCTGATGTTCATGCTATAATCTCTCACACATGTCTGTGATACATGGCACCTATGGAAAAACGCCTTACTCCTCACTTAGGATTTTATTTTCTCTGATTTCATACTATGAACCAGTGTCCTCTCTACTATGCCTGTGCGTCTCTCCCTCTACAATACAAGGTTAACGACAGTGCTGGGGAAGAGGGTTGATTTTGTTGTTTTGTAGAGGAAGGCACACTCCATGACGTCACACTCTTCTATTTTAGCAATATTATAGATTGTTTCGTCAATTAGGATTTGAACCGCAAATTGTTGTTGCATTAGGATTTTGTCTTTCCCTCCAGATGAGGAACACACCACTGAACACACACCAAACCACCATGTGCCTCAGCCTCCACAAGCAGTATTCCCAGCATGCATCTGTGCAGCAGTCCTTCCCATTGTTCACTTAATGGAGGATGGAGAGGTGCGAGAAGATGGAGTGGCAGGTATCATTTGGCCGGTCAAACCGTTTCATTCTTACCCTGCCTTCTTAAGGAAACAGCTGTTTTCTCTTAAACACACAACCTGTATACTATATGCTAGATTGTTTTATGTACATATTATGATTATAGATGTTTAACATAGCATGCTAATGTAATCACTTTTTTTCTCTACCTCCTTCTCTTGCTACTTTTATTACCTTTACCAAGAAATTGCATTAAAATATGTTGCTAGGTCCATGAAAATTTTTATTATCAGAAAATATGACATATTTAGCTATCAAGAAGTCAAACAGTGATTTTTTTTCCCACCTCAGAAATCTCAGCTATTAATTCAGTCTCATCAAAGCCTTCATTCCTGCTTGACTGTCTTTCCAGATACACCAGTCAGGAAAAGCCTGAAAGATGGAATAATAAAATAGGGATAAAGTGGCTATATTTATAATGGACAAAAGTTAATGTTCTTTTTGCCTTGTTTTTCTCTCTTGTTTTAACCTCTGCTAAGGACTGAACCCAGGATTCTGTGCATAATAACCAAGACCTCTAACACTGAGATGCTCCCTCAATCCTCCTCTTCCTTTAAAAAGTTGAGATAGAGTCTCATTAAGTTGCTAGATTTGCTTTAAACTCACTTATAGCTGAGGCTAACCTTGAATTTGAACTTCTCCTGTCTTAGTACCCCCACCCCCGCCAAGGCACTGGAATTGCAAGCCTAGGCCACCAGAGTCAGCTAAGGTTAATATTCTTTCAGGATTAATATTTTTACTGCAAAAGAGAGCACAAGATTTTTATCATTAATATTAAAATTCAATAATAATTTTAACACCCACCCCAAAATGAGCAAAAGTTCTAAGCAGTCTGTGGGCCTGTTATACACACATGAATAACGCAGCTATATAAAACAGTATTATTTCACATTTTGTTTGCAAAGCTGTAAACCTTATTTCAAGTTGAAATATCCAAAGTTAGAGAAGAGGCAAGAAAATTATCAAGAAAAATAACACCTCAGAAAGAGGCATAAATTTGGGACAAGCATTGGAATGTTGTTTTACAATATACATAAAAGGCTGAAAGCTATAAAAAACCCTTTGACATAAAGTTTTTTTTAGTATAAAAACTTGTAAAGGACCTTGCATATTATATATCATATATGATAATGGATCTTTGAAAATGATATAAATGCCTTAACATAGGACATCCTTAAATCATGTTGCTTTCTGTATGATAGGATTCTCAACACTTTGGAAATCATAGTCAAAAAAGTAAGCTCAGAGTGTTCTGCATGATGCTAAGTAGAGTTTGGAATTGTATTCTCTATAAGCTGCTTTGAAATGACCCCAAAGTTAGTAGCTTTCTGTGCTGATGAACTTAACAGTTTCTATTTTTCTCTCCAATTTTTTCTGTATTTCCATATTTTGAACATCATATTGCTTTATTGAAGCAATAAGACTTTTTTCAGTCTTATAAAGATATTTTCGTAAGCAATTTTTACCTAGAAACCCCATCTCTGGACTGTGTGTAGAGCTCAGTGATAGAACCCTTGCCTCGCATCTGTGCATCTATCTGTAAACCCCTGGTTTCAGTCTCCAGTGCCACACACAAGCATGCACACACACAAGCATGCACACACACAAGCCTGCACACACACAAGCATGCACACACACAAGCATGCACACACACAAGCATGCACACACACAAGCCTGCACACACACACATTATCACACATTTTTATTGACTTTATTGAACTATACATTTTTCTCTGCTCCCCTCCCTTTCTCTCCCCTCCCGTTCTACCGTCTCCCATGGTTCCCATGCTCCCAATTTACTCCAGAGATCTTGTCTTTTTCTACTTCCCATGTATATTAGATTCATGTATGTCTCTCTTAAGAGTCTTCATTGTTGTCTATGTTCCCTAGGATTGTAAATTGTAGGCTGATTTTCTTTGCTTTATATCTAAAAGCCACTTATGAGTGAGTATATATGATAATTGTCTTTCTGAGTCTGGATTACCTCATTCAATATGATGTTTTCTAGCTCCATCCATTTGCCTACAAATCTCAACATGTCATTTTTTTTTCTGCTGTGTAGTACTCCATTGTGTAAATATACCACATTTTCCATATCCATTCTTTGGCCAAGGGGCATTTAGGTCACACACACATTTTAATTATTTAGAAAGATGCTTGAAAATTAAAGCTTAAAATTATATATTTCTTATTCATATCATTTATTTGTATAGCTCTTGATATTAATTGGATGGTTAATTTATGAAGCAAAAACCAATAGTATTATTTATCAAAATATAGTCTAGATGATAAATTCATACTATATTCTAAACTCATAGCTTAGAAACCAGCAGAACTGAGGACCACTGTTTAAACTGAAGATCATGTGTTGTTGACCTCCACTCCTGTGCTTCCTTCCCCAAGACTCATCCAGGGAACCTTATCCTGACCTGTGTTGCAGTGAAGTAGCACTGTCCCCATAGGATTCTGTTTTTATTCCTAGAAATGAAATTACTGTGAATTCAACTACTCTATCTCCCTGAAATCGATACTGTTTAAAGTATCTGGATAATAAAAATTCATTCCTAGTTTATTTGTATATTAAGCCAAACCACATTTTAAAACCTAAATAATTGCTTTAGAAATTTATGCTGGGGTTAGAGAGATGGTTCAGCAGTTAAGAGCATTTGGTTTGATTCCAGTACTGATATAGTGGATCGTAGCCATCTGTAACTAGTTCCAAGGGATCCAATGCCCTCTGATTTACTCTTTGCATACACCAGGCTCACTTATAGTATACATACATACATGTAGGCAAAACACTCATATATATATATATATATATATATATATAAAATAAATAAATCTTAAAATTGTTTAAATAAAGTTAAAATTTAAAGCTGAATTTATGCAAAACGCAATGAAATTGACTTTATTTCAATGAAGACTTGCATTGCCAACATTAGGCTGGTCTCCAGGGTGAAGACAGCTGAATATACTCGCAAATACAGTGTTTGCAAAGCAGTGCTGATTCAATATTGTTTTCTTTTCCTTATGTGAGAAAATATTCAATAAAAACAAAACCCAGCAGCTTTCCACCTTTTAATACAAAAAGTATTCAGAGGACTATTTTTTTAATATCATGACCATGTGAGCTTTATTGCCTTTTACTCTTTAAAAAATAATATTATTTGAAAATTTTACTATGTGTACAATTTTAATCATATTCATCCATCTCTCTGCTTCTCTCCAACTCAGTCTGGGACCCACAAACCCTTCTCTTCCCCAGTTTGATGTTTTCTTTCCTTTGTTGTAGGAAGAATGGGCGGTGGGACGCTAGCTAAACCCCCGAAATAACCACACAGAAATTGTATTAATTAAATTACTGCCTGGCCTATTATCTCTAGTCTCTTATTGGCTAATTCTTACATCTTAATTTAACTCACTCCTGTTAATCCGTGTAATGCCACATGACTGTGGCTTACTGGCAAGATTCTACCAGCATCCGTCCCAGGCAGGAGATCCATGGCTTCTGCCACACTGCTCTTCTTCCCAGCATTCAGTTCAGTCTACTCCACCTATCTAAGTTCTGTCCTATCAAAAGGCCAAGACAGTTTCTTTATTAAGCCAATGAAAGCAACACATAGACAGAAGGACATCCTACACCATTCCTTTTATTTTACTTTATTTTTTTATGTGTAAGGTTTCTGTCTGTGTATACATCTGTGCACCACATTCATGCCTGGTGCCTGAGGTTATCAGAAGAGAGCATGTGACCTCTTGGAACTGGAATCACAGATGGTTGTGAGCCACCCTGTAGGTGGTGGGAATTGAACTCAGGTCCTCTTGAGCAGCAGCCAGTCCTGCTGACTTCTGTGTCAATCCTCTAGCAAGGATGTTATCAATATTAGTAGCCCCTGCATCCAGTTATTGCTGACCATGTGGAAATGATGTGGGGCTATCCACTGAGGCAGAGGCAACTTGTTAATAGCCACATACCCAAAGAAAAGTAACTCTCCCTCCCTCTACAGCCATCAAATGCCACTAGCTCCTGAGCAACAAGTTCGGACTCCGGAGCCCTTCCCCCACCCATACTGGAGTTTTGACTGCCTTAGTCTTGTACAGGCAATCACACCTGCTAAGTGGATTTTGTACCAACCATGTCCAGAAGACAGCATTTTAGAGTGGTTTTATCCATCTCCTGACTCTTAACATTCTTCCTATCCACTCTTCCTCAATGTTCCTTGATCCTTGGATGGAAAGAGGGTCATAGAGAATATCCATTGTATGGCTGAATATTTGCAACCACTTATTCTCAGGACTTGGACCAATCATGAGTTTCTGTCTTAAACAATTCTCACTGCAAAAGAAGAGTGTCTTTGACCAAGGGTAAGAGCAGCTTACCTTTTATAAGTTTATATATGTAGATATAAATATTGAGAAGCTAGTTTGACAACATGACCATTTAGTATTGCATCAGCAGGCTCCCCCTAGAATCCTATTCCTGGCTTGTTGACCAAATTACAGTACCAGCCATGAAATCCATCCTGTGGAACAGCCTCAGATCTGATCAAAGGGGTCACTTTCCCCTAAAATCATCTTGCTACTACTGGCCAATGGATACCAATTGCCTGGCAGATCAGCAGTTAGATCCCTGGGACTCACATGGTAGAAGAACATCAACTTCAGAAAAGTTTTCAAAGCAGAAAGAAAGGGCTCACTAAAGTTTAGTGAATCGTGTGAAAACTTCTTCTGGTTGATGAACTTATGGCTACTTTCTTTTCTCTTCTGAAGTCAGTGCTGTGGCCCAGCAAGTCTTGTGGAACTGCTTAATTGAAGATCCATCGACAGTTCTTCGACATTTCCTGGAAAAATTAACTATCAGCAATAGACAAGTGAGTTGCTCTTCCTTGTCTGTAGCTGTGAGTATGGGTTCTGCTGGAAGCAAGCAACGGACTCGACAGTGTTGGTGTGTGATGTTAGTGTACTCTGATGCGTACTAATAGGTGCCTTTTATGTAATCATGCGCAATATTCATCTTTGCTAATGCAGTTGAGATTTCTCTGGTTTTTTTTTCCATGTGTGCATGGCACATTGCTTGGTGACCCAAAGACTTGCAAGATTCTCAATATTTCAAACAATTATTAAATAAAACTTGATGTTTTTAGGGTTGAATACATTTACAGAACTCTAGTCTTTTGGTAGCCTGGAATGCTAGTGGGGTTATTCCAGTGTGTTAATGTTCTCCATAACCCGAAAAGTTAATTTACCAGAGCACCTATAAGGTGTTAAATAAAAGTCATTTTCTGGACAATAAGAAAACAAACCACTGATTAAAAATGATTTCTATTGTGATTATATTCACTGGAAGATTGAGTTTGGCTTCTGGGAAGTGAGGTTGTTTACAGGCATTTCAACTTACCTTCCCTTGGCTTCATTTTATCTTATTGATTTGAAACCTAGGAAAACAAATTAGGGAAGTCAATTTTTCTAGTACTCATAGTACTTTCTCAAATTAGGTCCCTCCCCACATCCCCTTTCCACCTGGCAGCCATGACAAATGCATCCTGCTAAGTGCACAACTCTTCCATGATTTACCAGTCACCTGTAGACACAGTGCAAAGTTGTATTTTAAAATAAAATTGTCTGCTGAGGGGTGATATGTATATATTATTCGTAAAAGAAAAGTAGTCCCACTCATTTGCATAGTAAGAATCACATATAGTATCAGTATCTATGGACTGGTTTCTGCTCTGCCATGTTAAAGTGGTGAATGTAATTAAAATTAACTAAAGGGCAAAAGTTAGGAAAATTTCCTCTTTTCAAGCAGTTTCTGACAACATGGCTGTGTGAGGGCTGCTGTGTGAGGGTTGACGCATCTGCTTTTCTTCCAGGATGAGCTAATGTACATGTTGCGCAAACTTCTCTTAAATATCGGAGACTTTCCAGCTCAGACATCACACATCCTATTCAACTACTTGGTGAGTATCAGCAGCTAATAGATTAGAAATGATTTTGGTAGGAATTAGGAACATGGAGAAAGTGGAGATCCCTCCCCAATAAATTCCTCATAATTGTATAATTGAAGGGGGGTCGGCAGAAGTTTCCACTTTTAGTATAGGGAAAGGCCTGCCTGGCACAATCTTTGGCATCCAGTGGACCCTCAATAAATGTTATTTTCCTGGTTCTCCTTTCAGCATTAGGCAACTTCCCTATGTTAGTTAGTTCACGTCATTTTTAGTTATCCCAACACACACACACACACACACACACACACACACACACACACACACACACTAGTGAAAGACCCCCGATCAGGGGAGACTCTCACTCGAGCCTCGGGATGACGCGAACCCCCCCAGTAACTCACAAGAGACCGTCCTTGCTGCAATCACACAAGGTTTAATGACAAGACGACAAGACGGGGACCAGTGCACTGGGACCGAGACTCATAACCCACGCAGGGGAAGAGTTCGACCCTGAGTGACCGGGAGAAGTAGTTTTTATAGGAAGAAACCATGCAGCCCAGTAATCCGAAAGGGGGGCAGAGAGGGTGTCACAGAAAATTCCAAAAATTCCAGTGATGATTACAAGGGGGCAACTCCCTGACTCTCAAGATCATTCTCAAGGTCGTAATCAGCTAGTTCCTATACCAATGATAATTACTAGGGGGTGATAATTACTAGGGGGAATCTCCCTGTTTCTCACGATTACTCTCAAGATTACAATCTACCTTTATCTTCAGCTAGTTCCTGAAACCCTGAAATTGGCTAATCCTAGATTTCTGATTCTTCTCTTCCTGCTAGATTTTTGGCTCTGTTTTCCTGCTAGGGGGATCTGGATTTATCCAGGTCTTTCACTAGAAAGAATCATATCATAAGTGTAATTTTCCATAGCAGCTTTTATGCTTTATCATGATCCAACAGCTCCTCTCTGGCCCCTCCCAGACTTACCTGCTGTTTCTTCACATTCTTCTCCTTAAAACCTTAAAATGCATTTGAATATGCATTCTGTTTGGATACCGAGGCATGTTAATTATTCTGGAATTGTTCCTCAAGCCAGGCAGACAAGCGGACAAATAAATATCTTCATTGGCATTTTCTCCCTTTGTGTTATAACCATTTCAGCCATATGAATAGACATCTGTAGCAGCATGATAAACAGCTCACATCATAAATCTACGAGTGGAGGCAGTGTTTGTAATTCCTTTATTATGTCTATGACAAATTTGGTCTTCCTTCTCAGTGTCCACTCGTTGGCTGCTCAGGAAAAAATAAATATGATTCACATGAAAGCCATCTTAGCCAAGTGTTCTCTGTTGTCCCCTGACTAATGCCCCTGGAAGTGTTAAGAAAGCATTTGAGCTAAGTCTACAAATGCAGGGATGATTTAATTTTAAGAAGAAAAGTCAAGTAAACGAAAACTGGAGTGTAGGAATAACATGGCTCTGTGTTTGTTCTTTTGACTCAGGTGGGACTGATCATGTACTTCGTGCGGACTCCGTGTGAGTGGGGGATGGATGCCATCTCTGCCACACTGACCTTCCTGTGGGAGGTGGTCGGGTATGTGGAGGGCCTCTTCTTCAAGGATCTCAAGCAGACGATGAAGAAGGAGCAGTGTGAAGTGAAGCTCCTGGTCACTGCTTCCATGCCAGGTAATTCCTAGGTAGAATTATTTATGTATATTCTCCTTCCAAAGACTGGGGACTTTTCATTCACAGGAAAAATAGAGTTCCAACCACTCATATTGAATGCACTCAAGAATTTTTGTTTAGTATAGTCAGAAGGAGTATAATAGCCCTTTCAAAAAGTAAGGAGTTGTGAGGTGAAAAGGCAGATATTTGAACGGAGTGCCAGGAAATCAGTCCTTGAAGCCTGGCCAAGGTTAAAGATTTATTTAAGTCTATCGCAGAGGACCAGTCAAACTGAAAGCCATTGTGAGTGAATTTTTGGCACTGCCATTTGAATGGCATTGTTTCTACAGCAAGGACCCTGCGCCTTTGTAAATTCAATGAGAGGAGGCTTTATAAAAAGCTGGAAGAGGGAAAAACAGGAAGAGGGAGAAGGAAAGAACACAATGGCTGTTGTCAGCTCCTGATGCAGTCCCTCTACACTCAGCACAGCTTGTCTGTCCTCGGGATGAAGATTTTTAACAAAGCTTTATCCTTGTGCGCGGAGTATTAAAATGTACGAGGATATGTGCATTGAAATGAAGAGTAAGGCTAAATTATGCAGAGGTGAGAACACTGACTCCAACAGCAAAAAAAAAAAGTTAAAAATCAGCCCTGCCATTTAGTAACCTTATGACTAGAACTAGCAGCGGAAAAATAAAATCATTTCTCATTTCTCATGCCTTCTTTCCATGAACATATTTAAGTGTGATTCCTAACTCACAATTATGATGAATGCATTAGTTTCTGTAGATGATATACTTTATTGAAAGACCTGAGTTGTGATAATCATTCAAGAGGGATGGATAATTATACATTTGTATGCTGTGTAGTCAGGATTTTTTACATGAAAAAAAAAGTCATATTGTCACTTGTATTCTTAAAAGCTGGTTATGTAGCTAGTTTGAAGTCAGTCTGGGCTAGATAAGATCGTATTACCTGTTTCAAAAGCAAGCAAATTAAATCAAGAAGAATTTGATAAGCTTATTGATACTATTTCAATTTTAATGTTTCATGTCGTAAATGCAAACTTCCATGAAGGACTTTGTTCATAGTTATTTTTATTTTGGGTAGGTACCAAAACCCTGGTAGTTCATGGACAGAATGAATGTGACATTCCAACGCAGTTACCCGTCCATGAAGACACTCAGTTTGAAGCCCTGCTGAAGGTAGGGAAGTCTTTTTGACAGATTGTTATGCATACCCATGGCCTCCTCAGTAAATATGCTTTAGAATTATAATAAATGGCACTTTCCGTATTCAAGCTAACATATCCAATTCTTCACTCTCCAGAATCCCCTCTATTGTTGTACACTTATATAATTCCTACCACTTTTAACTGACATTTTAGCTCTGTGTTAAAGCAGGCAAAATTGGGCAAATTCTGTCTCAAACAGCAGTGTTGCCTTTGGATGTTATTCCCAATTCCCCTGAAAGCTGTCAATTCCAGTTTAGGAACATTCGGTGTTACTGTTTTAGCTTTTTAGCTGGGCCCTGGTTTTGCTCACAGAAGTAAATTCTAGCCATCAGCTGATGTAATACCAAGAGCAATCTATATAGTACAGAAATCACTGGTGATGCAGGAAATATATAACTTAGAATAAATCAGGCAGGCAAAGAAAAAACTTTCTAAGGTTTATAAGAATCCCCCTTAAAAGGAGTGCAGTTGATTGCTACCTGTACCTGCAAGGCTTTTACTGTCATGTATTAACTGTGCTAGGATGATAATCTCCACTCATCTGGAGTCGGCATCCTTAATCGTCTTTCCTTACTGGGTAAGAATGGAACCCATGTACTCACTCATAGGTGGTTTTTAAACATAAGGCAAAAAAAAGGCGGCCCACAAACCACAATCCCAGAGAATTTAGACAATAAAGAGGATAGTAAGAAAGACATGCATAGATCTAATCTACATGGGAAGTAGAAAAAGACACGATCTCCTGAGTAAATTGGGAGCATGGGGACCTTGGGGGAGGATTGAAGGGGAGAGGGAAGAGGCAGGAAGGGGAGCAGAGAAAAATGTAGAGCTCGATAAAAATCAATAAAAAAAATTAAAAAAAAAGAATGGAACCCAGTTCTGGACCCTAATATAGGTAGAAAAGTGTAAGTGGGGGCATGACTTTTCTTTCAGACTTCTTCGAGATCCTCTGAAACTATCAAGCTTTTAACACCACCCATTGGCATACTTGCCTTGGAGAGTGGATACCAAGATTCAGTCAGTGTGTCCCCTTCATGGCTTCACTACAGCCAGTGTAACATAAATCACAGAACCTCTCTAGTCAGTTTCTTTTCCATTAGCAGTATCATCTTAGTTTGGCTCTACACGTTATCTACAGGGACAACTCTGGAGCCAGCCTACATAAGCACTAGATGCATTATAGTTAGGATTATTCTTGATGCCGTTCCTAGGGATACTCTCCCTAATCTCATGCCCAGGAGGCGCCACTGTCCCTTCATAGTCTGTCACTCAGTCTTAATTAAAACTGTGCTACTTTGGGCACTGTAAGAATAGATGACTTTATCAGCCATTACTATATTACCTTAGATAAATGTATCCCTGTATGTTCTCCTGTCCCTTTAAGAATTACCTTGTGTCTTCCTAGCATATTATCTACTACCAGGTATTATAGTCTTAGTAAACATTTATAAAACTTGTTGCTATTGCTCTAGGAGTGTCTAGAGTTTTTCAACATCCCAGAATCCCAGTCAACACACTACTTCCTCATGGATAAACGATGGAACCTCATCCACTACAACAAGGTAAGCCTGCAATCATGATGTCCGTGCTGCCTGTGTCAGAAGCTCCCCAAACCTTGCCTAAGTGCAACTTATTACTGCTGAGGTATCACTCATTCAGTTATATGCGTGGTCACTTGTGTCTCTTGAGCTTTGGACCAGCTGATTTATTTCTACCCCTTAGTGCCCCATCTGTAAAGAGAAACTGTTTAGAGTATGTGTGCCAAGGTGGCTGTCATCGTTGGAGGAGATAGGCCAGCTTGAGCTCTTAGCTAATCATCGTGGTTGATAAGGGTGAACGTGTCATATTTTTATATTGTATTGAAGCTTTGTATAGCTGTGACCAAATACAATACATAAGGGAACTTGGAAGGAAGGGTTATTTTAACTCATAGTTAAATTCAATTCACTAAAGCCAGGAATGCATGGTGACAGGAGCTGGAGGGGGCTCATCAGTCCCATAGCATCTGCAGTCAGGAAGGCTAGCAAGAGTGCCTGTGCTCAGATCACTGCCTCCTGTATCTTCAGTCCAGGTCCCCAGCCCATGGCATTGACAGCGAAGACTGACCAGCCCATGCATCTAGTAATGGCGACTGTGTGCCTCTTTGGAATTTTAGCCATTTTGGCTTTCTTTCCCTTACTTTAAACATGATGATGGTGACTTGATCTAATGAACAAAGTGATACTATAGGTGGTCCCCAGGCTTACTTTAGGTTAACCCTCAAACAGAGTAATGTATCTCCCGACCTTGCACCCACTGCTGAGAGTAGATACCCAGACTGGGCAGAGTGAAGGTTTCCTGAGAAGGAAATATTGCCTTCTTTAAGGTTCTGTGGAAATCAGAAGTGTAAAGTAGCAAGAACAGAAACCATTAGAAAATAAGAGAACGTTTTGTCTGCCTGCCTTTGGATAAATAGGAAATGAAAATAAAATATAATTTGTGTTAAACTGTTTTTTCTCTCTCTGTAACCCACTGCAGACCTATGTTCGAGATATTTATCCCTTCCGGAGGTCCGTATCTCCACAGCTGAACCTTGTACATATGCACCCAGAAAGGGGGCAGGAGCTCATTCAGAAACAGGTGCTTAGCCACACCTTTTTATTCTGGGTCATGTTGGTGGTGGTGGGGGGGAGGGTATCCTGCACACACATCACACACATTACCAGCCTTGAGATTCTGCAGTTCCATCACGATCCTGTCTTCTGATAATGGATGATAGACAACTTTGCTCAGTACATTGTCCCCTCAAATATGCAAGTTTTATAAATTGGATCCTGGTGCATAAGTTATTCAGAGAAACTCATATAGGATAATATTATGAAGCATATAATAGAAATACTCTAACTTATTAACTGGCTAGTTTCTAGGGTTTTCATTTCACATTTTTATAAAGTAGTATTGAAGGAATACATAGGTGACATATAGTAGTATATGATTGCAACCCTGGTACTGAGAAGTGTAACATGGGGGCTGGCTTGTTTGTGTTTTTCTGTCCTGCCCGACCCCCCAGCTGTTTAGTCCCAGAGAAAAAAAATCACACAAGAGATCTCTATAAATTATAATGCTGATTGGCTCATTAGGTCAGGCTTCTTACTGGCTAACTCTCACATCTTGATTAACCCATTTTCTGATCTATGTTAGCCATGTGGCTCAGTACCTTTTTCAGTGGGGCAGCTCACATCCTGCTGCTTCAGTGATCTGAGCAGGAGTGGGAGGAATCAACTTCCTCCTCCCCAGAATTCTCCTGTTCTCCTTGCATCATTTCCACTTCCTGTCTGGTTTTCCTGCCTATACCTCCTGCCTGGCCAATCAGCGTTTTATTTAAAACATGATTGACAGAATACAGACAATTCTCCCACACCAGAGAAGGTGGAGGCAGATAGGGTGTTCAAGCTCACCCTCAGCTACATAAGGGTTTCAAGCTGTCATGGACTCCATGAAATCCTTTATTAAAAAAAAAAATAGGGGCTGGGAAGATACTGCATGTGTAAAGAGCTTGCTGTGCAAACTTACGGACATGAGATCTGACCCCAACACACATAAAGAGTTCAGAGTCTTGGTGTGTATCTGTACCCGCAGTGCTGGGGGGGGGGGGAGAGGATGGTGGATTCACAGGGCTCCCTGACCAGTCAGCCTAACTGAAATAGTGAGCTCTAGGCTCAGTGACAGCTGCTGTCTCTAGAAATAAAGCTGAGTGTGTAGACGCATGAAGTTGCTGGGATTAAAGGCATGCTCCACCACAGCCCAGCTAAATGCATAGCTCAAGCTGGCTTCAAACTCAGATCCTCCTGCCTCTGCCCCTTCACCATATCCTACTGGTCTGCATCACCAGAGACGGCCATTATTAGTGACTTAAGTCAGGTGAAAAATAGGTAAAAATAGAGTGCCTCAAAATAGCACCAAACTAAAAGCCAGAGGTCTAGATTCCATCCGTACTGTGCAACTGACTAGGACCCTGACCTTAGTGGCTTTTGAAAACAGAACAGACACAGCCGAACAATCTAATGCTGGAGAGCAGAATAGCGTTCACATGCTTGACCTCAAATCAGACTTTGATCTTAAAGAAAGTCAGCAATCTGCATACAGAACAGGACTTTATACACATTACCAGAACTGATAATTTTATCAATGTAGTTCTAATGCTTGTGTATTAACAAACTTACCTTTAAGAAAAATACATAAACAATAATTCAAAGATACTTAATCAACTCAGTTTTTCTGCACACATTAAGAAGGCTACTTTTTACATTAAAATATCATTCATGAGATCATCAAGGAGGCTACTTTAAAATATCATTCATGAGATAAATGAGGAGGCATAGCAGTAGGAGACATAAGTGACACTTTAAGGTTGCAACCATTAACTGCCTCCTCCGTTGCTTTTAAAAGAAAGAGGATGCTCAGTCTGTTGCCAAGTATAAGGCGCTGGCCAAAGCTTGAACAGCGCCAAACAGTGCCTCTCCGAAATGACCACAGCCTTTGATTTTGCAGCACAATCGTCAAAAGCAGGGTCAAAAATGCTGCTCCACGGGCGTGTGTGATTTTTGTTTAAAATCACACTTTGAAGATTGCTGTAATCGGGCACGACTCTCTCTACTCCAAGCTGGAACCCCAGGGAGATACAACATGGAGGCTTCCGTTCTAGCTCAGAAGTCTCTGCAGCAGCTGCTCGTTACTCGGGAGCTTCCTAGTCCTAGTCCTTTGTCAGTGACTGTCACGAGGAATGAAAGACAAGAGCCAGAGCTGTAGCCGTGCGCCTTCCTAACTCAGGAACAAGCGGATATCTGGGGCTGTCAGCTTTTGTATCAATAACTTGCTCCTAGATTCCTTTTTGTCTTTCCTGAAAAAGACAAACCCAGAACTGCCAGGAAGCATCTTGAGGCATCTGTAGAGAGGCAGAGGCAGTTGTCACTGAGGGCCAGCTGCTGTCAGGGAAAGGCTTCCCTGTTGTGACACCCACACAAATGGGGCTCTGTGTAGGTCTGGACTCTCTTGACAGTCCCTGATTTGTGCTTCTCTGGGCCACAGCCCCTAAGCTCAGACAGCTTCAGAGACTGAGAGCCCATTAAATACTGTTTTTGTTTCTATCTGGTGTCTATCTATCTTCCTCTTTCGGTTCCTCCCCTTTGTTTCATTCCATCAGTCGGGTTTGTTACTGAAGATCTCCAGTGTCTTCGCTCAGCTTCCTAACTGTGCTCCGTCTGCTCCTGCTAGGTGTTCACCAGGAAGCTGGAGGAAGTGGGGCGAGTGCTGTTCCTCATCTCCCTCACCCAGAAGATCCCCACAGCGCACAAGCAGTCACATGTCTCCATGCTTCAGGAGGACCTTCTCCGGCTGCCCTCCTTCCCCCGGAGTGCAATAGACGCTGAGTTTTCGCTCTTCAGCGACCCTCAAGGTACTGCTGGAGGAAAACCATTCCTCTTGACCTTTTTTTCATGTCTTTGTTTAGATCTGACCACTGGACACCAGTGGTTCTCAAACCTGAGTATACACCCGAGTTAGTTGGAGGTTATTTCAAACGCAGCATGCTGGTGCCCATCCTCCAGCTGCCAGTTTCAGGGTGGATCCCAAACTCACATGTCTAACACACTCCCAAGGGATGCTGGTGCTGCTGGTGCTGCTGGTGCTGCTGGTGCTGCTGGTGCTGCTGGTGCTGCTGGTGCTGCTGGTGCTGCTGGTGCTGCCTTTCCAAACACTGGCTTTGGAGACCAGTGCTGGTGAGGGATTGCAGCAGGTGAGGGAAGCAGGGGAATTCCTGCACAGCGGAAGGGCTCCCCTGCAGATGCCGGATCAGGCACCCAGGCACCTGGTTTCACAGAGCTCCTGTTAGGCAGGAGAGAAAAGCTAAAGTGTCTGCTCTCTGATGCCCGCAGAAAAGCAGCCGCGCATGTCCTTGCAGGTGTGATTTTTGAAAATTTTTTTCTATTTATTGGATACAAATATTTTAGAGATTATCTAAAATAGAAGTTAAGGTTTCAAAATACACTTAATACAAAGTGCTAATTAGTGGGAATGACATTGAGTATAACTTTTTTTAAAAAAAAAACAACAATCTGTTTTTTATTTTACACACCAATCCCAGTTCCTGCCGCCCTCTTTCTGTCCCGCCCCATCCAACTTCCCCAATCCCATCTCCCCCCCCCCCATCTAATCCTCAGAGAGGGTGAGGTCACCCATGGGGAGTCAACAAAGTCTGGCACAACACCTTGAGGCAGGAACGAGGCCCTGGAAGGTATCCCTCCATAGAGAATTAGCTCCAAAAAGCCAGTTCATGCATTAGGGATAAATACTGGGCCCACAGCCAGGGGCCCCACAGACTGCCCAAGCAGGTGTAATTTTTAAGAGTGGAAAAAGAGAAAGAGGTGAGATCTGCATTAGAATGGGCAAGGATGCCTGCAGCGGTGGGGGGGGGGGGATAAAGGACAAGGGAGAAGGAGACAGGAACAAGGGAAAGGGGGAAGGGATATTTGTCCCAGAGAAACAAAGGAATACCTGTGAATAGAGAGGAGACTGGGGTAGCCCCTAGGACAATGGCGGTTTATAAAAGGAAAATTGGGACCCCGTGATAGGATGAGGTGTTTAATGTTAATTGGACATGTTGATTAGTTGTGCCAAAGGGGGCTTCTGACTGCTGGACTTCAATACTTTGTTAACTGGACTTTGGTAGTCAGCCTCAGGAGGAAAAAGTAACCAAATAAGGGAACAGACCTTTGAGCCTGGCTTTAGGAATGTAATCTAATGGGTTTTTAGCCACGTAGAGAGAACTGGGGGAGAAGGGGAAGGCCTGTAAGAACCACTTGTTCCAGTGGGCTAGTGTCCCTTCAGTGTTACTACACCGGAGTCCCGTGAGTAAGCAAAACACAAGGTGCAGTAAAAAGACCTAAAGGAGGCCAAGCTAATCCTGAGCGACACAAATCAGAACAGTGCTGCCCCCGGTGGGGAGAAATGCGTGACCCGCTGGCAAAGCCTGAGGGCGCTTTAGGAAGGACCTAGGCCTTGGGTTTTATTACTCTGTGTTGTTGCAAAACTCGCTGAATACGCCATTTAAATTCTGTTCATTTCAGTGTAACGTATGCCTGAAGTGAGTCAGAGAGTAGCAAGAGACCCAGCTAAGAACCTTACTGTGTTACCGTGGTTGATTTAGGACAAGCCACTTAAATTACCATCCCTGGGCTTCAGGGTTCCTGACAGAAAGGGTTCTGGTCTAAATGGTGATAAGAAAGCCAGATGCTGACCCCAACCCTAACTGTTGTCCAGCCAGAGAATGTCTTTCAGCAGTTGATTTAACAGCACGATACTGCAAATGCCTGTCCTGGCTTGCCCAGGCTTAAATGAAAGAGGTTGTTGGTGCAGATCCTCAGGGGAGAAAGTGTCCTGCCCATGCAGGCAGCATCGTGCTGGGAAACCGTTCAGCGGTAGGTTTTCTGGAACTGGAACAAGCAAATGGGAAATAGTTGTGCGCTGTCCTTTGATCCCCTGCTCATGCTGAGAGGGCTGGTGCTGGACTAATTCTGTCTCCGCTGCTTCATGTTCCCACAGCTGGGAAGGAACTGTTCGGCCTCGACACCCTTCAGAAAAGCCTGTGGATCCAGCTCCTGGAGGAAATGTTCCTGGGCATGCCTAGCGAGTTTCCCTGGGGAGACGAAATCATGCTTTTCCTGAACGTGTTTAATGGGGCTCTGATTCTCCACCCCGAAGACAGTGCTCTGCTCAGGCAGTATGCGGCCACTGTCATCAACACAGCTGTGCACTTCAACCACCTGTTCTCTCTCAGTGGCTACCAGTGGGTTCTCCCCACCATGCTGCAGGTGCCTGGCATCCCCTCTCCTAGCTACACAAGGAACCTAGCCCCGCTCAGACCTAGCAGTCCAACAAGTTAACTTCTTTGTTACAGCAGAAGGCACCCACCGAAATCCCCACATTTCAAGAGTTGACACTATTCTGTGCTATGCTGAGATACTGCCCCAGAGGTGGGAGCTGGGATACTCTTCCCGTGTTCTTTAGCACAGTGACACCCAAAATGTGGCATCTGGAATAGCAGCCTCAGTGTTTCCTAATAGCGCACAAGAAATTCACTCTCCTGCACGCCATCTCAGACTCGTTGAATAAGAAACTCAGTTGCGGGGGCCCAGCAGTGTGCGTCTTTTTCAAGCCACGAGGCAGGGCAGCTCCTGCAGACAGTGAGAGGACCTCTGGGCTGCCCTTGCGCCCGCTGGACAGCAGACGTTTTCTGCCATGTCTTCAGTTTAAACAAGGATTTTTAGTGCCATAAGGTTGTGTCCAAGGGATTGGAGGAGTTGACTTTAGCAGGATTTTCTGTTTCACATGTCCAGTGTGCATCTGGCTACACTTAGAAATAGAGTATCAAAGATAATTCGGACAAGACCTGGGGTTAATTCTAGCTGCCTATTTGGAGGAGGATTTTAATGAACATTATGAAAATAGCATGTTTGTACAAAACACATGCTGTTTCATCCAATGATAGCAAAAAAAGATTTGCTTTTACCCCAAGTCTCTCTGACTCATTTTTAAGTAATAGCAATTTTTTCTTTTTTCAATGACCAAAAGTAATTACACTCATTTTAAATTGAAACAATAAAGTTTGAATGTCCTGGCAATGCTGAAGCAGGCATGGGCAGCTGGTATATGGCGGTTCTATTGAACACATACTGGGTTTCATGTTCTAAGTTGATGAGGATGACTGACCAGGTCTCTTCCTCAAGAGGGCACCAGATCTCATTACAGATGGCTCTGAGCCACCATGTGGTTGCTGGGAATTGAACTCAGGACCTTTGGAAGAGCAGGCAGTGCTCTTAGCCCCTGAGCCATTTTATGTTCCCTGAAAATCTATATGCTGGCATTAAAATAAAGCTACATAATACCATATTCAAGTTTTGCATCCATTTTTCAAGTAATAAAGATCATCGTGTGAATGTCATACAGCTATTGAGCTTCATTTGAAATAATTACGTTTTCATTGTTTTGAGATTTCCTCCTACCCGAGTCAGAATGGCTGAAGATCTAAAACAATCGATGGCCGTGCTGACGTGGGAGGAAGGAATGGCAACACTTACTCGCTGACGTGAAAAGTGCAGCCTGGTGGCCCCTGTGTGGAAATCAGTGTAAAGATTCCTAAAAGAACTAAACACAGATCCACCACACAAGCCAGCTGCATCACTCTTGGCCTGATGCTGAAAGGATGCTATATCCTACTGTAGAGACACCTGCTCGTCCACGTTCTCTGATGCTCTGTTTGCGATAGCCAAGGCATAGAAACAGCCTCGGTTTCCATCAACTGATGAATAACTGATAATGAACATGTGGTGTATTTACACACTGCATGTACCACAATTCACTTAACAAGCTATCGCTTATGATTCATTTAACTTATTTCAAGTTTTCCACTATTACAAATGACCTGCAGCAGGTAATTTTAGGCAAACATCATGTCTATTTCTCTCACTAAAACAAATGCCTAGTCTTAAGTTTCCTGGGGGAAAATATATGTTTGGTTTATAGGAATCTTATGGCTATCAGCAAAACATCTCAAGAAAGCTGATGCTATATTACAACCCACCCTACAAGCTTATAGAATTAGCCCTTTTCTGTGTTTCCTATGGGAAGTTTTAGAAGGAAACACCACTTTGGCACACTGTGAAGGCCCTTCCTCAGTAAGCGATACCTCTCTGTAGGTATATTCTGACTATGAGAGCAACCCGCAGCTGCGTCGAGCCATCGAATTCGCCTGCCACCAGTTCTACATTCTCCACCGGAAGCCCTTTGTGCTCCAGCTGTTCGCCAGTGTGGCTCCTCTCCTGGAGTTTCCGGTGAGTAAGATTCAGAGAGTAAGTGAAGACCAATCAACTGAAACGTTTACAGGCAACAGCAAGGGAGGAAGGTGGGCATCACTTGTGTTTGGGCGGAATGCAGAGGCAGGCAGAGATATCGCAGGGCTCCAGAGTGGATAGGAAGACAGCCTAAGATGTGCTTAGGTGACTACCAGCATTTAGTAGATCCCTGAAATTCTTCACCAGAATGTCAGACAGAATTATAGAAGTTGAATTTCAGTTAGATCTTGTGATGTATATTTGAATTTATAAATTTTGAAGTCAGCCATGTTAGTGCTAAGGGAGCAATCAATAAACCAAAAGTGTTTTTGTTGTTGTTTGCTCTGTTTTGTTCCATGTAGGATGCTGCCAACACCGGGTCCAGCAAAGGAGTGTCAGCTCAGTGTCTATTTGACTTGCTGCAGTCCTTGGAGGGAGAAACCACAGATATTTTGGACATTCTAGAGCTGGTTAAGGCTGAGAAGCCCCTTAAGTCACTAGGTAAATACAAAACTGTCTCCAACATTCTTTTTCGTATAGCATTGTTCAAATAGGTATTTGTATGTATATACAAACTAAAATAGTTGTATAATATATGCAACTAATTAATAATAAATGGAACAATGTTAGATGTTAAGTGAGTAGATTTTTTTTATTTTCTTATTATAAATTTCTTGTAAATCTGCAGAATAAGGAATCCTCTTCTGTGAAAAGCATGCTGAAGTGTGTCTCAGTAGACGCACACTCTTACAATTTAATCCCAGCAATTCTGGGGAAATAGTCTTCTAGAACGGTCTTTTGTTATGTAATGAACAGAATTAGATATAATTCAGAGGTAAAGCTTTTCTTCTACCTCATGTTGTAATAGGCCACTAGTTTATTCCCGGCTACTCAGCCCTGAAATAATCACATAGAAACTATATTATTTAAATCACTGCTTGGCCCTTTAGTTCTAACTTCTTATTTGCTAACTCTTACACCTTGATTTAACCCTTCTCCATTAATCTGTGCATCACCACGAGGTTGTGGCCTACCAGCAAAGTTTCAGCACGTCTGTCTCTGGTGGCGGCTCCGTGACTTCTCCCTGACTCTGCCTCCATTCTCCCAGCATTCAGTTTAGTTTTACCTGCCTAGCTAAGTTATGTCCTCCTATAGGTTCAAAGCAGTTTTTTATTCATTAATGGTAATTACAGCATACAGAGGGGAATCCCACATCAATCTCAAACAATTAAAATAACTAAGTACCTTCCATTCAGTAAGACTGTTAAAACCTCCCTTATTTCTTTTTTATTAATTTTTTCATTTATTTTACATACCAATCCTCTCCCTTCTATGTTTCTGTTCCCTCCCTCCACCTCCCTTCTATCCCTCCTCTCCCCATTATCCAGTGGTTTAAATGCAGGAAGCAGAATTTTGTTCTTTCAGATGAAAAAATTTATAGTTTGCAGAATTTAGGAATAAAGTCTAAGTGATAAAATAACTTTGGTAGCAATGCATTCTGTTTCTCCCAGAGCCACCCATTCTGACTGTGCGTTTTTGCAGATTTTTGCTATGGAAATGAAGACTTGACTTTCTCCATCAGTGAAGCCATCAAACTCTGTGTCACGGTGGTGGCTTATGCTCCTGAGTCCTTCAGAAGGTATTCGCAGCCCTCTTTTCTGTCCCTTGTGATAAAAAAGTATAGCAAGGAAATAAAACTGAGTAAGAAAGGTTATGTTTCGCATACCTTTCTGTAACATCTTGGTGAGTAAGCGTCTAAACACCAAATTTAGAAGATTTTTCATAGCAGAAGTCCTGAAAAATATTGTAAATCATCCTGAATTTGAAATTCCCTAATTTGGAATTCTGTGCAGAGGCTAAGATGTTTACTCCTGATAAAAAAAAATATTTTCCACTTATGTAATACAAGCTGTTAGAAAACAAAATTTTATAACAGACATTTAAACCATCTGTGAAAACTGCCTCCGAAGACTAATGAGAACTGTCTGGTCAAAAGTGAGACCCCAGCCCCCTAACACCCTTATATCCAAGGACTTTGGGGTGTTTGGGTTGGAAGCGTCACCCCAGCCCCTGGCATTCATCCTTGGGCCTCCAAGGGAGCGCCAATGGAGCAGAGAGCTCCTTCTCAAGCTCCCTCCCGCTGGGAGTTGCCTTGGTCCAGACTCCACCTCCTTCGGACCTGACCCCTTCCCAGGGAGGGTCAGGACCACTTCCACGGGCAATTCAGGCTGCTGCTGAGAAAAAGAACCTGTGGTTTCTGGTTTTGAGTTTTATGAGGGCCTCCCCTTACCCCCATCACGCTTTCCCGGCCATCTGGGAGGGCTGCAGTAAACAGGAGTATTAATTAGGTCTAGTTTGGTCTGATTGGAATTATTTGTGGTGGCAGAGAGGCTCGTCCTAAGATTATTCCTAACAAGAACACAAAGGGCAACGATATACATCTCATGTTTTATTTTGGCGGGAACATGGAAGCAAAGAACTCAAATGAAAAGAGAGTCACCCCAGTGCCAGGAAGTTGGTTCTTGTCAGATACATATGTTCCATCTCCTTTTAACAACCCTACTACGCTGGCACACCCTCTGGGAAGAGGGAGCCAACCTCACTTTGTACATTTGCTCTTTGAATGCGTTTCTGCTCTCCCCAGAACAGAATAAAAGACCAAGAGGTGGTCGGGATTTCTCTTAATTGAACTCTTCTCGAAAGAAACATCAGGAATGAATAAAAATGTAACCAGCAGTCTCAGGTTTTTGTCATCTTTGATGAGGATTAGACATTAGCAGTAAGTCAGGCGGGCTTTTAAGAGAAGAAGATGTGCAGTCTCGAGGGTGATAGACTCCCACTGCCCTGTTCCTCCTCAATACCTTGGTTCCAGAAAGCAGTCCAGAGTGGATGCAAACCTCACATTGAGTTCATTCTGTCTGAATGTGGAAATGCTTTTTGTCCGTTTTTGTACTCTAAGTGTACACATTGTTAGTCAGATGTCTCAGACTCTCATTGACACTAAGACCTTGTCGTAGTGAAGTAAGTGATGTTCCCCCAGTGGTGAACTGCCAGCAACACAGAGAACCACCAAACTTGACCAAAAATCAATCAATCAATCAATCAATCCTTCCCCTTAAAAAGTTCTCAGCGAGTACAAGAAATTCTTTTTCAAATTATAGTTCAGACATATTGCAACCGGGAGGAGCATGAGCCTGTAATCAAGACCCCTTGTCACTGGGAGTTCAAGACCAAAGTCCACTATTTTGCAGTTATATTTAGTTTAGTTTTGTTAATGACCCTCCTTAGTTTTATTTTGCTCATGTTAAACCAAAGGGTGTTGTGTGATGTTTTGCTCTTTTAGCTTTTGGGGGGCCCACTACCCACTTCCCAAATAAATCACATAAGGACTCTTAGTCATACATGTCCGGCCTTAGCTTGTTTTGTTTCTTGCCAGCTTTTTAAATGTTATCCCATCTGCCTTTTGCCTCTGGACATTTATCTTTCTTTATTTTTGTAGACCTTTTCTTTTTTCACGACTTTCTCCGTGACTAGCTGGGTGGCTGGGCCCTGATGTCTTCCTTTCCTTGTTCTGTTCCTCTTCTTCTTTCTTGGTCTTCTATTTATACTCTCTGCCTGCCAGCCCCGCCTATCCTTGCTCCTGTTTCCCTATTGGCCATTCATCTCTTTATTAACATCAGGTGTTTTAGACAGGCACAGTAACACAGCTTCACAGAATTAAACAAATACAGCGTAAACAAAAGTCACACAGCTGAAAATAATATTCCCCAACCAGAGGGCTTGTTGCTACCTGAGGAGAGTGGAGGTTTCTTAAGCAGCTGCTTCTTGGGATGTCCTTACGGGACTTCCACATTTGGAACATCAAGTCCTTGTGGTACTTAAATTATTTCCTTTAAAAGTGTATTTAATTTAAGGATAACACTCATATAAACAGTTTTTCAATTTCGTATTTCTATAATTGAGTGCATGTTCATGAAGTTACAGGCCCTATATCGTTATAATTACCACTCAGATTAAAGAATCATTCGGAGCACCACTACCGTCACCCCTAGGGAACATCAGCTTCATTCCCAATGGCTCTTCAGTGAGACGGTCTAATGAGTCCAGGACGATGCCTGACTTCTGCTCCATCCACACCGCAACTCGTGACTAGTTTTCATCGTCCATCTCCAGTACTCCATTCCGTGACTCTGCCCCTAAGGCGTCAGTTTCTCCTCTTGTTAACATATGTGTTGCACTGTATTCAGTTTAAAGCTTTGGCAAATTATGTCCCAATGAACGTCTGTGGTTTCGTGCACAAATCATTTTCTGTGCATGAAAATACTTTGCTAGATCATAAAGTGCATGCATGTTTTGCTTTAGTAAATATCACCAACAGGGTTCCTGAACTGGCCATGTCAGTTTTCATTTCCACCAGCAATGTCTGCTACTTATCGACAAGCAAATGCCTATCATCATGTTACTATGTATCTTGTTCTCTCTAACACAAGAAATGGTATTAGTTCTTTATAAAGTTGGTTAGTTTGTGTATGTGTGTGTGTGTGTGTGTGTGTGTGTGTGTGTGTGTGTATGAGAGAGAGAGAGAGAGCGCATCTTCATGTGCCAGTAGATACATATACCTGTATACATGTGTGTACTTACATGTGGAGGGCAAAGGACAGTGGTTGATGCTGTATGTCTGCTTGATTTAAACAGATTTCTTTTTCTACAGAAATGTGGTCTTCAAAAAATACCCAGAAGCCTTAGCTTCTACCAGATTCCTGTCATAATTTCTAAAACTCACCCAAGCTTTCTAGGACAGTTAGCCTACAACAAACTCTTTTATTTTTTTCAGGAAATACACTTGCCTCTTTTTCTAAGGCTATCACAGAAGTATTAGGACCTAAAAATAAATCATAGCTTTAACCCCAAACCCACCAAGTTCTGAAGGTTGTCATACCTTTACTGTAGAGCACTGATTCTATGCGGTTGTCCCATTGAAAGCAGTACTCACAGCTGAAAAAGACATGACAGAATCTCTCGATATTTTGAGGAAGGGAATGGGTAATGCGGTGGTGAATAACAACCACGGAGCAATGTCTCCTAGAACAAACAGCTTAAGAACTTAAACTCAGTTGGGAGAATCTTACAACAAAATATTCACCTTGGAGTTGTACACCAACAATTTTTCATGATAAGTACCGAATTCCCATCTCCTCTTTAAGTTGAGGTTTCTGACCACTTTTACTTCACCAAGTATACACCCTATCCAGTGAGTAGTCTGCTCACTCTAGTGAGGACACATTACCAGACCACAGGACAATAACAGCAGCCACCAACTCTTGCTATAAAATGGTTTAAACATCTGAAGGTAGCTTCTTAGGAAAGGATCCAACTTCAGCTGAAAAGTCACCCGCAGCACAGAGGCTTTACTAGGGAATGAAGGCTTTTATTCTGGACGGTCTGTGGTGCCCTGCCAATATTCTGCTTTTCTTTTGCCATTTGCACAAATGGCTAGTTCTTCTTATCCCATATGCTTCATTAAGACAGGCTTCCTCACCTGTTACCAAGTGCTTAATTAATTAATGATAGTCAACACATTCAGCAGCCTCACTGCTTTGGATTGGTGTTGCACAGGAAGGAGAATAGAATTCAGCATCTCTAGTGGCTTTTTCATGCTCCCGGATATCACACAACCCAATCACATGTGACTTGGCTTTCTTTCTGTTGCTTACAGCCTTCAGATGCTCATGGTCTTGGAGGCATTGGTTCCATGTTACCTACAGAAGATGAAGAGGCAGACTTCACAGGTCGAGACCGTGCCTGCTGCCCGAGAGGAGATTGCTGCCACAGCTGCTCTGGCCACATCCCTGCAAGCCCTTTTGTACAGTGTGGAGGTCCTCACCAGGTAATCTCCGAGGCAGATATCCACAGCCTAATACCAAATGTGTCCATTGAAAAGATGAGAAAACTGGTTGGCTAAATATCCCTAAAACCTGGTCTTTGTTACAGATTACAGATAACTGTCCTTTTGGAGATAGCTACGCAACCCCTTATGACTTCTTATTATAAATACTGCCTACATTATCAGAGTGTCAAGTACTCTGAATCGTGGCAGTAGCAATAATGATGATTTTCCTACATGGTTGCTAAGTACACAATACATATAACTTGATGAGATTCTATGGAATTTTAGGCCACTGGTAAACAAATCTCTAATAGAAGGGCAATTTAGTGAATATGAAGATGTGATTCACATTTTAATTAGCTGGTTGATTAATTTTTAGTTTTTACATGGACAAAAAGAGAGAGAAGGATGGGAGAAAAGAGAGAGAATGAGAACGAATGCACTCATGTGCATACTGTTTAGAGGAGAAGTCGTGAAGATTTCTCTCCTTCTATCAATTACGTGGGCCCCAGGGAATGAACTCCATGTGTCAGGCTTGGGGCCAAGCGCCTTTACTTACTGAGTCATCTTACTTTCCATCCCCAATGATTTTTGAGATGTGTGTTTGCAATTGTAGCCAAACATTCTTATTGTTATACTATTCATAAAGAATTGTATTTTTAACTCTAAATTTAGAAACTATAAAACAAATATAAACTTCGGATGTTACTCTAACCCAGAAGGAACAGATTTCTCATGGAATAGGATCAGATAATTCCAGGAGAAAGAAAAAAGAGGGATCTTGGGAAGAAACTCACATTGACACCAGAGTTTAGCCCTAAACAAAATTCAAGAAGCTGTCCTGTCACAAGATTGTTGGGTGCAGAAGTGAGAGGAGATGAGATGTCATACAGCAAGAAGGGAAGATGGGGCTGTAGGTGCACAGCAGTGGCCTGGGAGCAGGAAAGGCAAGTGTGGTCATGTGGGTGTCCATTCCCTCTAATTAGCTAAGGATGGGGACCACCCAGGAGCCACTCCACATTTAGAAGGCATTTTATTTATTTATTTTTTTGCATTGTCCCCTGAGTCCCCCAAGCTGACAATAAGGCATTGAATCCTCATGCTTCAAATCTCTGTCCCAAGAAAGACAAAAAAAAAGGGATTTTTAAACATATCATTAGAATAAAACTAGGCACAAAGGCCAAGGGGGCCAACTTTAAGTCCTGCCTACCATACCAAGGCATGGAAAGAGATGACCTTAGTCATTCCTGAAAGTTACCGTATCAGCATTCAGAACAGTAGGCCATAAAGACTTCATCAAGGTAAATGTTCCAATAATCTACATCATCCTTTCTGTGCCTCAGATGCTAATATATAAGCAAAATCTTATCTAATACTAAAAGAGACCCAACAGACATTATGCAAAATCATTTGAATCTTATTAAACATCTGACTTAAAATAGAAATATACTCACATCCTAGGGAAACTAAGCTTAGGTGTGGTTTTCACATTATGAGATGATTTCTCAGAACCAGAGTTGTAAACATAAACTGCCCTTCATTTCTGGGCCACCCAGACAGAAACTATAGTGATGAAAACACTGTTTGACTGATGGCTCAGGCATATTTCAAGCTAGCTCTTACATCTAAAACTAGCCTGTTTCTATTAAACTGTATATCACCACAAGGCTGTGGCTTACCAGTAAAGTTCCAGCATCTTTCTCCATTGGCAGCTGCATGGCATCTTCCTGACTCTGCCTTCTTTCCTCCTCTATCTCTGCTTGGATTTCCTGCATTGCTATATTCTCACTGCCATAGATCAAAGCATCTTCTTTATTAACCAATGGTAATAAAACTTATTCATACCATACAGAGAGGTGTTGTAAAAGGAGCAGCGGGCCACTTCCCACCGCCCGGCTAGCTTCACCTGGAATAATTACATGGAAACTGTATTCTTTTAAACACTGCCTGGCCCATTATATCTAGCCTCTTCTTAGCTAACTCTCACATCTTACTTTAACCCATATCTAGTAATCTGTGTATCACCATGGGGTTGTGGCTTACCAGGAAGATTCTAACCTACGTCCATCTCGGGCCAGAGCTTCATGGCATCTGCCTAACTCTGCTTCTTTCTCCCAGCATTCTGTCCAGTCTACTCCGCCCACCTAAGAACTGGCTTATCAAAAGGCAAAGGCAGCTTCTTTATTTAACCAATGAAAGTAACATATAGATAGAAGGCCCACCTACTCCAGAGGGGAATCACAATCATCTCCCCTTGTTGGTCTAAATGAGAAGGAAGGTTAGAACTTTAACATAGTAAAATTACAAATAACAAAACAGGAGTCAAGCAAGAATTACACTTACAATATTTAGTCTCTTTGTATCTGGCAAAATTAAAGAAAATATTCTGTCATCTGTTTTTTTCTTTGTGAGTTTAAAGTTTCACATCTAATTTATCTTTTATCATAACTAAGGAAAACTATATCTATCTATTCTTCAACTCCATCAAAGACTCCAGAAGTATAGATTACCTAAGTAAACAGAAAGTGCATTGTAAGCAAGTTCCAAAGTTCTAGAAATGACAGAGACATCTCGCTGCCAGGACAGTCACCGAAACTTCTTTTATAACATTGAGACATCCATCTTCAGTCTATAGGCCCATAACAATTGACAGACTTTTCAGTGAAGCAGGAAATTTGAAAGACTGTTTCACCTATATTGACAGTTTGTCAGTCACTTTCTTCTATGTCCTTCAGAGTGTCTGGCAGAGTCTTTCATGAAACAGGAACCCTGAAGGACTGTCTCACCTTCTTTAGGCAAGTTCAGCAGTCATCTTTCTGTGGGTCCTGCATGTCCAGTTATATAGAATACTGTCAAGCAGTTCAGGCAAGAGTAGTTTCTTACCCAAAATGTTAGCCTTATCAAATTGAAGACAAATTCCATAACAAGTTTCTTCAATTACCTCTCTGAAGTAATTGGTACTGCCAGAAGCAGACATATCTCACTGTTGAGAAAAGTCTAAGATCGTAAAACCTTTTCAACCTCATACTCTGTAGGTCTTTAAAGTGTTGAAGATTATCTATCTAACTACAGAAATAACTAATATATTTCTGCATATCTACAAAACTAACATGACTACATGTTTGACATTATTAGTGATTATTGATCTGTAATTTTTAATTATATATTACATTTTTAAGTGAGCTGTATAAAAATAATATCTTAAACAACTATATATATTTATATACCTTAAATTTGTATCGATAAACCAAAATCCATACCAATATAAAGTATTTGCTTCTATATCATCATATCTCCCCTTTTTTCTTTTTTAGAAAGAGATCGACTTTTATCGTTATATATCGTTATCGTTTTATCGTTATATATATCGTAATGATCGTTATCATTAGTTACTTATAATCAACCCCCTTTAAATGAAAACAAACATTTATAAACAAGCATTTTGGGAATTTGGGCATAATTTTATCCAACTGCTTCCTGCTATTTGTTGGGTGAGGTATTTTTAGGGCTCATGGAGACCTTTCAGGGAGTCCTGCTCCATCAAATCACATTAGCCTGAAGGAATCTACAGGTTCTCATCCTCTATGGAAACAAAAACAGAAACTCTTTTCCAAAGTATATCCAAAGTATATCCTTAGACTCAAGCTTTGAAGTCAAGATACCTTTAAAATACATATGATCGCTTAGCTTAGCAGCCCCCAGAGTCAAATGTCTCTCTGCAGTTAACAATTCAAGGAAAACACAATAGTATGCATTATCCAGACTCAGTGTATTTTCCATTTTTACATGACTTATTTGTTTTATATTATTTTCACTGTCTCTTTATAAAGTCTTTTTCATTTTAAAAAACTTCATTTCTTTTTATAACTGTCTATACTCTTTTTCCTCTCTCATGCCTACATACATTTTTTAAAATACACTGTGTCTCATTTAGAAATCTTTTATGTCTGAATCTGTCCTATTGTGTATCTGAAATCCTTTTCTGACAAGTATGTACGAGGGCCTGCTTGTTAGTCCCAGCCACCCCAATAGCTTAGCCCAGAAATAACCACACAGAAAACTTTATTAATTAAAACACTGCTTGTCCCATTAGCTCTAGCTTCTTATTGGCTAACTCTTGTATTAATTTAACCCATTTCTATTAATCTGTATATCACCACAGGCAAAGATTCTAGCCGGTGTCTGTCTCAGGTGGAGGCTTGTATTAATTGTAAACTGTTTGTGCCTATTAGCTCAAACTTATTATTGACTACTTCTTACAACTTAAATTAACCCAAAATTCTTGTCCATGTTTAGTAATGTGCCTTGGAACCTTTTATCAGTGAGGCATTCTCATCTTGCTTCCTCTGCATCTAGCTGGTGACTGTGTCTCTGCCTTTCCTTTGCCCAGAATTCTCTTAGTCTGGTTGCCCCATTCATACGTCCTGCCTGGCTACTGGCCAGGCAGCATTTTAGTAAACCAATACAAGTGACAAATCTTCACAGTATAGAAAAGCGTTATCCCACAGCACAGAGTAATTCTTGTGAGGATTTGTGTATACTATTGACTCTGTTATCTAGAATGCTGGCCTCCTGTCACCCAAAAACTGTTGAATAATCTTTTTACTGTCCATTGACACTTACAGTTTGAGTACATGTCTTATTTGAAGTCATGGTTTACTTCTGAGAACCAAGACATAGAACTTAAACTTTGATGAGTGTATAGTCCTTGTGAATCAACCTTGTCTTTAAGGGGCCTCTCAGGACAAAGCTGGACCGCCTATCCTTTAAAGATTTGAAAACTTACTTAGGAACACTTCAACAACTTGAGAGTTTCTTAAATGTTTCTACTTCTGCTGCCTTGTTCTGGAAACCACTGTTCTTGTTGCAGGCCCATGACAGCCCCACAGATGAGCAAGAGTGATCAAGGTCACAAGGGAACTACCACAGCCAATCACACCATGTCATCTGGGGTGAACACCAGGTAACTCACTGTGCTCTGTGCTTCTGTGGCCTCTAGGTTGCTTTTCAGTGCCTGGGAATGAAAGGAATCCTAAAAACAAAACAAACAGAAAACCCACAATATTAAGTGTGAAAATCTGTGAGGAAAGTCTTTCAAGATAAGAAAAGTGGGTGAGAGCTTAAAGGTACAAGAAAATACCAGAGTTGCTTTGAAAATTATCCAGGAGAACCTCAAGCAGCCCTCATGAGGGCACAGTCATGTTGGTCTGTTGAACTCCAAGCTGGCCAGTGGATTTACCGGGATGTAGAGTGTAGAGGCCCTCTCCTTCCCATACTCCATGGTTCCACTGTCTCTCTAGATTGTCTCAGACTCAATCAGTCATAAAGTAAATGTTTCCAAAATAATAGAAATAAGCTACACCCCCTCCTTTATCACCTGAAACAGAAATAGTATTTAATAACGAGGCTCAGATTTCAAATTTTTTTAAAAAATTATCTTCTTTGGCTATATTCCATGAGTTTATATGATCCTTAAATTTATCATTATACACTTCTTATGACAATGAAACATGTTTTGTAGGAGCTGTAATTGCAGTATACATGGTGTTCAAACGAAAGGAGATAGTACCTGCCAGAGTTAATATGTGTATTTGCCTTTATCAAAGTGTGTGCCTCCAAGGGTTTTGCCCATTAAAAGCCTCTAGAAAGCCTCAGCCAAGGAGTTCCCTTATTACTCTGAGGCTCATACAGATTATCCTTCTGGTTGGCAGGTACCAGGAGCAAGGAGCCAAGCTGCATTTTATCAGGTACAGGAAAACTCACTCTGATTCCATTTAACGCATCCAGTGGATGCATGATAAAACTGCTCCCGAGTAAATATCTAAGCAAGGGCTCAGGGAAAGCCTCTGCAGTGTGGCGCTGCCACGTCTCCTGGGAAAATAAATCTTCATCCTCCGAAGGAACTTCTGCGGGGCGCTGCCTTCCAAATCCTTAACTCAGTAGGGATCACATTTCTCTGCAGTGTGACACTCTGCAATCAGAGTAAGCACGTGTCCACATTGTCAGAGCCCTCGTTAATCTTCCACAATTCCCCAGGGAAAACCTTCACTTACTGGAGGAAGGGCAAGGCCTTCCCAGAGAGGAGCTAGATGAACGAATTGCTCGAGAAGAATTCAGAAGGCCCCGGGAATCTCTGCTGAATATTTGCACCGAATTCTACAAACATTGTGGGCCAAGGCTGAAGATCTTGCAAAATCTGGCTGGGGAACCCCGGGTCACTGCCCTGGAGCTGCTGGATGTGAAGTCCCACATGAGGTACCGACCTCTGCCTTGTGTGCTCGTGATCTTAAGCCACAGGTCTCTGTATGCTTGTCAATTTGGACTGTGGGGCTTCCTCCAGGAAAATAAATGAGATATTTGAAATAATTCATTTCCTGTGACTTAGGTTCATTCCATTTAGATCCTTCTGATAAAGTGAACATTTTACCTATTAAAGAGATCTTGGTTAGAAGGGGAAAAAAATGACTAAAATGGGAATTCAATCCATAATGCACTGTTTTCACAGATTTTTAAATATGATCCCAGAGGACGTAATAGTTGTATTTCTAACAGTTTGTAAAGAATCATAAGAATTGCTTTAAAGAAAACTTTGGTTGTTAACAAAGACTTACTTGAAGTATTTAATGTATCTATAAAATGAAACATCCAGCTCTCGCCTAGCCATCCAGAAACACCATTACAATTAGACAAAACAGACCAGGGTCCTGATTAGTAACTTCTGTTTTTATCTTTTAAAGTGATCTTTTGAAAGAAATTTAGTAAGTGCTGGGTGAAAGTACCAAATGCAGAAGCATGAGGTGGATGCCTCTCACCTCCCCTGAGGTGTGTGTACACACCAGGTCATGCTGGAGAGCCTCGGGCCTTCCCACCATGCAATGATGAGGAAATTATTTCACACTGAGAAATGCAGTTCCCAGACAGAGGGCTACAATGTTTCAAGATCCTGTTGTCATGGCAACTGAGGACTCTATTCAGACCCTCTCTCTCTTTTCCCACCTATTATCTCTAATTGACCAGAGTAGTTCTGTGAATAGACAAACATTTCCACAGTCAGAAAGTGACTTCTGCTGACAGGCATTTTGTGAGGGTGTGTGTGTGTCTGTGTACATATGTCAGTGTGTGTGTCTCTGTGTATGTGAGTATGTGTTTGTGTGTGTACATGTGTCAGTATGTGTGACTGCATCAGTATGCATGTGTCTGTGTCTGTGCGCATGTGTAGTATGCATGTTTATGTGTGTCTGTCTTGTGTGTCTCTATGTGTATCAGCATACATGTATGTCTGTGTATTCATGTATCAGTGTGTGTGTCTGTGTATGCGTCTGTTTTGTAGGTATGTATGTGCCTTATCTATTTCTCTGTATGTGACTATATATCTGTATATGCATCTGTGTGTATCTTATGTTTCTCTGTGTCTGTCTGTCTGTCTGTCTGTCTATCTATGTCTGTGCCTATCTATCTCTTTGTGTTTGTTTCTGTGTGTCTGTCTGTCTCTCTATGGGTGAATGTATCTGTGTGTATGTCTATGTGTGTGTAGGTGCTTCAGGATGTTCTATAACTCTTCTTCGACATTTCAGGGAAGAATAATAAATAGCATCAAAGAGGCCTTGAGCACCCTCTAGAGGTTAACACTTTAACACTTTCTTGGTACTTAGTGTGGATTTAAGGTACAAAAGACATTAACACTAATGAAAATGGTCTATATTATAGTAGACATTAGGAAAACGAAATAAAGCCTAATTTTCAAGGTTCTTACAGTGCATTTCAAAAGAGAAAAAAAAGAAAATAACACTTTGCAAGTACTAAAATCACTTGTATAATTAGCTGTTTATTATTTTCAGGCAACTTAAAAGCTGTATGATACAAAAAGATAGCAAGCACTACCTAGAGATCAGGAAAAAGTGGAATTGGCTTGTAAATATTGATACGTTTTTGATATTATTAGCACAAAATATGAGAAATCATACTATTTTTATTCATGAGCCATAAGTTTGGTGTTAAATATCTGAAATCTTAAAGCAATTAGCTAAATACTATCAGTTCTAAAACCATAATGTCAATAAAATAAAAGAGCAATTGCTTGGTGTATTTCTCTCAAGCTTAAAGATAGATCATTTTTCAAATATCCCTCAAAGCTATCTTTAAAACACAGACTTTTTTGAGAGCTAAACTCCAGTGCTTATTCAGCCAAATGGGGAATTGCATTTAGTCATATTTATTCACTTTCTTCAACAAAATGTGGTTTATAGGAGCCCAGGTTCCCCACGTTGGTTTAGACTGGTTATGTGTTACAGTAGAATTTCTAAGAATGTGCAGGGATAAGGTGGAGGTTTCTAGAAGATTATCTACATACCTTACCTAGATAAAAACAATCTAAGAAAGAGTCCTATTTTTCTATGACATACTTAGAAGAAAGGATAAACAATACGAATGTGTAGGCTATTTGAATCACTTTTTCGTGCACCTGCACTCACACGCATTTTCCATGACAGTGTCCAGTTAGGAATGAAGATGGTGAGTATGAAGATATGGAAACTATTTCTTGGCATGAAGAGTTGCCATGGCAATGATGAATGGAACTTGTGCATTCATAATTAAGCCTAGCAAGAAGATATTGGAGACAACTTAGAGACCTCACATGACAGCGGCTTCTATCAGTGCAGCCTGCAGAAGTGGAATACATTTTCTTCACAGTAATGAGTTCTCCCATCCGTGAGAGCTAGTCAGAGGAGGTCCATGTTATGAAATCCAAGCACTGGAGAGACAGGCAGTGGCTTAGATGCTGTTCCTAAACAGTGCCTGGACGTCGTCCTGCAGATCCTTGCAAGTGTTTAGTTTGCCTCTCCTGCTGCTACCAACTTTTCTCTTTATTAAAATGCTATAGTAAATACACAAGAAAGGGAAGAGCACAGCATTCCCATTGTACTACTGCTAATTAATTAATAGCCCCCCTGTGTGTGTGTGTGTGCGTGTGTGTTATGTGTGTATATGTTAGTACCACATACAACCAGGCATGGTAACAGATGTCTGTAATCCCAGAACTTGGGGTGGGGGTGGGGCAAAGCAAAGGGATGTGAAGTTCAGGATCATTTTCTGCTATAAAGCAAGTTCAGAGCCAAATGTAGGTAACATGAGACCTGTCACACACACAAAGAAGTAGCACTCTCTAGACACATTTGACCTATCCTTAATGTTTCTTAGTTGCTCCTCATGTTTGCGCTCTGAAGCATTCTATGATTCTCCTTGACAATGCATATGCTTATATCATTGTATTGATGTATGTGAGGAATGCAGAGGGAGAGGGTGCTGGGGAGAATGTTCTTAGTTAGAAAGTTGTAGAAATATTCTCACTGTGGTATTTTCTGCTCCTTATTTCTAAAATGATTTTAGGCTGGCAGAAATTGCACACTCCCTTCTGAAGCTGGCACCGTATGACACCCAGACAATGGAGAGCCGAGGCCTTCGTCGCTACATCATGGAGATGCTACCCATTACCGACTGGTCAGCGGAGCCAGTGAGGCCAGCCCTTATCCTAATTCTAAAGAGATTGGATAGAATGTTTAACAAAATCCACAAGATGCCTACCTTGAGGTGAGGATGCCTCCTGGCCAGATAATTCAGAACGCACAGTTAGAAATGCCATTTTCAGAATAGTAGGTCAATCATTAGTTAAATAAATGAGTTAGAAGTTTTATGGTGGTATTCGTGCATAGATAATTGGGAATATAAATTTTCCAGTAACCAGAATTGTTTTGAGGAAATAACATTTATTTAGGAATATATGTACGTATGTTGAGAAGGTGCCTATCCATTTCTCAGCTAGTTCTTCATCTGATATATAAAGAAACCTAATTAGAACTCAACAGTCCCTAATCCTTTTTGAAGTAAGAGAGAGTATGCCTTACAAATAGTCAATAACAGAGAGGAGAAACAGTAATTTGATGCTAAAAGTAATATATTAACAGCATACGTTATCTTATTTGAGTGCATAGCAAGATAGAAAAATTCCAAGTTTTCTGATTAACAGCCCAACTGCAGCTACGAAGGACACAGGGCTGATATCAAATTCTGACGTTCGCCTTATTCAGTGGAGCCTTAAATGAACACAGTTACAGCCTGGTGTCTTCTTGGTGGCCTGAGAAATACCCATTCATCCTCTTCCAATGAGCAGATGCCTCTGCATTAGCCTTTCTGGAAATGTGAACCAAGTTTGGAAATTATAGTCGTAGTGAGCAGATGGTATAATTCAGAAACCCACTAAATGGAAACTTCAAGTTTGGATGACTGAGAGAACTTTTTCTATCCCTTCAAACTACACTCAAAAGCAAAGCAACTTTGCCTCCGACTTTGGTACTTGAGGTTCAGTTTGCCAGGAGTTTGGCAGACATTAGGCAGCGCTCTGCACATTTATGCCGTCATGCTGAGTCACAGAAGAGCAATGTCGGACGCCATCAGGCTATGCTCTGCTAAGCTTTTGTACCATGGTGATGAGTGTCAAGACTCATCTTTGAAAACTCAAGGTCATTTTTTTCAATGGCATGGAGATGCCTGTTCTCTTAAGCACTATTTTTTGGTGGCCCCAGTAGAACACTTGCATCTGCTGGTAAATGACTGATCAAAGATGTGTAAGTGTTTTATAAGTGTGTGCCAAAATAAATTATTTTTCTTAAGCACTTTGCCATTTAAAGATGTTAAACATCTCCATAAAAGGACTCATTTGTCATACAGTTAAACCTATTATATGATAATAGCTCCCAAAAGGAAATTTTTGGGTTTATTCACAGATTTGGCAAGCTATAAGAAATTTTCCTGGGGTGCATGGTATAATATACAGTTGATTTGTCATTAACCCTTTCATGTAACCTTAGTTCAATGCACAAAGTTTTGTCTGAAGCTGAGCTGTGGATTACTAGGGTACTTCTGGCATCTGAGTGTCAATGTTTCCTCATCTGTGACACATCTCCATTCTTTCATTGTTCAGGCTGCAGTTTCGTAGAAGATGTAGGCTTAGAAATAATTTCCAAATCAGAAGAGTCCAGCAGAATAGACCCATTTTGTTTTGAGACAGAAAACCCCTGCATTACCCTGATTGGCTTGTATACTCCACCATCTGTACCACCATGGAAAATAATCCAAGACATCATTTCCTCAGAGGCAAAGAGAACTTTCTAGACCATTTTCCTCACATTCCCTCTTTTTAACAGGACTTAAGCCAAATGCATCCCACTAATAGCCTTGTGTGAATGCTGACTGTATCAAGTGTAGTCTGATAAGCACATTCAGAACTGCAGGTAGGGGCAGATTTGCTCTCATGTCTCCTGAAATGATAGGATAGGGCCCCTTCCAAAGATGACATTTGGGGGACCTTAAAGTATGACCCATTCATCCTCTCTGTTTTTTCTTCAATAGATTTTGTCTCATTAGTCGGTTGGGCAGGAGTGTGCCTCTGCTGCGTTTTCAGTACCTCCTTCCTCCCCTCCCAGTGTGCTCTGTGCTTTTGGAACAGCATGGGTAATCGCCTGTGGGAAGCACTCTGTTGTCTTAGTTGATGCTTAGAGGATCACTGTCTCGTTCACTTGCTTCAGACTCTCCAGGAGGGAGCCAGGGCGCTAATGGCTCCTATATTGTATTCCAGGCGACAGGTTGAGTGGGAGCCTGCCAGCAGTTTGATTGAAGGGGTTTGTTTGACACTTCAGAGGCAGCCAATCATATCCTTCCTGCCTCACCTTAGGTCACTGATCAATGTCTGTGTCAATCTGGTGAGTAGCCAAGTGGCAATCTTATGAAACTTTGCACAGTTTTACTCTGCTATTGATTTCTCTAAACTGAAGATTTACAGGTCAACCACTTTGTGCCCCTTACTTACCAATGAAAACAGATGGCTCAGGTGACACTGAAAACAGTGAGGTCCATTTCAAGGTGGTCCATGGGAGATCCAGGGCCCATCCTGCCCAGGCGGGATGTCGGAAGGCTGCTTCCCATGCACTACTTTGACAATCACCTCAAAGTTGCGTTGAGAGTTGAGGGCTGCCAGTTGGAGAGTGGGGTGGTGGAGTCTGCACAATTGGCTAGAAGTTGAGATTGTCTGGGGAGGGGAACCTTAAAACACAAAGTCTTTCTTTTCTCTTTTTCTTTTTTCTTTTTTTAGGGCCAAATAACACCATGAGTTGGCCAGTCTAGGATTTATGCAAAGAAAAAATATTTTCACCATTTATGTAATGTCTAGAGTCTGGTCCTGACAAGGTTTTGTACAATGTATGAGAACCATATTTGAGCATACCATCCCGTGGGATCCACTGCTTGACTAGTTGGGCAACAAGTGTGTAGTTGGAATGCCTAGTGCACATGAGCTGCGATCATCATCATTCTTGTCAGTATTTGCTCCATCCAAGAATGCCGACTGCACTTTTTTGAATCCACAAATAACTGTCCAGTCTCCCAATTAGAATAGTTTTTTTTTTTTCAGTTCGTCTCTCATTGCCTACATAGTTAGCTATAAACAGCATCCTACAAAACCTTGGCTGAATTCAGTATAATGAATGATCTGACTCCAGACATTACGTGCCTTAGAGGGCATAGAGAAAGAAAAGACTGAAAACACCATGCCCAACCTTCAATTTGTTAATATTTTTGTTAGTGAATGAGACTCCTTTACTACAGTTGCATGAGACTGCAATGGTCAAGGCTGGTCATGTGCTCTGTTTGTATTTCAGGTGATGGGAGTGGTAGGACCTTCCAGTGTGGCTGATGGATTACCCCTTCTTCATCTCAGCCCTTATCTCTCACCACCTCTGCCCTTCAGCACAGCTGTTGTCCGGCTGGTAGCATTGCAGATACAGGTGTGACTGCCTTACCTGTTTGTCACGCTCGTTAAGTTGCTGGTGGAGGCACCACATGGTGGCGCTCTCTCTTTCTCTTTCTGCAAAGGCTGGGCAAAGTCTGTGAGACAGAAGTGTGAACACCTCCGAGCCTTGGTGGTTTGGAGCTTCAACCCTGAGCGTGGCCCTAAGTTGTGCTTCTGTAATTCTTCTCGAGATCTCAAAAATAGCAGAGTCATTTAGTCCTGTCACAGCCACAGCAGCCGCTGTGGTCACTTAGGCTATGTGCAAACTAATGGCTTATGTGCAATCAGCTCACAATTGTTAATCGAAAGAGACAATAGTATTCAAAGTCTGGTTTTAAATTATTTTCAGAAAGAATTACAGTATAAAATTCTTTCACACGTTACTACCAGACTTTGAATATCTTTATTTTCCTTAGTGATTGTGAGTTGAATGTTATTTTAAACACACATACAAGTAGCCTACTTTATTAAGACAGGTACAGAATCCCAATCACTCTGACTATTTCTCTGTGTCACCCAGTTTTTACTCTGTGATCAACAGAAGGAATCCACCGGCTATAACGGTACAACTGACCTGTCCATTGTGTGGCCACCAGGCTTTTTACCATCCAGAGATGGGTGGATGTACAAAGCATTTGAAGAATGGTGGCTACTGTGTGAAGGGAAGAGATGACACCCCGTAGTCGCCTTAATAACTGCTTTCCAAAGGTCACTAATTTCTTCCTTTATTGCTTCCTGGCTTGAAGAAGGCCTAGGCAGGGACTAAAGAACTTTTAAGTGACCTCAAATGAAGAAAGTGCCACACTGTCATTTTCTTCATTTTCCTGGGTAGACACATGGAGGAAATTAGTGGGAGAAATGAGGTGGGTCTTTTATTAAACTTCTTCACTTGATGCTTAAGCTATTAATGTCGTTTTAGGAATGTAGTTCTGTTATGTGAAGTCAATGGCAAAACATCATTGTGGGTCAAACTTCATTTGCCACAAAGAAGACACTTGAACTCATAGTTTCCAGGTGCAGCCAGCGGGGAGGCACCTTCGCCGACACACTCTGTAGAAACAAATGCACACAATGGGCACGGTGGTCAATTAATCTTTTTTTTCTATTATTGCTGCACAGGCTTTAAAAGAAGATTTCCCTTTAAGCCATGTGATCTCCCCATTCACCAATCAAGAGCGAAGGGAAGGGATGCTTTTAAATCTGCTCATCCCATTTGTGCTCACAGTAGGATCTGGAAGCAAAGGTCTGATTAATTTAACTAAAGGAAACGTATCATTGTTGTTGTGTTTTCTAACTACCAGGGTGTGGTTTCTAGTCTTCCTTTCCACATGAAACTCATCCACTGAAAGGAATCTAAATGGATTAAATGGGGTTTTGGAAACATGAGTTTTATTTGGTTTGTCTGACCAAGGACAAGAATTTCTCTTCTCTACTTCTTAAAAGAAATACCTTATTTAAAATTATTTCAATACAGCAGAGGTCAGAGTACATTGTTTGGGTTAAGTTAAGAAAATGTTAATTAATTCAAATGCACTAGACTGAGACTTGACTGGTGACTGAACTATTATCTGGCCGCTGTGATTAGCAGAAATCCTGCAGATGCCAACCATTAATACATTCGCATGACTCTTCCTCCTCCTCCTCCCCTTTCTCCTCCCCCTCCTTCTTCTTTTTGTTTATAGGTAATGTTTTATCTTCTTTTTTTAATCCAACATAATCTTAAGGGGGACTTTCTTTTAGGAAAAGCATATCTCAGATGTAAGGTCAGTACATTTAAGTATTTAACAAAAAAAAAAAGAGAGAGAGAGAATGAACTAATGAACAAGAGATTGGGCCTGGAACATAAGCCCTTGGATGCCAGCTATGGCGACCATCAGGTGCCAAAAATGCTGTGCTGTCTGTGGAAGAAACAGTACTTGTTGGGAAATACCTACATTTCTGTGTGTTCTGATTTGGAACTGGAAGAAGTTACATTGCTCAGTGTATAACATGGAAGGTCTGCCTTGTAATTGTTATGTTTTCCCCTTCCTTTTCCAACATGCACTTCAGATAGCCCATGGCTGGAGCAGCCTGAGGTACAGCTATTGCTGCAGACTGTCATCAACGTGCTCCTGCCCCCTCGGATCATCAGCACATCGAGGAGCAAGAACTTCATGCTGGAGAACTCCCCAGCCCACTGCTCTACTCCTGGGGATGCAGGCAAAGACTTGCGCAAGGAAGGGCTGGCTGAGTCCACCAGCCAGGCAGCATACTTAGGTGGGTCTCTTTTTCCCCGCCTCCTCTTTTTTGTTCCCCATGGATGGATGTACTATGATCTATCTTGGCTCAGACGGTATTTAAAGAAGCCACCTGAGCATGACTAGCTTACTTTAGTAAACATATTTCGAAAGACAAAGAGTATTTTCATATACGCACTCTCTGAATGTCTTGGCTGTTTGCATAAGAGTATATTAAGAAGGATTACCTCTTTCCGATTGACAGCAAGATTGCTCAGATTTGGCAGCTCCTGTGAGGTAGTACATACTGCTTCCCTTATGTAAATAAAGCCCTTGGCGGTCAACATCCTGAGCGGTAGGACATGGTGGCCTTGCAGGACCTTACTTCCTTAGCAAGCTTTCTTATTCTTCCTTGACAATGTCTTTATTGTCATTATAAGACAATTCCATTTTGATCTTTAATCATGTGAGGACAGTCCCCTCTTCCTACAAGCTTCCAATTCCTCTCCCCACTTCTACTCCTGTTTCCCTATTACCTCATCCCTGACTTTAAGGGTTGCCCTCCCATGGGATAATAGAAGGCCACTCAGTGTCACTGAAAAAAATAAACTGGGGGTAAAGACCACTCATGCACTGACACCAAGAATAAGAAACATAACAGTGGGGAACCTCATAAAAGGCAGAAGTAGATCAGGGTTGGAGGGGAGACCACTCTTGGACTGACTCCAAGAATAAGGAGAATGGCAATGGAACCCCTTAAGAGGGCATCTCTCCTGACATCTTTTCAGTTCATCAAACTGGATATTGGTGGGAGAGTGGGACACAGCACAAACTCACTGAATCAGAGAGGTCCTTGGAGTTTGGAGTATGGGAAATGGGGTGTTTAAGTAGCATTCTGAAGGGATGTATATGTAAGATACCATTTTCTATGGCCTGAAAAAAAGAGAAAGAAACAGAATGTGTGTACATAGGACCCACCCAAATGGGAGCTCGGTTGCCCAAGGCCTAAAAAGCCAGTTTCAGAAAACATCCAGGCAGACAGAGAACCATATGTGAAGTCAAGGAACACAGAAGATAGTGGGGAAAGGGAGCTCTTTATGTAAGACCAGGAATAAAAAAAAAATATTCCATTCCACTTTCTGCCTTTTTAATGAAAGTATTACTTATATTTCTTCCTTGATCAGGATAGTGTATCTTTTATTATGAGGATGATGATGATGATGATGATGATGATGATGATGATGATGTTAGCTGGGGATGTGATTAACTTGTTGGTGAGTCCATAAAGCCACTGTGACAAAGCCTATGGGCCGTAAAGCATTAGTAATACACATACTTATAATTGCCTTTTTAGTTCAACGGACTACTTACCTTACCCCATTGTTTTTTGTTGTTGTGATGGTGGTTTTTTAAAAGCACTTAATAAAAGTGTGTTCTAACCCACAGCAGGTTACCTTTACCTGTATGTCTGGAGTACTGGCTCAGGGGTACAGGTTAAGTTTCTGGAACTGTTGGATTTAACAAATTCGAAATTTTCCCGTGTGCAAAAGCAGTGACTGTGGGCAGGATTCCTCTGAAGCACAAGTCCTCAGGAGCCTTCTCTTTTCCTACTCTGAAGCCCTAAAGGTTATTCTCGTCTGCTTCGAGAGGCAGCTGGGAAGCCAGTGGTACTGGCTGAGCCTGCAGGTGAAGGAGATGGCTCTGCGGAAGGTGGGCGGCCTGGCCCTGTGGGACTTCCTCGACTTCATCGTGCGCACCCGGATACCCATCTTCGTACTCTTGCGCCCTTTCATCCAATGCAAGGTGTGGAGTGACCCTATCACAAAAAGCCAGTGAACTTGCAGTTTTCTACTAAGGAAGGAGTGCTGGGAGCTGAGGAGAGGGAAATGGGTGCCGCAGCAGGGGGGTCACAGGATGCACACATGCTGTGCCCAGTTAGCCAATTAGAGACTGTTAACACCATGTTTGATGAGGATTGGAGCCCCAAGCAAGCATCCAAAGAGAATTTCACATTTAAAGCACTTCCTCACCCACTAAAGTATGCCAAACTTATTCTTACCCCATTCGTCATTCCTATCTCTTTAAAGAAAAGAGAAAACTGGCCCCGTGGAATGTTCTAGAGAATGTTCTCCCATGTCAGTAGCATCTGAAATCTACTATTTAAAAAAACTTGACAGTCAAGGCTTCTTTTTCTCTCCATGAGTCCCAGTATTAATTTACTCTTTTCTTCTCATGCCCCAATTTTTTGGGGCGGAGACACTACGCAGTGGCATTGTGTTGCGCCAGTGTCTCCTGCATCGCGTTCTTTTCTTCCTGAATCTATGAAGTGGGTCGGTATCACAGTGAGCCGGGTTTACAGACGGGAAAATTGGGGTCCTGAGGATGCAATGCCTGCCTTTTAGCTACTGGCCCAACCGGCAGAGAACCATGAAGAACTTTCTGCCCGGCAACATATCTCTGACCAGTTAGAGCGGCGCTTCATCCCCCGCCCTTTATGCAAGAGCTCGCTCATTGCAGAGTTCAACAGTGAACTGAAAATTCTGAAAGAGGCGGTCCACAGTGGATCAGGTAAGCATGAAGGGTGTGTCTTGAGTCTGATGGATAGAATTCACAATCTCTGCCCAGCTCACTGATCCTTAGGGACTGTCTGAACTAGCTCTCTTGATATACCAGTAGATTTGACCAAGAGATCACATCTAATAATAAGACAAAGGTCAAAGGGTTGTCATGGGAATTTAGTTACATCCTTCTCCTGAATATTTTTAATTTTTTTTATCATTTAAGCACTTAGATATTTAATAAGGGGAAAGGGTGTTTACATTCTTTCGTTCCCTTTTTGATAGAGAATTCACTTTGTTGAGCATCTGTGACTACTTTACATGCACTATTTTTTCTAATCCACACAAGTATCTGTAAAATGTATCTTTCTAAGCCCAATTTTAAAAGGAGGAAATTGATACTTGGAGGGTTAAATAGTTTATATAGCTAGAAAGTGAAGCTGGTGAGGTGATTTTACACTAGATTTGTGTTGTGGATTTCAGCCTTCTTTGTGTTTCACAAATTAGAATGGGGAGGAGTCAAGAAAAGTGGACAAGAAGGAGCTTCTTCTAACTGAAAGACTGTTCCTTGCATCTTCATTGCTTATTCTGTAGTTCTGTACAGCAGACTCCTGAATGACGGAATTAAACCACTGTCTACCACTAGAGGGCAGTCATCACCCATCTGTAAAAGACTGGGGGTTTATCTGCTTTCTGAAATGTTTACTGTTTGCAAAATATTCAAAACACAAATATTAAAAGTGCAACATTGGTGATAGTAACACATTGCCATTCAGATATTCTGATGAATCTGATAGAAACACCTGCCCCAGAGCCGAGAGGTTTCTAATACTGCTGTCTCCAGAAAAGGAGAATGAGAACTCTTTGGCGTTGTATCCTGATTTTGATTTTAGGTTCATATAAAAGATATTAATTTTTTATTATTCCAATATACTTATGTGGGCAATTCATATGCTGTAGTAATAAACCCAAAGATTCAGAAGCAACAGTTTAAGTCAAAATTAGTTGATATGCTATTTGCCTAAGCAAATGAAAAATAAACACACACAAGAAAACTGCAAAACGCTTTTCTCTTGGTAGGGACCTCAGGCCTCCATAAGAAAGCTCTTCACTTAGAATATACCAGTGGCCAGTACTGCCCACCCCCAATTGCTTGTGCTCCTTTATCTTAAAACTCTTTAGTCTGGGACACAAGTTGAAAAACTTTTAAGCAAACATTTCTGTTTTCATGACCTTACCACCATTTCCTTTACTCTCTCAACCCCTAGCCTACCAAGGAAAGACATCCATCAGTACTGTGGGCACGTCCACCTCTGCCTACCGCCTGAGTCTGGCTACCATGTCCCGCTCCAACACAGGCACAGGGACTGTCTGGGAGCAGGACAGTGAACCATCCCAACAGGCTTCTCAAGACACCTTGAGTCGGACTGACGAGGAGGACGAGGAAAGTAAGTAAGAGTCTAGGCAAGCAATAAGCCTGCCTGGAGCAAGGTCCTACAAAGGATGTCTGTCTAGAAAGGATGGGCAGCCATTTCCAGGCCTGCTCCCTTAGTCATTTTTAAAAGAGGTTTCAAAATGAGATTGATACCCTTGGATATTTAGAGGAAAAAAAAAGTATGTATCTGACCTTTTCTTGAAAATTTCATTTAGATTGTAAGTAAACAACTTACTCCTCTTTCTCCTGGGCATTCTGGCTAGGGAAACGGCCAGCACTCACAAGGTCCCATTTGTCAAAGCAAAATGGGCAGAGTGTGCACATGATGTCTGTGGAAGCCTGGAGAAAATTGGCAGAATGACTGAGGGGAAACAACTTAGAGACTCTCCCGTAATGTAGTTATCCTGGGAATTTCTGATGCGTGTGCTAGAGATGTAAGGTTGCAAAGTGGGAGATGGCAGATCAGTCAATACTGCACGTGTGTGCTTGAGCAGCGTAGGATTTGGAAGCAAAGATCTGCTGAATTTCCACTAAATGTCTCTGTCATACAGCGGGTTTCTTCAATTGCATTGATTATTTTCCAGTTGTGTTTTTAAGATGCTCTTATATAAAGCTTATTGAAAGGTGTACCTTTAAAGGCAAGAATAAAATATAAGAACCCCTCTATGCCAAACAAGACCCACAAAAGATCCTTCTCTGAACTAAACAGAGGAACTAGAAAGCAGCTTAGAAGTTTAATTAAGATGAGTGAATGCTTTTAATTAAATAAAATGAGTAAAATGCATCTGCATTTTACTAGCTCCCCACAATTAGGTATATAAGATAGAAAAGGAAATACGTCATTTGTCAAAGTGCTCATCACCAATATTTCCAGATTTAGTTTGATTGTTATTCACGCAAGGCAGTGATCACACTATAAACCACTTCTATCCAGACACCTGGGCACTGCTCACAAGCACACCTCCACAGTCATAGTCTGATCGCTCACAAAATACTGACTGAAAAAAGCACAGCGTGAGAGGTAAGAAGAAGAAATTTACTTTTAAATTTCTCTTGATTATTTTTATTTGGAACAGAGTTTCATGATCCCAGGCTGGCCTTGCATCCCCCACATTGCCGAGGATGACCCTGAAGCTTCTGATCCTCCTGCCTCCTCCACTGAAGGCTGGGATTGCAGGCATGATCATGCAACAGAACGCTGGGTCCCTGACATTTTAACTTAAAAGGGGGCTTCTTAATTTACTTGGCAGTGCTAAGGATTGGCCATGCTGTCCACTGAACTTGGGGTTTCACACCTACAAGGTGCTGTCAAGTGCTCTACTACCAACTATATTCTAAAACCAAAACTGAGCAGTTTACATAAACAGTAAGCCCTGACGTCAGTTCAAACCACAACGTAAATTCTACTTTTCTTTAACATATGAAATAATATCTATACTTTTCTTTAATATATGAAATGGTATCTACCAACATTTTTTTAATGATGGGAAATGATGCCCTCAGCAATTCCTAGGACTAAGTCTATTCTCGGGTAACTTTGTGAGTGAGTAGTTGGCCTGAGAGTAGGAAGGAATCAAGGAAGAAAAGTAGAGAAGACTTAAATAGAGACATCATTGGCAGAACCCAACACCCAAATAGTGGAATGGAGGGCATCAGAAGGTTTGTAGACTTTTGCTAATCTCTTTCTCAGATATCACAGTTATCTCAAGAAATCAAGCTGCCAATTATGGCTGTGATGTGAATGAACATTAGTTTATATGGAAAAGGGTATAAAAACAAGATTATGAACTGCTTTAATGGAAACTCTTCTTCCAATCATAGAAGTACATACTAAAACCTATTAAGTATAGAACAAAAAAACTGAGAAAGACATATTCTCTGTCCTCTATGACATTAAATGTAATTTTGTAGAGAAGTAGACATTTACAAGACAGCAGTTAAAAGGCTTGATAGAAGAAAACATAAGACTAATCATCAATGATGAGCAAATAATTGCTAAAGAGATATTTAGATACATAGTTAAATGATAATCAATGAGAATCTAGGAAAGGCTTTTGTAGTTCAATGTGTTCTATAAAGTTTTCCAATTTTTTAACTTTTTTATTTTTTGGTGTTAAAGAGACAAAATTTTCTGTAGCTTTGGATCCTTTCCTAGAGCTCCCTCTGTAGACCAGGCTGACCTTGGATTCACAGAGATCCACCTGTCTTTGCCTCCCGAGTGCTGGGATTAAAGGCGTGCACCACCACTTTTACCTTCTTTGTAAACATACAACAAAGGTAATATATTAAGATTCAGTCCAAATCATTGTATAACAAATTAAAATCTATAGCAGTTTTCATATTTTTGAATTTATTTGGAAATGTATATTAGAGATATCACTTAGAATATTCTAAATAGTACAAGATGACTTTCCACTGTAGCACACATCTACAAAACACAGTTTGTTTACTGAAGTTTATGTGGTTTAGTAACAAACAGTATTAGATCACTTAGCATGAAGTCAACTTGTGCAAATATTGTACTAAAGCTAACTTTTTTTATGGATTTGGGTATATAAATTTCTGGTTCTGCAGGAAAAGGGGGCATCTTTAAAAACTGAAAATTTCGATTAAAATAAACACTTCAGGATATTATGGTTTTCCAGTATTTTTTCCAACAATATCTGCAATATTGCTTCCCACAGCAAACTAGAAATCATTAAATGTACTGAGTAGCTTTTTAATGTCAAGGAAATGGAATTGGCTTTTCCAAAAACAAACTCCAACTGAACTATTCCTGCAATAGTCTTTACACATATATGTACAATCTAGCTGTTTTGATATCTTTAATTTGTGGGTACGCATCGGTTTATACTTATAAAAGTAAATAAGAAGTTTGCATGTGTTTTGTGAAGGCTGCTCTACTGAGTGGGGAGGTAGGAGATGTGTAGACATGAAGAAGCGTCATTAATTTGCTTGCTGTGTTATTGTATTTACAAAGATGGCTATGATTGTTTAGCTTTAAAGACAGCCCTGAGGTTGTACCCAAGCCAGGGATGGAACTCAAGTACTGCTTTGGTTGCCGTTTTCTGATAGGTATCATGGTTTTGTAACATTGATCCCTTCGCACTTTCAGATGACTCTGTGAGCATGCCCAGTGTGGTAAGTGAGCAGGAAGCTAGTCTCCTGAGTGCCCTCGGGAGGAGGCGGTTCTCCAGCCACGTCTCCAGCATGTCTGCACCTCAGGCTGACGTGGGCATGTTACCCAGCCAAAGGTAAAGGCCTATGACTGTCCTATATTCTGTACTTAGGGGCAAAAGACGAAATTCCAAACATACACAAACATCATCCTATAAAAACTGAATGAGAAGCAAGTATGGGCTATGTTTCTAGAGAAACTGTTCAAGAAAGGGCTTTCAAGAAGGGTCCTATGGGTAATAGTTGTAGCTTTCTAAGCCAGGTCGAAATGAGAGCACACCTTTAGGTCCAAGTATTATTTCTTATTGAGCGATCCATAAATATAAATATAAATCTTTTCTTCTGGTCAATGCTATCCTTATATGCCAGATTTATCATTGAGCAAGAAAATGGTTATTTGGCAAGAGTAGAACAGTTTATGTGATACTCTGGGAGTTTAGCCTTCTGCAGTTAAGGTTCAACCGCATGTAAGAATGCTTCACCAAGCAGAAGGCATACCTCTGACACTGTGTGGACCGGGAAAGCCACTTCCATGCAGGTCACAGCTCTCTAGCTAGGTGATAAACTAGGGTGAAATGATCTGAAGGGGACCTTCTCTATCAGCAACTCTCAGATTCCCTGACTAAAGCTTTTAAAGCATTTCCCCTGGTGTTCGCTGCCATATGAGTGTAATTTTAAAAACAAGTTTGGGGCTCTTAGTTTTTAAACTTTTTATACTTAAGGAAAACAAGAATATATAATTTACATAATTTAAATTTAAAAATATATTTAAATAAACACTCATGTTTTAATTCTTCATGTTTTAAATAAAGTTAAAATACAAAAATGAGCTAAAAGTTAATCTATTTTTTTAAACAACTAATATGTTAATTTCAAGAATTGTATTCTTGAAATACAGTTCTTGGTGTTGCCTGACTTTTAGTGCGTTATTTTGTATTTTGCAGTACAGCCGTATGTATGCTGCATCACTGAGCCGTATCCCTCGCTACTGTCATTTTTAATACCCTTAGCAGCACAATTCACACACAGAACATAATATCAAAAGGAATATATGATTGTGTTCAAATTGATCTGGTATACAGGAGTATACTATACCCAAAACACTCAATAAATAGTTCATGTAACCTAAAAGTTGATAATTTCACTTTGAGCAAAAAAGACTTCATAAATTAAATATGGAACCAAGAGCCAAACAACATGTCCAAAGAAAGTAATATAAACACTTACTGTTGGTAACTATTAATTTATTCTTAGTTTTTACTATCCACATATTTGTATTTAAAATAATATAAATTGTAATTAGAGAGCTTTTGAACTGTTCAAAATAAGTCAAACTACTCATTCTTTTTCCATGAATATAGTGATAGATCAACTTACTTGCAAAGGAAATTTTTATCTAGTATAAACATATCCCAGAAGTTAAAAAATATTATAATGAATCACTTTGTTCTTGGATTATATTTTGGAAGTTGGAGAAGGGAACACTGTCTTTGTCCATTATCAAAAAAATGATTCTCTTGCTGGGGACAGAGACACTCAGATCTTTGATAATAGTCCTTTCAGTTTTGTAGATGCTTGACTCTACACAATTTAATGCATATATATTGAATACCTTATGGTTGCCTATCTTGGTGCTGGACCTGATGGGAAAGTGGATAAAATATAGCTCAGATGTGCTAACAAGTATCAGTTCAGTTGCATCCAAATAAGTGGATAAACTGCTACTAACTAACCAAATGACAGACTTCCGTTGTATTTACAATTCAGTCAGTAGGGAGTGTATAATAGAGAGGCAAATGTGAGTTCTTTTTAATGTTTTGAAGATACCTTCAATCTGTTTATTGATATTTTCATTGCAAAATTAGCAGGGGGAGTTGGGCTCTGTCTTTGCTTTTCTTAATGGCATCAGTTTCCAGACTTTGGTTGTGGCCATTCATGGTAAGTGGTTTTGTGTGATAATGTTAGGCTCTACAAGAAAATGTGAGGTCTTATCATTAAAATTCTGTGTCCATAAGATATCCTAAAAATATTAACCACGTAGCCAAAAGGCTACTAAAGAACTCATAGATTCATCTTCTACGGATCTACTCTGTGAGGCATTTCAGAGCTCATGTCTCCATTTGGAGCTCATTTTAACTCTTGACCAATAAACAGAGCACTCCTCTGAGAGTCGTACCCATCCGGTCTTTCCTTCCCCCATTGCCTTGAGTCCTATGTCTTGACAAACCCAGCACAAGGTGAAATGGTTGACTGTCTCCTTTTCCTTCCTTGTTCTGTTAAATTTATTTATTTTCGGTTCCTAGAAACAGAAAATTGCATGCTTTTTTCTCCCCCTTTTCCCTTTTCTTTTTTCTTTCTCTTTTTTTTTCCTTCTGCATTTTCTTTCCCTAAATGCTTCATCTCCCTACCCCTCCTGCAGTGAACCTAATGTCCTCGATGACTCCCAGGGCCTGGCCGCCGAGGGCAGCCTCTCTAGGTACAGTGTCAAAGCTGCCTGTCTATGGTGTCTGTTCTGGGAAACGAGCTGTTCCCTGTCACCTCCGTCACTCTGTCTCCTCCGTTTTCTCTTGCCCGTCTTGGTACCTATTTCCATCCCTCGCCCTGTGTTGTTCATGAGCACACGAGCCTGGAGTCAAAGGTGTAGCAGACCCTCCTTCTTTACAGACAGCTTCAGAGATCAATCACAAATAGTCTAAAAACCTTAATCAAAAAAAAAACTGCAGAATTTTCTATGGGGCATGTCTAATGAATGTCTAAAATATTTCATATACCAAAGGCTAGAGGTGTAGTTCAGTGGTAGTAACATGTGCTTAGCATGTGCTAGACCCTGGGTCCAATACCCAGTGCCTCCCCCCATCTAATCATTCATTTCCACACTTATATTCACTGAGAATTGCTTTATGGGGGGTCTTTTTTAGTACAGTTCCCTCTCAGGGAGCCCCTGTACTCAGTCGAATCAGACCTTTTAGCTAATATCATAGATGGTCAGGAAACAGTACCACTGTGGGGACAGCAATGCCACCGCCACTTGTGGGACTGCTTCTCTTTGATGCACGCTGCTCGACATGCCATCGTCGTCGTAGCGTGTTCAAACACCTATCAAGAATATTGGTTCTAGCACAAAGATGACTAGAAAACTTTCTGTGAAAAGTCTATTGCAAATTTTTCTTGGTAAGTAGTTGGAGAAGTCATGCAATGAAAACAGTAGACTACCTAGACTATTTGCTTAAGCGTTCAGAAATGGGTACTGCACCTTTAACACTCAGATAAACCACGTCAAACATTCCTAATCTTGTGCTGTTGATTTACACCTCTCAACTAATCCTCATTAGGGGCAATGCTTCTTGTTCATCTTTAGAGTGTCTTTGTCCCATCCCAAGAGAAAGCGCTCCCAGGGCTGCCTTCTATAGTGAGTACCCTACCCCATTTATTGCTTTATTCCTAAGATGAGGAAATGTTGAGAGGCCGTTCCTGTGAAAGGTTGTCTTTTGTTTTCTTTGCATCTTGTTCAGATTTCACATTTTCTTCTTCGACTGAAAATGGGAAATTTAGTCCATCATCAGGTCTATTTTTTTTTATTGGATCCATAATTCATGACATTCATTTGTGTTTGCGAGCCCTTGCTTGGACAGATTAGTCTCTCATTGGTAAAAGTGGAGGTGCTGCAGAGAGTGGGGCGAGGAAGGCTGAAAACACAGTCCTGGAGATTTCCCTTAATTGTTTATAATGTCTGAAGAACTTGCAACAAAGTCTAGCAGGGGCATCGGTGCTTTCAAAGATGTAATTGCTTAATGCTTAAAATTGCATGCGAACTAGGACAACCTAACTTTCAGGAAGCATAATCAGTGGATGATTAAGGATAGGGAGTATTACTCAGGCTTCTCCTTAGACGGCTTCGTGCCGAGAGTTTAGTCCAGATTTTACTTCTGCTGGCCGAAGGCACAGCCCAATGTGCATGAGAGGAGACAGGGTAGAGTTGATTTTTATTATTTTCTGAAGGACTTGGCGAGCTCAGGGTTCAAATGACTAGAGTTATTTGAACTAACTCCTGTGCTAGGTCTGGTGCCAAAGGAGAAAGCTCAGTGTTTGTGTTAGGTGCTAAGACAAGAGCAGAGCCAGAATTAGAGACCTCGTCTCCAGGTGAATTAATCATGTTAGCATTTTGATGACCATCTTAAGTCAGCTGTTATTGATCTGTTGCTGCTGGCACTGTTTTTCTTTGGACCTTGGTGTTAGTCACCAGGCCCAGCGGTGGTCATTAAGAAATGGAAATAGAAACAATTTGCTTTTGATTCTGGAATAATTTTATTAATGTGGAGGCTTCCCACCAGCCACTAGCACATCCACCTTTGCCATATGCTGCAAGCTGTATCTTGAATGCCATTGTGTCAGCAAGTTCTCTTTGGAGGAGAGGAAGTTTGAGCACTTACTAAAAGGAAGGCTTACTAAATGGCATGTTTTTATATATTTTCTTTGCAGTCTTTCTTCTTTTTTGGCACAAGAACTCTTTATACACGTTCTTAAAATCCAAAAATAGAAAGGTTGATACCCATGTGAATTACATGTAATATACATTTTAGCAGTAGGATCTGAAGCACTCTCAAAGTTATCCTGAAGAAAATCTGACCCAAGCTTACTAGGAAACACACAGAAAGGAAGCCAGTAAACCCTGCCACACACCCATCCCGATCCGTGTATAACTTTTATAGGACTTTGCTTCTGAGAGGCCACTTGTTTAGACAAAGGAGCCAAGCTGGACTATGCAGGCTGAGTGGGGGAAGACAGCCAGATAAGGTGACGGGAACTGAAAAAAAAAAATTTATACCCTAATTAGAGACTTCTAAGATTTTTATAAAATCGCACTAATACATTTCTTTTAAAGACTCAGCCCCCAAGTTCCCATCAGAAACATTGTTTTCTGTCTGGTTCCGTTTCTTAAAACTTCTATTGGAAATTAATAAGCTAAATCAAAATTCCATGGAAGACTTTTCTTCTATGGAGAGCGCTGCTCTGAGGCATAAAAACTCAGTGTAGACGTTTCTCAAACACATGTGTATACCATGGGCATATTTTCCCTCCAGAATAATAGAGATCTAGAGAAGTGATTTAAGTCCTTAAGGCTAGATGTTTATAGTTGAGAACCAGATTTTGTTTGGACATGTTAGGATATTTTTAAAAGCAGGATTCAACAGTGAACTCTTAATTTAAAAAGAAATTATCTTGGCATTTTAATCTTGGAAAAGCTTAGTCATAGTGACACAGAGGATCCAGTCCAAGTTTAAGCAAGACTGTAGTCTAGATAAAATAACAATAACCCATATAGTAATGCCCATCTCATGCTCATTCATAACCTCTCAGCATGAAAACTTGCCTGGTATTCTTAAAATGCAAGAAAGATTCCACCAACCTTTAGTACCGCTGAAAAGACAGGGCCAAGATGATGTGCACTGGGGCACCCAATGTCCTCTTTGCCTTTGCTTTGTCAGTTCTGATGTCTAAAACCCAGTTATTACTACAGTCTGACTTGAAACTCTCGTCTGTAAATTCTGTAGCACTGGCATTGTCCCGGGTGCTGTGGAGGCTGAGTAGCTCACTGAAACAACGTCTGTGAAAGGGAGGGGTGAGCGCTGGTCTTCTGCTCGCTTCCCTGCCGTCTGCCTGCTGCTCCTTTAGTGCTGACTTCATGAGTTCCCACCGCAATGCAGTCACTCAGGATAAACTGCTGTGGACGTGTATTAGGCCCCACTTCTAGAGTTCTATAACCAAATGAAAGCTCAAGCCAAAAATGTAGAAAGAAGCAATAAACACAGCAATTCACTATTCAGAGGGTGTTTTCATCCAGAGTGTCTGCTTAACTTTTTATTTAGGTTATATATGATATATTGCAATACATGGTTTACTTTTTATAATTTGAGTGACACAAATTTAAGCCTGCATTACTGAATGGCTCCTTGTTTACACAGTGCTTATTTAAAGAAATGCTATCAGTCATATAATTAGGAAATATACACTTATTATTATTATTATTATTATTATTAGGAAATATACACTTCAGTCCAGGCCATTATGCTGCAGCAATGTCAAGGAGGTGATCTTATCAAAATCATTTTTCTAACATTGCACAAATTCCCCTAGCTTATGAATTGCTTCCTTGTATTATAAACAGGAACTAGTTTTGAATCACAGTTTGAATCCCACCAACTCTGCTGTGCTCTGGTTGAATTTTCTCCTCTAAAATTTGGATCTTACTATCAGTTTTCCAAGGAGATATTTTCAGGAACTTGGAAACACGAGGGAAGGAAAGATATGCCAACAGAGGCTTGTCGTGTAGCCCTAGCCCTTGGGAGGCCTGCAGCAGGTGCACAGCACATTCCAGGCCAGCAGGGTAACATACCAAGACCATGGCCCTCTACAACTAAGGTTATTTACTTATGAATGTTTTGCAAGATGTTAGTTTAAATTTGGGAAGTTTTATTAGATTTTATACTTACTCTTTCACCCTGTTAGGTTAAGACAGCTGTCATTCTTTAAATTAATGCTTCCAAGAAACCAGTGTTCTATACAAGATAAAGCTTTTAGTATTTGATCAACTAGTTTGGCAAATCTTAACATCATTTCAACTTCTTAATTGTTTTTCATAATTATTGGATAAGAAATTATATATATATATAAGTTGTCTACTTAATAATATATATATATATATTTAGTTGTCTACTGAAGTACACTTTTAAAATTTGAGAATTCCCAATAAAATATTGTAACTTCTTGATGAGGAAAATAATTTTGATTATTGTATTTATGATAGATGAAGACTTTAGATGAGACTGCTTCAAAAATGTAAAATATAAAGAAGAACATTAATGCAGACAGGTTCTTAGTATGAAGATCTTGGTTTCTCCCAGTTCCTCCAGGTGACTAAGGTATTACATTATGTGAAGGAATGGAAACTAAATCGTAGCTAATTTTTATAGTAAGCTCCAGTTTGAAGTAAACTCCAAGTTATGAAAATTTTTGCCTACATTACATTGTTAGTGTTTTAGGTGTTTCTTACATGTGATTTAATTCATTGATACAGCAAGGAGAAATTTCATCATTGTATTTCTAGGGCAAGTATAATTTATTGCCTGGAATGTATTCCAGGAGCATGTTCTATAATTTCATTTTTGATGTGCACATTCCTATATTATTTACACAGAATAACTAAAGACAATAGATTTTTCAGCTGTAAGCCTCTCTGTCCATAGAGAAATGTTGACGCTCATGAGCTTCCCCTGGAGGATCCATCATAAAGTTCCTGTTATGTTGTGACATTTAACTCTGCAAGTAACGTATATTATTTCTTTTCTTGCACCATTTTTTTCTCACAACCTCAGATTATAAAAATGATATCAGAGGACTGCCTCGTATTCATTTTCTCTGCCCTGTTATGTTTCAATAAACACTCCCTTTTAGTTTCCTAGAAGCATAAACTCATTACAAACAACAAGTGTAAAACAAGAAAGCATGCTAAACATGTCACTTGCCATATACAAGCCATTTTACATCAACTAACTTCTTTTCTCTACCTTAATGGGAGGTAGTTGGTAAGTATCAACCTCCTTTTATGGCCAAGGGAACTGAGGTAACATCTAGATGTCAATGAAGAATCCATTCCAATGGTAGCTTTGCTTGGTATTGGGAGAAATGGGTTCCTACTTGTGTGCATATATATGCTTTCCAGCTTAACAGACACATGTTAAAATGGATAACTAATAAGGAGATGTCATTTCAGACATGCCAGCATCATAGTCTGGACTGATTATCAAAATGTGCTGCACTGTTCCCTTAGTGTAGAGTTCCTTCATACACACTACAAAGTCATATAATGTACATCAATCTGTTGAACTTCATTTTGGGGCAAGAAAAGAAGTTTTAAATGCCTTTTTGGGTGTTCTTTGTAGAATTTTGTGTTGCATAGCTCAGATGATGCAATCATATCCCTATTTCATAGAAAATTTGACAGATCTTACTGAGTCATTGCTTTTTCTTCTAGTAAAAATATGAGTTGTACTTTAAATGATAGCTTTGACTGTACCAACTGCAATTAGTAGCCTGTCATACATGAGAAGCATCTGAATACCCATCTTGTAACTGATTTCTTTTACTAAAAGTGCAGCGAGGTGTTTATGTAGCACATTAAAAAAAAACAGAAATGTGTAGATATGATCATTCTCTATTTCTTTTTGTGGACAGTTGCTGACTGGGTTCCTCTGTGGGATGTTTTATAGTTACAATATCTGTAGATGACTCTCCTTTTGCAAAGGCAAAGACATCATTTAACTGTAAATCAATTAATCACATTGACATCAACCACAGAATTAAAGTGTCATATGGGCACAGTGTATTTCTCTTTTCATTCTCTCTTCCATTGTAGATACCTATAATATGATACATGCATGAAGAATGAAAAAGAATCATGGCCCATTTCAATATGTTCAGCTTCACCAACACTGAAGTAGCAGACCCTGTCAGTAGTCCTTTTTGCTTATGAGACACATATACACAGTAATTTGGGGGGAGCAGACTGTTCCTTTTATCAACTGCACAGTTCACTTGAGTGCAGCTAATTGGGTTGTACTGCCAGTTTCCTTGCCAGCCTTTTAAATCTAAAATAATTTTCAAAAATATTTAAATTTTCTACCCATGTGACTCTTTGCTCAGCTGTCACAGAGACTTCAGGCTGCAAACATGTGTTGAATGTGTCCCTTCACCCAAATGGATTCTGTGTCTGATGTGTTCAATATTTGTCCATCTTATTTTCATTTAAATTGGAAGTTTTAAAACAGGTGTTCCCATCCATGTGACAAAGTTGTTTGTGTGTATTTGTCGCCAGCGTTTCCATTCCCCTTGAAAAAAATTGAGATTAGAATATGACATGTGAAGCCTTTTGATGGCTTCCAAACCAGGGGTGTGAGCAAACCATTGCCCTGCTGAATGATAGATACAGCATCAATGATTGAAAACAGAATCTCAATTTTGACAGCTTGGGGCTACAAGCCTTTGAGAACCCCTATCCCAGGGACTCTTCCCCAACCATCCTTCAAAGATAATGATATCTTTGAAGTGACTGTTCCATATAAGTGGTTTTGGCTAACACCCACCAGAGAATGGTCTTTGGAGCTGTCTTGAGGGTAGACTAATGCTGTTGATGCTTGGCAGGGTGGCAAGTGTACAGAGTGAACCTGGCCAGCAGAACCTCCTGCTGCAGCAGCCACTGGGGAGGAAAAGGGGCCTGAGGCAGGTAAGTAGACCCTGAGATGCTACGAGAGTCATCCTGTAAGATGGAAGATCCACTTGCTTGCTAATATCTTTGTTTATTAAGATTACACTTGGCCTTCTTGCCTGAAATAAGCTGTGCACAGCAACCATAAAGTATGTTTGGTAAATGCTTGGGCAAACTGAGCATGTGAGGTTTTTATTGTACAAAGCTGACTGTTTGAAAAGGGATGTCAGCCTACAAATCTTGTTCTCTGTCTGGCAAGCTTCTTTCCCAGTCAAACTCACAGCAGTGCTTAAACTGGCTGTTATACAGTTAACCAAGTACCTGCTTTTACAGGGTTGGAGATAGGTTCTTTCTCACCATGACATTAGAGATTTAATTTAATATTGAAACAGAAGATCATATTTTCAGCTAGGTGTTGTGATGAATACCTGTATTTCCAGAATGTGGGAGGCTGAGAGAGGAGGGCTATGAGTTTAGTGCCAGCCTGGGTTACATAGAGTTGGAAGCTAGCCTGGGAGTGATTTCCTTAGGTGAGATCCCTCCCTTTCTCAGCCCCTTCTCCTTCTCCTCATCTCCCTTCTTCCATCTCTCCAGCACACCTATCTCCTCTCATTTCTCAATTTCCAGACATGGTTTCAATATATAGTCCAAGCTGGTATCACATGCAATCCTCCTGCCTCGGGCTTCTGAGTATTGGGATTCCAGGTATGCACCACCACTTCTGGATTATACATTGCTTTCTAAGCAAAAGTCAGAGTGAAGTTCCAATGTTTTGCTCGAGGCTGGTTTTTTAATACATCTCTCTGAGAGTTAAGAGATAAAACTATAGTTTTAGATGAGCAAAAGTCGGGTATTAAGCATAATTTTGGGGATTTCTATCCACTGAAATTCTTAAATTTAGCATTTCAAGTCCATTGATGTTCCAAGGCTACGGGAAGGAACAAGTAGGATTGTTGACTCAGGATTCCCAGATGGTTGGCTTTTCTTGCCAGTTTTATTTTATCTATTTTCTTCAGCTAAGACGCCCTCTTCTGTCAAGGCAGAAGACTCAAACTGAACCCAGAAACCGCCATGGGGCTCGACTGTCCACCACTCGCAGGAGCATTCAACCTAAAACCAAGCCATCTGGTGAGGGAGCTATCATGTGCCCCTTCTGATTGCACCACTGTTGTGACGGTAGGCAGCTTGGCCTAGGAGCCCTGCAGAAAATGAGAAGATGCCAACAACCTTGCTTTTGGGGAGGTCTAGGATGTTTCCAAGAAAACTTTACTACTTCTTTTTTCTCTTCTCATCTTCCCTAACCTTTCCCTACTCCCTGTGAACCTAGATAATTGGAACGGCCCAAGGTAAATTGTTCATATTCTGAAACTTGAATGTGAAAGGTTGTGTTTTCTTTACTGAATCCAGAAACCAGACCATTCTGCTTCTTACTAAAGGTGGTACAGTGAATAACTCTTTGTGTTTTTTGGTTCTAGAATTCATCAGTAGGAGGGTCATTATGATAAGTTAGCCTTTGCATCTTGCTTTAGGCCATTTATGTAGAAATTATTTTCTCTCAATTTTGTTTTTCTCTTTTCTATATAAGGAGAAATACATATACATAGAATGGCCATATAAGATCTCATTTATTACAAACCAGCAACATCTTTATGATAATCACTCGTTAATGTCAATTATTAAGCACCAACAGCCAATTTCTCTCCTACTTATTGGTTCACCTCTACTTACAGTTGATCAGAAGCGATCTGTGACCTTCACTGAGGCTCAACCAGAGCCAACAGCTGCCCCAACAGACATACTTCCTGCCACAGGCCAACCACAGGGCTGCAGCCCAGGGCCATCGAGGAAGCCAGAAGGAACTGACAAACCAGTGCTCACATCCTCTCCGGCCATTGTTGTTGCAGACCTTCACAGTGTGTCTCCCAAGCAGGTGAGGGCACTACAGAGGCAGCAAGGCCTGCACCTTGCATGCTTATTTGCAGGAACCACTTAGATGTGATATTCAGAAATGAATAATTTCTTCTAAATAATTACGTCTGGGTCTGTAACATGTTATTGCCCAAACAGATAATATTTATGCCATTGTGAAAAAGAAAATCCATATAAAGTGTTTGGTCAATAATGTGTCTATAAATAAGAAGGACCAAGAGATGTCTTTTGTAGAAAACTTTATGCTTCCTACTAAATTAAGAAATAATTTTTCCACTAATTTAAGAAATAATTTTCAGCTGGAATAATCACTGACAACAAAAATTTGATACACAGTTGGAGTATTTTTCAAGTAAAGCATGTGAAATTACTAGCTTAGATGAATCCTTCTCATAGTATTATTTTATTTTGCTTTATGAATAATTTTTTTCTTTTCTTTTCCCTTTTTTTGGAGACAGGGTTTCTCTGTAGCTTTGGAGCCTGTCCTGGAACTCACTCTGTAGACCAGGCTGGCCTCGAACTCACAGAGATCCTCCTGTCTCTGCCTCCTGAGTACTGGGATTAAAGGCATGTGCCACCACTCCCAGAATGAAAGAAATTTCTACAGGTACCATATTTTGATGTGATAGTTAAAGAAAACAAAGGGTAATATTAGCATACATATTTGCATTAATAGTTAAAAGGAACTGTAGCAATACTTTATATCAGTTCATTTTTACAGATTATAAGATATTCATGGGCCCTCCCCCCCAAAAAAAAAATTATATGTCAACGGATAGAAAACCAATGCTTTGAAAGCTGGAAGGGCCTTATAGATCATCCCTGAGACAGGAGTTAGGGCATGGATTCACCTTTGAGTTCTTGCCCAGTTAGAGCTACATAGCCGTTTTTATGTTCTTCTCTGGTCCGTGATGCTATGATCCTTTGATCACAGAGTGAGCCCCTTCTTGCTGAAGAAGAAGAACAAAAGGAGGACACAGAAGTACAAGGTGCTGCCGTACACAGTCCCCTCTCTACTCAACTCTCAGACCCTGATGACTTCACTGGCCTTGAGACATCCAGCCTCCTACAGCATGGAGATACTGTCCTTCACATCAGTGAGGAAAACGGCATGGAGAACCCCCTGCTGTCTAGCCAGTTCACGTTCACTCCTCCTGAGCTGGGGGAAAAAGATGCAGCACCAGACAAGTCCCATGTTTAGGTCTCTGTCGCAGGGGCAGTGATCAGGAGACCAACGCAGCACTTCATAGCCAGTGGGCGGCATTAAGTCTGAGTAGATTTTGCTGTCAAAGCTCTTTGAGTGTCATAACCACCTTAAAAATCAGTAGCTAAAAGTCTTTAGTCATGTGAAGATCCTAAAAACAGAGGAATAAGGGGAAAGAGCCATTTCACCGCACATTCTGTAGACCTTGCTTTGAGCAGTTAAGAATATATATACTATTACAGACAGTTGAGAATATATACTGTTGCTTCCCTCATAAGACTACTGACTATATGTTCTAAAGAGGAATGCAGTCTTTTAAGATACTCACATTATACATTTCCTGAAAATGTTTATTTTTGTAGTTTCAAAAATTTTACATTATGTGGATATATGTATTGCAACTCACATAAAAACAACCAACAAGAAAAATAATTAGATTGGAGACACTAAATTACAAACCTGGCAGTTATTTTTGTTTTCGTCAACAATATAGCTAGGAATTAAAGGAACAAAACACTATTTTTTAGAGCTGTGGACTTTTCAAAATTTATTTTTAACTGTCATTTTCACTAAATGCTATAAATCAAAATTCTAATGCCACAGACAATTTCATATCACATTAGACAGAATATTCTAGGAATTCTCAGATATGATTCTGAATCAATAACATAGTCAGCTATATAATTATAAAAAACTAAATGTAAACAGCATTGCTTGAAAGAGATGGCATTCCTACTTCTAGCCTCAACTACATACAGCAGTGTCTAAATTCGATCTATTGGGAAAGGGGATTATATTCCCTTACAGTCCTTGTGCCTGCCCCTGAGGGCATATTTTCATACATTAAAGTTAAGTTGTTAGCATTAGATCAGAAAATAATTTTTCTCAGTAGTCAAATATTCTGTGATCCTTAAGAGATCTCAGTTAATGAGGAAAAATACAGAGTAATCAATTTGTTCATAGACTTGGACAGCTTGTATATATCACAAATAGGGCTTTAACTTGAAGTGCAGTTACTTCAAAAAATAAAATAAAAATTGGAAGGCTTGTGAGGCCAGTACTTAGTAGATTATTAAAGGGCTGGGCATCGTGCAGTTCATAAATGGTCTTCAAAAGTTTAGCAGTTTACATTAGAGAAATGTTACATAACTACTAAGCATTGAAAGAAATACATACCTACACTGGTATGGTTATGTTCGTGTGTATGTGTGTGTGTGTGTGTGTGTGTGTGTGTGTGTGTTAGTCTTCAAATAGAAGGTAAACAGAGTTTGATTGTGTGGAGATGAGTTTAAAATATGTTCTCTATGCTCAAATGTTGATTATGTTGGCTATGAAATGGACATGTATAAAAAGAGGAGACCTATCAATCCAACAAGTCATAAAGGAAAATGATTTTTACGTTAGAATTGCATAGTTTATATTGTGATTTATAAAATCAAATATATTTTGGGACTATGGCCCCATTCACAAAGATAATAAAGGTATCTATAAATTAATTAGAATAAAATTTAAAATCCCCCAGTTGAGAAAATCAAGGTGGTATCACCTCCAGAAATAAGTATGGGAAATCAAGGAGATAAATGGACCTCTTTTATGTGCTTTAACATCTTCACATCGTTTATACTTAATGCTGAGTTCATCCCTAAGTGCAGAAGCCAACATGCAAGTGGTTTTCTGGTTCTAAATCGATGTATTTTGCCTGTTAAAAACTATGCTGCTCAATTAGCATTAGAGGCCTTATGTCTGGTACGTACAAGTGTCTGAATTATGTGTGTCTATGTGCTTTGTTCCAGTTTGGGGATTCTTGAGTCAAAATCTCTATAATCATGTCAGATATTTAAGAAGTGTAGAGGTTAATGCATTGTTAAATATTCAGTAATCACCCTAAATATCTTTATATATTTCAAATGTGCTGGGCTGTTTGAGAAATGATTTTACTGGTCTGTCTATCTTTTAACCTGACTCCTTCTCTGTCATGTATGGAAGTCTGTTAGGAATTTTTTTAATAAGCTAAGTAGTGTTTATCTTGGAAAAAAACAAAAAGACTTGTCCACTCTGAGAAATAGGGACTTACAGAGTGGAAATGCTCTCTCTCGTGTTGGGCTTCTGAAATTTTGCAGAGATGTGTATCTATACCATTTTTTTTTATGTCCTTAAACGTGTTGAATGTAATGTGTTGAATGTTTATGTGTGGTGACTAAAGTATCCATGTATGTGCATAAGACTGTCACAAGATGTATTCTCAGGAATACTATTACCTGGAGTTTGAAGGAACAATTTAAAAGAAAACAGTTAGGGAAGAGAAGAAATAAGTTTGAGTTAATTGACAATCTTTACAATATTCAAAATGTGACTAAGCACTAATTATCACTTATGATCAATATAATATTAGTAAAATAGATTTATTTCTTAATATATGCTGCTTGATCATATTTATTTCATTCAGAGGAAGGATAAAGCAGGCACTCACTTTCACCAGGTATTAAAAAATTACATCCAATGAAGATTGGTCCTTTGGAAAGTGACTTTATAGAGAGACATTGGAATATAAACATATCATCCATGATAGTGGGTAGAGATTTATACTATTGAGATTAAAGCAATTTAAATCCTGGATGCAGATTCTTCTAGAACAAACACTGTATTTTCATTTTTGGCATTCACTGCTTTCTATAACTCTATTAAATTACTTGATTCTTCTGACAACGAAAGTGAGTTACTGAGTGCCTTGGGATAAGTCACTGAGAACTACAGTGTCAAAGGGCACAACTGGGCACATGGCAGTGCTGGAGGCAAAAGTTGGTTTGCATTGAGCCTCCACGAGTAACTTAAGACAAGATGGCATCACTCTTTTAACAACTGGGATTTTTTTTTAAGTCAGTTGAAGAAATTTCTCCATTTTGCTTCCCACCTCCTAGAATTTCTGAGGAAATAAGAGTGTACAGAGATCTATAGGGAAGAAAGGGTTATAGAATTATAGTCTAAAACATGAATTGTATACCTTCCTTGGGTTACACAGGCTACTTTACCAGAGCCCCACTGTTGCTCTCTGACCTCACCCTTCCGATTCATGGCCTTGTGTCTCGGCAGTGAGTAGAATGTCCCACCTCCTCATTTACTTTTGTGGGTCTCAACTGCAGCATTTCAGAAGCAAACTCTGATTTGACACTCAGGAGAATAAAAACAAGTTGAGGGCAGAATGTATTTGGAAAAGTTTATGATAAATTTACTTATATTATTTAAGGATCATTTAGGATCATAAATCTATGTACCTCCATAATATTTTAATAGTCACTGTGACCATGGGATTAAAGTCCTTTATTAGCCATTTTTGTAGGTAAAAACAAAGGATTGACTGCACAGCCAACTTCCCTCAGATAACTATAAAGTCTGTTAGGAATACTGAATGACCAAAGAGCATGGAAAAATGCATAAGAATAAATACTGAGATGTTTATGAAAGATATTTATGAAAGCTATTGACTTCTGTGTTTGAATATGCACATATAATAAAATAAATCTAAAAGTATTTAATGTTCTCCAATTTCATTTCTCTCCTTTGGGAATGGGTTAGCTCATTCAGGATCATTTTTGAAGACTTGGAGTGTGCCTTCTTTATGCATCTCTTCTTCTTCATACCTGCACTGGATGCCTAGCTGAACATCACCAATCAGTCCCCTCCATTTCTATATACAATTGATATCCACCTACAGGCACTTCCCATCCCCCACTTTTCAAAATAAAGCACAATGTAGGAATGGAAGACAGGTAGCCAATTTAACTTCACTGCCCAGATTATGACCTGCTGGAATTCTGGTAGTCCGTGTCAGAACATTAAAGATTTGATTGTCCTCTGTCTGTGGCAATAGAAACCATGGCATCTAAATTAGCATCAGCTATGTTTTCAATAAAATTATATCCTGTCCTTTAGAAATTGCTCTTGTCGAATCCATGATTATCTTTATATGGCCCCACATTTCTTCCTGACCCATTTGGCAGTAGGACACTTACCCATTTCAAGAATTATGGCCAAATAATAAACAACTCCAGAGGAAGTAGGACCACGGAAGTCTAAGAAAGGCCTACACTCAGCAGCCACCTGTTCTCACCACCTTGACCAGGGAACATCACGGAAGAGGGAACCAAAGGGCTGTAGGAGCTGGAGGGTGGGGAGTGCTATAAAATGCTGTTACGGGATGTGACAGGACTGCTTCAATTCCGAGTGCACAAGCAACTGTGGCTACCTGCACAAAATCCTACAAAAGTAGGAGAAGGATTAGTTAGGAAGGAAAAAAGGGTCAGCACGAGTTGAAAGGGTGGACGAGTGGGTAACCGGGGCTAGGATCACAATATAAGGTATACATGTATGCAATAGTTAAAAAAAATACATTTTGAAAACAAATCCCCAAATTGTAGGCGGTAGTCTAGCTGATGGGCCCGAAGCCTTCTTGTACTATACTCAATAAACTATTTTTCCTTACAAAACCGAGAAGCTATTCTACTGAGACGAAAAACCCAAGACCGGAGGCAAAAGGCCCACCCCTCGCCACCCACCTGACAGCTCCGCCCCCCAGGAGGAGGCGGGACTTCCTCGCCGCAGGACCGCTGCTTCCGGCAGAGTCCGGAAGAGAGTGCGGGGTGGAAGGGGGCGGAGCCAGTGCGGCGCGCCCAATCGGGACGAAGTCTTCTCTGGCCCGGGCTCTCGTGGGCTCACTCGCTCTAGGGAACCGGCACCATGGCGTCGGGCTGCAAGATCGGCCCGTCCATCCTCAACAGCGACCTGGCCAACCTGGGGGCCGAGTGCCTGCGCATGCTGGACTCGGGGGCCGACTACCTGCACCTGGATGTAATGGACGGGTAACTCCGCGGGGCTCGGGGCGCGCTGGCCGCGCGGGTCGCGTCGCTGCACCTCAGCGAGCGCCTGTTGGGTGCACGGCGCCCCTTTGCGACGGGCGGCCTCCCTGGTCGCTCTGCTGAGGGCACCGAGCCGGCCCTGGCTGCCTTCGGGGCCCGGTCCCCAGTCCTTCCCCACCCCCAGTAACCTGTGACACTAGGACCCGGAAGCCACCTTCAGTAGTCAGGGCATTTCTTTCAGAAGCTGGCAGAAAAACTGAGGTTCAGTGGGACCGGCACGACTTGTCCAAACTCAGATAACTAGTCCGCGACACAACTGGGAGACAGACTCGTCCACGGTTGCGAGCTTGACACCTGTATGTGATCCCTAAGGTCGACCACTTGCTGACTTGTTTAGACAAGCCGCTTCAGCCCTCACTGAGGTTTGGTTGTAGTATTTGGAAAATGGAAGTATTATTGATAATAGAACGCTTCCGCGTCTTTGGAAAAATGAAATGAGCAAGTCGAGTGCCTGACGTGTAACAGATTCTCTACAGTTGTTAGTCGTATCGAATAACCTTTCGAAGTCTGATTTTTCTGTCTATTTTCTCTTCAGGCACCCTGCTCTTCAGGGAGGTCAGATTTTTGTAAGTAATTTTGAAGCACTGTAGTTTTAGCTTTATCATGCTCAGAATCAGGGTCCAAGTTTCCTAAGTCGGTTATAAAGTGAGAAATAAACCTAGACCCAAAGGAGGCCGTAAGACTTGCACAAGATTACAGAAGATTGTGACAGACTTGGAACTTGAGTCTTCTTGGCTTTGACTAGCATTTCCCACCGGAAGTTCCGCATTGAATGATTAAAAGCCTTGGGTTGAGATAGAAAAATAAATTTATTTCAGATAATCAAACTCTGTTGCCCTCAGTCACATCAGCAAATATGTGTTATTTCCAAGAGGTTAGTTTGTTTCTTGTCTTGTTGGGTGGAACTGGGGGTTGCTGTTCGTTTTGTTTTTCACACAAGGTATATGTAAAATCGAACTAGCCTCAAACTCTGAATCTTGCCTCAGCTTCCCAAATGCTAGGATTGCAGGCTTGGTCTATCACACTGAGATGCACCTTTTTAATGTCACTGGCTACTCTGTAGCAGGTTTTTCTCCTTTTGATCTCTCTGGTTAAATCTCTTGTTTTATCTTAACACGTACTGAAAGCCGTCCACTGAACCAAGTATGTACCATAAAGATTGTGGCTATGTTTTTGGCGCCTGAGAAAACTCAGGGGTCTCGGCATGGGTCAGGCTACAGATGTAGCTCTGAGCCTGCTTATACAGAATGAATGAATGGAGAACGTTCCTTTTCAGTTTGCTAATAGGAATATTGAATGTACGTAGAAGCACATGACATTCTGGTCTAGTACTTTCTTATAAACATTCTTTTAAAACTTCTTTTATTTTTTAAAATTGTAATATGATTACGTTGTTTCTCCCTTTTCCTCCCACTAAACCCTCTTATACTACCTCCTTGCTCTCTTTCAAATCCATGGCCTCTTTTTAAATTAATTGTTATTACACACATACACACACACATCCTAAATGTGTAAACGTGTCCTGCTCATCTATAGGTTACTTGTGTGTACATTTTTAGAGCCGGCCATTTGGTATTGTTTAAGACTGTGTTTCCTGCTCTCAGCATTTTCCTAGTTATCTAGTTCTTTGTATAGGGCTAGGAACCTGTGGGCTGATGAGGTACTTTTTGAGGTTAATGTTTTGTGAATGAAGAGTGAGGTACAGTGCCATGTTTCATAGCCCCCCCCTCCGAAAAAAAGGTGGAACCAGAGTCTCAAAAATGCTTTCTGTAAGGCCTGAACTTCTACAGAACTCTTAAGGAATTTTTTGTACTTAGTAATTACAAGTTTTAGTTAGTAATCTTCAAGTAGTAATTTATATTTGTATTATTTTCTCTGTCTCCTGATGTCTGTCTCCTGATGTCCTGATGTCTGCTCACCTTGGTATCTGAAGTAAAGCTCAGTGCATCCATGTTATCATTGCTTAGTAATAGCAGGAAGCTTTGCTAAGAATTACCTTTGCCCCTCCCAGCAGAGCCCCTCCCTATGGCAGATAAGGTGAGAAGGAAGACTTTAAAAACATTGTTCTATTATGCTGGGAAGCACTGGCTTGGGAAACCTAAAGTTTTCATATATAATTTTTATGCCTTTTAATCTTTACCAACTTTTTTCCCCCTTGAGTAAAAGCTGTTTCTAGTCATCATTTGCAAAAGAGGAAACCAGTTTAGGGAAGTAGAGCTTCTTTCCCGTTGTCCTCCCTGAGTAGACAAAACCTGAAGGAGCTGGTGTCACCCACCTCATTTGCCACGTGGTACTGTGTTTCCAGGGCAACAGTACAAAAGTGAGCTGTGGGCTCCCTTTACAAAGGTGGTCGGCCTCAGAATAAGTCCTTCTCTTTTCCACTTCACCCCCCCGGCCCCAGTTTTCTTCCTGCTTAAAACTAAATTTATCTAGAAAGTTAAAAACTGGGCCGGGAAACACTAGGTGACCAGACACAAGTATGGTTCAATATCTAAAATAAAGGGCAGAATTATTTTTCTGCAAAAACATATTGAGGAAAACACAAAGCACATCACGGCAGGATGGTGGCTGAATCAGGCTGATCCCAACCATGGGAGCAGAGCAAATATCTACATCTAAACTAGTCTTCAGGATTTTAAATTGGGGAGATTTCACATGAATACTGGACTTCTGACTTGGTGTCAGAGCTTTGTCATCCATGTTGTGTTTTCTGATAAAGCCGTGATGAGTGAGCGAGCACCTTTCACCAGCTCGATGTTTACTTGTGCCTGTGCCTTACCCCCTTCCAACCCGTCTCATCTGCTCAGTTTTGCTTCTTAACTTTGCCAACTGCAACTGGCTAGTGACTCTGTGATTCCTGATTCACAGGTAGATTGTTTTCTGGTTCCAGTCTTGGTACATTTTGTACCGACCTTAATCCTCTTACTGGCTTGTTGAATTTTCTGCAGTAGACTGCATTCCAGTTATCACTAAGTGAGGTATAGTGCTGGTGATGACGTGATGAGAGAGGAAGCTTATGTTCCTGCATTATGACAGTTCTAGCAGAATTCCAGCAAGCCCCTGGCTAAGGATTGCATTCAAGGAGGGAAATGTCAGTAAAATCGTTATAAAGTTGACTTTTCTGGTGAATTCCTTTTCTTTAGAGTGAATTCATTTAGAATTTTCTAGTCTGGTAAGAGATCTTTGAGGCATTTGATAAAAAGTCATGTTCTTGGGTCTTTGGAACCTCAGGAGCCCTCATGAAGAAACTGTAAGTCCCTTGATAGTTGGTGGTGTCAGACAATTCCAAGATACTTGGTGTCAAGCCTGGGTTTCTGTCCTTGTTGGTTATGGCTTAGCGACAGCCTTTAGGGTTTTTTTTTTTTTTTTTTTTTGGTGAGAATATTGATGCATTTTGTGCTGGTAAAGTTAGTGAACGCAGTTCTTTGTATTATCATCAGAACACAAGCACAAATTGCTCACATAAGTTGAGAGTAGTTTTTATATGTTACATTTGTGTTTCTCAAGTAAGTTTTTACTTTTTTGCTTCTCACCCTGTCTTTTGTCACTATATTTGTTTTCTTAATAAATAAGATATAAACTGAGCAGACTTATTTTCAAGGCCACACGGTAAAT